GATCGAACCGATAATCAACGAGAGTGCGATTTGAACGAAAACGGTAATCAAGGTAGTGGGAAGGTCATTTCGTGTTCTTTGATACGCTCGTCGGAGGCATATCCGGATCTGCATGGGAATCGAGAGGAGGTAAGGACTCTTCGGACGGACGTGTTTCGCTTGCTGCGCCTGCTTGCTTTCACCGAATCGCTTCTCTAGTTCGACGCCTGGGGCATATCTCGCCTTATAGCTGTGCATCTTGGCCTTGAGAGCTTGGTATTGTGGGCTCTTCTTCCAGTAAGCTTCGAATTCAGCTGGTGTCCGGGGAACTTTGTCTGCCATGTCTTTCCGAGCGATTCTCTCCCGAGGATTGGTGATGGATGTCAAGAAGTCAGGGGTGATTTGTTTCAGCGGTCGCTCCCAGCCCATTTCCTCGAAATACTGGGCAGCCTCTTGCTGCGGGCCGTAATAGATCTGTCTACCTTCATACAATACCACGACCTGGTCGAACAGCTGATACATTGACTCGGATGTCTGGTATGCGGCAACAGCATGACAGGAGCCGACGAGATCAGAAGAAAGGCGAAGCGCTTGGACGAATTCGAGGGCCATGGCAGCGTCGAGACCGCGTGTGCTGTTATCCCAGGCACCGATAGGGGCCCTCGATAGAGCCATCTCGGCAATACTACATGACTTCAGTAAGCCATATATTACCATGACAGCTTTCAGAATGACTTACCTCACACGTTTCCGTTCACCACCACTGACACCACGGATAAAGTCGTTGCCTACTTTGGTGTTGTATGTATGCGAGAGTCCGAAGAACGCCATGATCACCTGGACCCTCGTCTTGACGTACTCCGCCCGACTCAGACCGCCGATCCGGTTGTGAGGTGCTCGTGCGTGAGCAGCAAACTCGAGTGTCTCGCCAACGGTCAGATGAGGGAAATGCTTGTCGACTTCTTGGTTGTATAGGACTTCACCCCGGTACTCCTTGATCATCTGGTTGAATGCAATGCCCTTGTACTGGACGTTGCTTTGAGGGTCCAGATCCAGTCCGTGAAGGTGTCCACTGATGGTCTTGAGAAAGGTAGAGCAACCGCTACCAGGTCTACCCAGAACCAGCAACAGCTCTCCACTTTCCAGAAGACCATCATGGCTGTGTAAGATCGTGCGGCGAGTGCTTTTCTTGCTGCGGAATGCCGAAGCAGCCAGGTTAAAGGGGCTCATGAGGGTAGACAGCACCGTCTGCTGGAGGTGAAGCGAAGATCCCGATCCATGGACCGACAGATCCTCGAACAGGATACCTTGCTGGCGGGCATCAATATCTTCGGCGTCCAGGGCCCGGATGGTGACCTTGGCCCATTGATACGGATCGAACTGGGGGTGGCTTGGGTCTAATGCCTTCTCGTTGGTGATAACAGCGGCCAGCGACTCGGTGTGTAATTCAGAGGCGATATTGGTGAGGGCACGACGTTGCTCGTTGGTGACCACACTGGAGGCGGTTTGGGTCTTGGTGAGTTGCAGGCTGAGATCATTCTCATCTGCACCATCCCGGTGGGATGGATCCATGATTAGAAAATTACACGCTTTTCAGCGCAAAAGAATAACTATGGGGTATAAGAAAGATGTAAAAAGCAGATTATGGAGCCACAGCAACGGGCATCTATGGTTAAAGTGAAGATTCAATAGTACATGCTTCAGAACCTTCTCTACGCAAGGCAGCGACCACGCCCCTTGATATCTTGTTCTTCAAATTGGTGAGTGGAGCCTGTCGAATCCCTACGAGCTCCACATCCACGGCGAAATCGGTGACAGATTTTGATACATCCGGAAGTGGTCGCCTCCGAGACGAGAAGCAACAGGCAGTGATACTAGATTATTGGCTCCCGCAGTGCCAGATGGAGCATAAGAAATTTTATGTCAAATTGCGGGCGCGAGCTTAGCCGCCGCGACCCTATCGGCATTCGGCTTTGGGGGAACCGACCGGATCCAGCAAAATGTCCTGCCTGGTCAGGCACAACTCAGGTGCCTCCCCACTGGCTGGTTCCTTTCGGTTGCCCCGGGGGGCTCAAAGTCTGAAAGGCTTATGAGTCTTGGTTATCTATTTCCAGTAGTCGGCGTTGGAAATCCCGACTCGCCGACTGTGGGTCTGACGAGCGTTCACCAGACAAAACGCTGACAACCAATGGAGTGGATCTTGTTCTACCCTGAATTAGCAATCAATCAGGTTACGGGGCCTACTTCGGATTTTATAGTGTGTCACGGAGTTAAAGGGACATTACGGAGTATTGGTATACGCCTGCATCATGACGCTGCAGCTGGGTAATCCCTCGTCCGCTCCAAACAGATAAAAATGCACAATCGTCCACAAGGTGCAACAGATGCCCAAACCAGCACAATTACAAAGTAATCAAAGCCGCCTGTGCTGAATCTTGCTAACAATTCTCCGAGTAGGAGCTGACGTACTCCACGTGGTGTTGAGTTTCCTTCTGCGAAGGTTCTAGCCCCTGGATGACTCCTCCCAGCGGGTTGGCTTCAAACCGGCCTTTTTCGGCCCACTCCGTTCGGGCCACCAAGACCGAAGTCCCGTAGAATATCGCGTCGATCTCCTCAAGCCGCCGGCCAGTCGTTTCCGGATATAGGAGATAGATCACCGGCACAAAGCAGAAGTTAAACACCGTAAATACTAGATACCCCTTCCATCCCTGCTGGCTCATGAGCGAGGGTGTCATCATGACGGTGGCAAAGTTCCAGATCCAATTCGACGAGGTTGTCAGAGCTGTCCCCTGGGATCGCAGGTGGAGAGGCATGATCTCCGCATTGTACAACCAGGGAATTGCCAGGTATCCCAGTGCGAAGAAGGTGTAGTACAGGAAGAAGGCAACAATGCAGACAATCGAGGCTGCAAACGTGCCCGACCGGATCGTTAGTGACATTGTCAGGAAACAGCAGCACATGCCGGCAGCGCTAATCATTATACACCGCCGCTTGCCTAGATGATTGATCACAAAAAATGGGATGAATGCTGATAAGAGATACCAAAGACCGTTGAACCCGGAAAGAAGCAGGGACAAGTTATGGCTGAGACCGACGGAGACTTCGAAGAAGTATGAAATGTAATAGCCGATACTGCAGACGCCAGACCACATCACCATGAACATCAGCCTGCATATGATACATCCAATCAGCCGGAACGTCCCGCAAGGACTGATAAGCGCGACTTACCACCATCCAAGCATGAGTCTTCGGAGGTTTTCTGTGCGTGGCTCATTCTTGAATAGATCAACCCATCTGGTCGCTCCATGCCTGGCTTCAAGCTCCATAGCCTGCTGGATCAAATGGACCTCTGCTTGGACTTCGCTTTGTTGTTCATCCGATGTCCCATGCATTCTCATTAGTGTACACAGGGCCTTGTCTCTCTGCCCGTGGACAAAGTGCCATCTAGGGGATTCCGGCATCCATGGAACTGCACACCATCAGCTTTGGCACCGAAACAGTTGTTGCGAGTATGCACGAGATATATACCAAGGCACATTATCAGCACCGCAAACACGAGTTGCGCCGCGACAAGAAAGCGCCACTGAAAAGCACTATTTGCGGAGTAGGACAGAGCATACGCCATCCAGTAGCTGATGGTGGTACCTGTGCAAACCAACACATACTGAATGGCTCCGAATCGCTCTCGCTTCTTTGCCGGGAGAGTCTCGGCCTGCCATACTGGGATCACGGACGTATTCAGTCCGGTTCCCATCCCAGCCACGATCCGCCCGACGATAAATTGAGCTGGCGAGTATGCAGCTGTTTGAATGACAGTGCCGATGGAGATCAGGATTGTGCCGATTAAGATAGGGTTCTTACGGCCGATCTTCTCACTGAACGATATGCTTCCGACACAACCGAAAAAGCACCCCAGAGTGTAAAGACTGGACAGTAGTCCTTGCATGAAAGTCGACGGCTTGTCCATTGTTTGAAGGAAATCCTGAGCAAGTCTGCATACCAGTCAGAACCATAACTGGAGGTAGGTGATGACAGCATACAGCACGCCTGACATGAATCCCTGGTCATATCCATAGAGCAGGTATGAGACGCCACATGTTATGGTCATCAATATACAGAGCACTTGGCCCTGGGGGGTTTTCATGGTCGGCAACGGTCAGATTGCGCACTTCGATTATGTTGTCTACGATGAAGAGTAGAGACTCCTCCAGCTCTGTAGGAGGATGAAGGGGTCTCGCCGCTCAACATATGCTATGGTAAATCTGCACCCCGCATTTCACTGTTTCCCCATATCATCACATTACCCCAGACCCCGGATATCGAACCTCGTCGCGTCAACCAGGATATTTCTCCGACGCTTCGGGCGATCGGCAAAGTTCCGCTAAAATACACACGGCACCGTGACGTTCTCATTCTTGATTGACCCATGCACATTGAACAAAGTGCGGGGTTGATCGACCTGAAGAACAAGTGTTGAAACCCAACGAGGGAAACAGGCCGACATGATATATCATATCTCACGGTCGAGGGTACTGCGACTTGTACCTTAGCAGAGAGCACTTTCCAATTTCTCATGCTGTCTTCGGCGTATGTTCGGTACGATTAGATGGCTGACTAGTTAGTGTAGGATGACGTCAGTCGCAGCTTGCATGTCAATACACAGAGTCAGTGGATCGCCATTTTGGTAATGGCGTCCTTCTTGTTGCGGCAGAGCGAAGATCATTTTCCGACCCTCTAGTAGCAGAGGATGGGGCAATTAAAGAGGTATTTACCCCAAAACCATCAATGTACTTGCCATCGTGGGAGGGGTTCAGCTAAGCAGGCACTGCCTAATCATCACTTACAAGATACTGCAGCATTAGCGACCCTCTTGATTTGGTTGAAATTAGAGATCGTCTTTCTTCTCCTCGAGCAGTAGCTGATTATTTCTGTGGATATTCCTCTCCGACTCAACACATGCACGTCATGCGCCAGCTGTAAGCTATGATAGCTACGAATACCAGCTTGAAGGTCGTTTGCAAGACCGTCTTAGAGGATTTGAGTTCATTACTACCTATATATAGAAAATGGCTGCTACCAGTTGAGGGATTCGTCACTGTAGATAGATCTCTCCCTCCGACGCCGGACAGACCTTCTACCACTGCCTCCGTTCTAATCCTCAATGATGATTGAAGTACGCATAATTTATTCTTTCCCTCCAAACGAGGTTATTCCAGTTGTGCTCTTTCAAGAAATCCTGGCGGTGTTGTCGTGCTTCCGGCACCCCCATAGGCCAGTTGCCAGTATTTTCTATAATCTGATCAATTATCTCTTGGGGTATTCCGGCAGCGCCCAGTTCCTCACCTACGCCCTGTGCCCACCAGTGATGCTGCTGGGGTGGTACATTGCGAGTGGAGCAGATGCGATAGTGAGGGTCAACCAGATACAACTTGATGTATCGGCAATGACCCCGGCGGCTCCGATCAGCGAGGGAGAAGGGCTCGGCACGGTGCTCTAGGACGTTGGGAAATGTGATCAAACGCCCTTGCGTGACCGAAATTGCACCTTTATCCTGCCATTGTCTGTCTGACTCTTTGATAAGATCGTCCTCCGAGTATCCCAGGATTTGCGCTAATTCTCCCAATTCGGAGTAGCCAACTTTCCCATATTTGTGCCGCGGCGGCCACCGATAATCCCACCTTTGCCCTTTTTCTGCCCACACCCTATAATGGTAGAAGCGTTTATCAAGCTTGGTGTTTTGGCGGAAGGCGATCTGGGGCTCAGTGATATTGTCGGTATCGTATGCAAAGATGGCAACAGCTACAATGTGTTCGTTGAGTTGGCCCTCCATGTGCCAGTCCGTTCCTTCGTAGTCCGGACTCTTAGGGGTAAGCTCGATTTCCTCCGTGTTCACAATGACTTGCAATCCTTGCGAGCGGAAGGTGTCTTGAAGCCGAATGGTATATCGTTTGTGGGGAGGCGTGACTGGTTTGTAGGGTATACGATGATAGGGTATATGCCGATGCCAGTCATCCCGCTTGCGGTTTAGATCAACCACAACTCGGTCATTGTGTCGCCCCTTCTTCCAATTTTCATAAGAGAATGCCGTTCCTGGCTCCGGGTGGCTAAATCGCATCAGTCGCTCGGCCTTGCTTTTGATATAAACCCAGGGGTACTGCTGCCAGTCGTCCGGAACAGGAACGGGCGTGGTCGATCCATCCTCAGGGAGCTCGAGATACTCCTTCGCGCGTTGCCAGAGGTGGGACTCTGGGGGAGGCAGCTCCTTGTCTTCATCTGCTACTATGTCCGAATATCTTCGCAGCCATTCGTCCACATATCGATCCCAGTCTGGATACTGGTCCCTCTTACGTTTGGCACGTTTCAAGAGCTTTTCGCGAGCTTCGTAGTACTCCTCTATCCTCCACTCCTCGGGGACTCTGAACGCGAGCAGCCATTCAGGAAGCTCATTCTCCCATTCTATCCCATAAGTGATAATCCGTAGCGGCACCGGCCCCAACTGGCCGTGATTCATGACATCTTTCCAGCCGCGTTGTCCCCGCACTAGACAGTCGTTCCACAACGGGATCGCCCGGCTCACCAGCACTTCGATTGCACGGTAGAGGTCCCGGTGTTCCGGGTGCAGATTGTTGATGTATGAGGTGAGGCGCACCTGCGTTGATCCTGTATCCCCTACAAACTCCACTTCAGACGGCAGAGTTTGATAATTCGTGCTCCATCGATAGTGGGGCGCTCTTCTATAGTCGGCACGCACCCCCATGTGCAGCCCTTGGCCCTCCTCTATTTGCCTCTGGACGTACGCCGAATCTTTTCTTCTGTCGACATGAGTGGGCGCAAGGGTCGTCGCACTTTGATACGCGCCCAGAATATTCTCTACCTCTATTCGACCCCCATCATTCAAGACCAAGCTCCGCCCATAGACCAGCGGAAACATGTTCGAGTCAATGATACTTGAATCACACCATGACCCCTGATCGAACAACTCGGATTGCATGAGGGACCAGACCACCGGTTTCACTGCCTGTCGGAACTCCCCGGCCAGGTCTCCCGTTCGAAGCGCAGGAACATGATCTGACTTGCAAACACAGGACCCAGTGTCCAGCACACGAATGTGTCCATTTTGCCGATATTCAGTCGCCTTATCGCGTAGTTCCCTCACGCACCAGTCCCAGGCGCGGTCACTCAGGAGGGGATTCATCGCGATGGAGGCGGTGTTGTCTTGCCGCCAGCGCGCCACGACCACATCATCGAAGACATCGACATGCCAGTTCGGGCGGTCGGTCAGACGGTTCATTACCGCTGTCATTGCCAGCTCGCGTGCAGTGACGGCGGGCGCCTGGCGCCACTCTTCGATGCCGTGGGCAAAGCGCGCGTCGGGCGGGAGCACACATTTCAATGAGATGCCATTGAATCCGGGCACCCGAAGCGGGCCGTCACCGCTGTTATCGAAGGAAATGAGGGTGGGCTCCTGGATTGCTTCATCATCTGTGTCAGTGGCAGAGGAATCACCAAACACGATGCGAACAGGAGAGGGGTCCAACCGACGAGGGGAGAGATACATTTGACTAGGATGGGATTGGAGGATGTGAGACGAGGGTGAGAAAAGAGGTTTAAATATTCAGTAACACTGTAGCAATACTAGTTCAAAGATGGAAAGCCTGACTCAAAGGGTCAGCTGGTGACAGGGATCAGGAACAGCTAAGCTCCTTTTGTATCCAGACTAGTATAGCCTGCCCTGGTGGTTGAATTAGCCTATGGAGATACAGCTCGCCTCGTTTAGTGGATGATGGCTGATACACTGTTATATATATACGGACATTGATTGATAAACGGCTTCCTCTCCACTGTCAAGATTGACACTCTGATAGGAGTCAAATTCAGGCCGTTCATAACAGAGAAAACTTTTGCCCAGATAGGCGTATTATTAGCTATCATGTATGTGGTAAACAAAACTGCTCGAAATAGATTTGGGGATCTCGGATCAACTCTGTATCCGAATCCATAAACTTTAGTGTCCCGTGGAGGTTCCCCGATTCGGGCCGCCGCTTGGATGCGGAGAACACCCTTCGCGGACAAAATGAACACCACTTCGTGCGGGATTGTAGTACTTCCTCCTCACTTCTCCCGGTCCCGTCAAACGGTTGCTTCCATCAAGCTCATACTCTGATTATGTCTAGTCGACCACGAGCAGATCTCGACCTTGGAGGGACCAATTTGTCAAGCAACACAAGCCATGTTCGTTCACCTTTGCCGACCCGAGTCAGTAATGCGTGTGAAAGATGCCGTCGCCATAAAACTCGGGTAAGCGCGATACTTTCCCCTTATCAATTCTTTACCAACGTCTAGAATATGATATCCAATTATCTGACATCTGCAGTGCGACCCTTTCCGGCCTTGCTCCTTGTGTGCACGGGCTAAGGTGGTTTGTCGTCAGCTCCCTGCTCCTCAGAGGCCGAAGGATAAACATCGCATGTAAGTCACTCCATCTTCACGAGCATGACAAAAACACTTCCACTTCTCTCTGCGGGGTCACTAAACCCTGCATTCACTGACACTCGGTAGCTCAAAAGCAGCTTTGCAAAGCCGCCGGCGGCAGACGAGAACGTCAGCAGAACTTGTTGAGATCGAATCCCAAAATGGAAATACTAATAGCAACTGCCCCTCGACGTCCAGAACCGAGAGAAATGACACACACCTATCTGAAGAGGTGCATCAGGCGCAGTTCTTGATGGAATATGGCGAAGCTGAGTCTACAATGGGTATCGCCCAGAAAATATACGAGCTGGATAAGCAGGTCATCGATGAACAATCCACATCCGCCATTCCAGGATCGTGGAATAGCACAGATGTTGCTGACCGGCGCGCTGTAGCTGGAGGCCAGCGACGCCCTATCTCATCGATCTTAGGGCGCCATTTGCCTTCCATGGATGTGACATATTCCTTAATCGAGGAATACTTTGACTCTGTTCATTGGTTTTCTCTTGTTATTTACGAACCGACTTTTCGTTCAAGACTACAGTCTATTACAGACGGATTTGCTCATCCTTCCCAAAAGCCATTCTTGCTGCTATTGGCAGTCATGCTGGGGATGAGCGCCTGGTATCGATCACAAAGAACCGTCACGGATGCAGCCGATAGTAGTAAGTGGCGAAAATTGAGTGCCGATCTCATGAGTCTTGTCGAATTGCATGTCGTGGAATTGATGGATGAGTCTTCGGTGACAGCAGCCCAAGTGCTGATTCTCTTTGGGTCACACCATGTGTATCATGGTCGGCCAAACTTGTCGTTCTCTTTGCTCGGTGCAACTATCAAGATGTCCCAGGCTGCGGGGCTACACCGAGAATCTGCTACAGGCAAGTTTGAGGAGATTGAGGAACGGAAGCGAGTCTGGTGGACAATATACACTTGGGACCGTTTTGCGTCCATCACCTACGGTCGGCCATTGGGCATCAATGATAAGGACTGTAATCTCAGCATGCCAGCGGATAATCTGGAGAATCCATATTTTATTACACCAAATTCGGAGCAAGGGTGCACCATTTGCTATTCTCCTTACCAAAGAGAATTAAACACCCTCTACCTTCTGGCATCTCCAGCTCTGGAGTTCATTTTTGGCTCGCGCACTTCAGGTTCCTCCAAGGCATTGACTGGAGATGTCTACATTGAGCTAGTGAAAGAAGCGACCCAGAATCTCCAGAAGTGGCAGAGTAACCTTCCTGGCTACTTGACTTTGGACTTCGACCAGGATTTCGAACCCGGCAGTGGACCGAGTGCAAGAGCGCACGCTCTACAATCCTTGTCGTTGCAATTGACCTACGACAATATTCTCATTGTCCTCCACCGGCCGTTGCTGGCAAGGCAAGTCAGACATCTGTCGATAAGCCATCCCACTTCGGGCGCAGGACTTGGGACAGAATCGCCCAATCCACACCCTGAAGCAGGCTCACCAGCTCAAAAGCTGTCACCGTTTGAAGCCATGTCGCCTATTGAGCCGGTCAAAAGTTCAATGCACTGGTGGAATGCTGCCCTCAGAACGTCGCGTGTCACCGAAGTGCCGGTACTTGCTCAATTGGCAACAGATAGTCATCTTGTCGCCTTCCTTGCCATCAATATTTTCCATGCTGCAATTGTACTAGCGGTCATGGCTCTATCAGACCCATTATCAGACACAACGCAAGTGGCAAAGCGCACAATTACCCGGATCTTACGTCTACAGAGCCTTTTGGGTGAGCGGTCAGCTTTATCAAGACAAAGTACGACCGTTTTGAAAAACGTGGTCACTCTAATCCTTCGTCGCGATTCGGAAACTATCTTGGCTCCAGTCACAGGAAACAGTCAACAGACAGGGCACACATCCGCAACGGGATCAGCGTCCATTTCCGTGGAAGACACTCTGCGACTGCCCCTGGATGCCACAGTAACACCGATCGACAGTTCCTTACGGCGGACGACATGGCCAGACTATGGCAGAATTGATCGGTTGAATGAGAGTTTAGCGTCAGTCCAAAATGGTGAGAGCAATTGTCGTCTTCCTGTTCCTATGATATATCCAGAGAAACTAAGTGTCTTTCTACTTAATAGTCATTCCTTCTGGCAAGGATGGTAGCTTCCATGACACACACGGCGCGAGAGGAAGTCAAGAACAGCTGCCTGATTTTCAGGAGCACGCCCCGGCTGATAGCTCGTGGCATGGGTCATTCGGAGATAACTGGAATGACCCTAGCTTTCCCCTAGGAGTTCCAGAAATCACCCCGGAAGCCTTCGGTGATAACGGGCTGTATTGGCTATGGGACATGTCATGGGCCGGAACGGATTCATGAAGCCACGCGAATCTAGCTAGCACGCGAAACGCCTTACAATTTAATATAACGGACCGATAGGAGGATTGAGCTCGGTTTAGGTCAAGGTTGCTTTCGCTGCGTTTTCATCTGCCCCAGGTCCATAGATGACAGTCTTGATACCCTGTCGGTTGCCGACGTTCTTGAAAGCCTCTTCCGCCTGCGTGAAAGGGAACTCGTGGGTAACTAAACCCTCTAAAACAACCCGACCCGACGACAGCAGCCCAATAGCTGTTCGATAATCTCCTGGACCATACCGAAAACTCCCCCTAAAAATGGCCTCTTTATCACAGATTTGACCGACCGGCAGTGAGGGATTCGGTTTGCCCAAGCCGACTTGCACAAATGTTCCACCCGACGCAAGAACTGAAATGCCACAGTTCATACAAGGCTCGGCGCCGGTGGCATCCAAAACAATGTGGGCCCCATTGTCCAGCTCCATTTCTTCCAAAATTCTGGCAGCATTGTTTTCTGGGGATTCGTTGCTCATTTCATACGTGTGCGTGGCTCCGTACTTTTGTGCCACGCTGAGTCGGTCGGAGTTAATGTCAACAACTACAACTGTCGATGCGCCGAATGCGCGGGAAACGGATGCGCAGAGCAAACCGACTGGGCCAGCGCCAAAGACGACGACCGACTTTTGCTGCATATCTCCTGCCAGTCGACAGCTGTGCACTGCCACACTGAGCGGTTCGACCAATGCTCCGTGTTGCAAGGATACATGTGCTGGCAGCTTGTAGCAGCATTCTGCAGGAAGACGGTAGTAGGTCGCCAGTGTCCCATCATAGGGTGGTGTGGCAGCAAAACGCATCGCGCTACAGAGATTATATCTCCCCGCGCGACAATGATGGCAGGTATTGCAGGCAATGCCCGGCTCCAGGGCTACGCGATCACCGATAGCGAAACCCGATTTACTTCCGCATTCCACCACAATGCCAGCGGATTCGTGGCCAAGGACAATGGGGGCTTCGACCACATACCGCCCTATGCGGCCATGCTGCCAATAGTGGATCTAGGTCGATGGTAAGCTGCGGCCCAAGCTGGAAGGAAAACGATGAATGAAAGTAAAGCCTTACATCGGAGCCACAAAGGCCAGTCACGATAACCTGGACGATGACGTCGCGGTCCGTCTGAAGATTAGGTATAACACGCTCTTCATAATCGAATATGCCCCCGGGGTGTAAAACGAAAGCCTGTACAGAGACCGACCGAGGACGTCAGTAAGCGAGTCTATGTGCAGATATAATAAAGAAACGGACCTGATTGATTCCTGAAGGAGTCATTTTAGCCAAGTATTGTGTACAGGTCAACAAGATCTCAGGGATTGGTCAGGGCTTTTAACAGGGCACTTCTGGCCGAGTCGTACCACGCTGGAGGTCATGCCATCTATAAGGTCGGTTCCGGCGGATTGTCTCAAAAAAAAGTCACCCTATCCGTACCCACAAAATGAGCCATTTGCTTTACCAAAGGAGGCAGTTTGTTGAGACCAGGAGGCCATCCCACGGCGGGGGATAAATGCCTCGGAACCGAGTGGGGTCGGAACTGACCAAGCTGGACTCGGAACCGAAACCACACGGAACCGGTACGAGAACCCTTACAATTTCCAGCAACCGGCATCGTTGTTGTATTACGAAGGCTAAATTCAGTCCCGGAAGTCGACCGTGACTACGGGGTAATGAGATGAAATTATTGGCTGAGACCGAAGAATTCCCACTTCGACGGAACAGGAGTTTTGTTGCAACTGGTCGGCACTCACACTGGTCGCTGAGCTAAAACAACACGAGCGGGCCAACCCCGGATGGCCGACTACAGTGGCTCGATCCCGACAACCAGCTCCACTTTCAGGGCCTGGAGAAAAGGTCTGCTTCCCCACGGGACATAATGCTCTGGGGTAGAAATAGAGCGACGGCCACAACTGCTTAAGATGTTTCGGTCTTCAGAATCGTGGAGTCAACCTGGCACTGGCCTTTGACTCATTGATGGTCATCTTTCTGGCACTATGGCTACCAAAATGTCCTCTCTACCGGCGGATAATGCCGCTTTGACTCGCACTGCACAGGCCGTGGCTGCTCGGGAAGTAGAGCAGCAGAGCTGGCCGGAGAGAAAGCTGAAGCCAACGAAGGTGAGAGCTTGGTATCCCTTCAAGGGAACCCCATTGCTCTATGCAACATGTGGTTTCGGCAGTCTAGGTGATGCCCTGTTTGGGTACAACTCTTGTATACCTTTCTTCTGTCTGGCTTTCAGATAACCGAGTCAATCTGAGTCGCTGCTAATAGCTGTGCTATATAGGAATCATGTCAGGTCTCCTCGTCAATCCAGCTTTTGTAGCTCGCTTCTTCAAAGACTACGGCGGTGCTGACGGCTCAACAACCGGAGTCGATCCTTCAATCACCGGGATAGCTGTTGCTTGTCTACAAGCGTCCGCAGCGGTGGGTGCACTCCTTGCAGGACGCTTGGGCGATATGATGGGGCGCAAGCGATGTGTTCGTCTTGGCGGGTTCATCTACTTTTTCAGTGCGTTCATTCAGATCTTCGCGCCTGGGTTTGGCACCTTCATTGCTGGTCGCACCATTCAAGGTCTAGGTGTTGGGTTTCTTTCCATGACAGTACCTATCATTCAGACTGAGATTGCCGCCCCGCATCGTCGTGGTTTAATGGTGGGAATTGAATACACGTTTCAGATTGCAGGATACATGCTTTCATGTTGGGTAGATTATGGATTTAATTTTCTTTTGCCCAGTGAAATGTCCTGGCAAGGTCCATTCATCATCCAGATTGCTCTCTCCTTCATTCTTCTGGCCATGTCGTTCTTTCTCCCCGAGACACCTCGTTGGCTGGCCAAAAACGGATTTATGCAAGAAAGCTTGCAGACGGTCGCTGACCTTCACGCCAATGGCGATACTCAAGCGGAACATGTGCAGCAGGTGTTTGTGGAAATCGAAGAAGCAGTTATCTTCGAAACCAACTTAGGAAAGTCATCTTGGATGGTGAGTGTTATTCGCCCGTGGCGGGCATACGTGCAAGGGCAAGACTGATGATAGATAGGAAATGTTTACCCGATACCGGAAGCGGACCATCGTCGGAGTAACTGTCCAAATGTTTGCACAACTTAACGGAATCAACATCATCTCCTTTTACCTTCCCAGCACACTTGCTACCGCCGGCTTCGATGAGCGAAAATCCCTTCTGTACACCGCAGCCAATGCACTACCTTACACTGCGGCCACAATTTCGACTTGGTGGTTAGCAGACCGATGGGGACGGAAACCATTACTAATCCTTGGAGGTGAGTCCATTTTCTCCCATCCCGATACCTTCATGTACACTGTAAGCACCCGGCTAAGACATGCATCAAAACAGGTATCGGAATGGCAGTCCTGCTTGGCATCGTCTGCGCCTTCACCGAGGCAGACCTAGACGTCCAGGTCCGCGCCAAGGGTCAATACGCCTTCGTTATGCTATACAACATCCTATACGGCTTCACCTGGGGTCCAATGCCATGGCTGCTACCAGCTGAAATCTTCCCCTTGCGTGGCCGCAGTAAAGGAATGGCTCTGGCTACTACCAGCAACTGGATCTTCAACTTCATCATCGGCATGGTATCTCCGGATGCGTTCGCAGGTATCAACGGATACTTCTACGTTGTTATTGCTGGGTTCTGTCTCTTCTCTGCAGGTCTGGTACACTTCTACTATGTTGAGACGGCCAATAGCACGCTGGAGGAAGTTGCAGAGTTGTTTGGTGATACAGCGTTTGCAGATGCTGATGGGGAGGCGAGGGAGGCTTCTGACGTGCGGATAGATTATAGGAAGGATGTTGTGTGATTATCATCAGTCTGTGTGCTGTGCAATATTGCAGGCAGCACTGGCCCATCGCATATCAGCGTGGCGGTACAGTCGTCATACTCTTTTGAAGAAATATGTCTATGCTTACGGAGCAGAACCAGGGTACATAGCTCCCTTCACCAGGGCTAGTCTTTCCGACAATAATGATGACGATGAATACGAGACCCTATTCGCTATTGCTTTTTTCCCAGATATACTGATCCCATTAGCGGCTCCTAAACTGGAAAGGTAAATAAGGCTCCAGTTGCGTGAGTCCTATAGTATACAGAATTGGCTATGTAATAGATACTGCCCAGCTGGCCAACACACTTAGCCACCATTAGGGATACAGCTACTAGTATGACCCTAAATAATAACAGCAAATCAACAGACAACACTGAGATAGAGGTAGAGCTAGCTAGATACCAAAATAGCGCGATAATAACAAGAATTACAAACAACAACTAACGTATTCAACCCCAGCAACGGACCAAATCCATAGCTCACTCACCGCCATCTCACCATGACACAAGATAATCGGGCATTGTTGAAAGACACGAAGAAATCTCATGCCTATGGCAAGCTAGAGAGACACCAAGACAGCCAGAAATCGGCCTATGTCCCTGTGAAACCGAATCAACCCAATCAAACAGGAGTCTGGCAATCGACCGTCTTATGGTGCTCGTCGTATTCGCAGTGATGACGTTCAGTCTTGCACTGTAGATAACACATTAGCATAAATCAATCATACCAGAATAGAAGCAGAAGTCTTGATATACCCTCAAATTAGCAGCCGAAGGACAACTGACAATGTGGTCCTTTCCGCCCTTTAGGTATGTGCAGGTGTTGTGCTCAACGCTGCATTCCTATTATAGTTCATATATGTTAGTCCCATCTCTACAGCGATAGAGAACATGGAAGAAAGGAAACCTACTCCTCCGTATTTACTAAGCTCCGCCTCCCGAGCAACGAGATTGTCCGCCTCGGCCGTGATAGGGGTGGCAATGGCGCCCATTGCGGCGAAGAGGATGATGGCAATGCTGGTGAGCTGCATTTTGAAGATGTAGGCTTGTAGAAGTTGCGGTGGTGTAGAGTAGTTAGAAGAGAGGTAATTTGTTGAGCTGATGAGATTGATATCTTGTAAATTGGAGCGCCGTGGAGGTTCCTTATATACACTGCCAGTTCGGGGTACTCATGCCATTCTTGACAAATACTATCCTCGTTTTGATGCGGTTATCATTAAAGCTGCGGTCTAGGGATAGTCTAAGCTAACCAATGACAGATATGCCTCATATACTGGAGGAAGCATATTGACTTGGAAGTTCGTGTGATCTCTTAGAGGTAGTCGAGATTGTTAGTAATACGACTGGGGCGTGATAGTCCGGACAGAAGGATCCTGGTAAGCCATTTTATAGCAGGATATTGAAGTCCTGGGTGGCCTTACATCTTAGGTGACGCTTGAAGAAGGAAAGATCCTCCTGACCCTCCACTCGCTGAGATGTCGTTCATGCGGGGTATAGCATAAGGCTCAATGCTAACAGTGACTAGTGGATTTGCTCGAATTGGTCAAGCATTTGGCTCTGCACAAGTAGTCTTGTGTCCTGCTGCAGGGCTGGGACGTAAGTCCTGCCGAATAGGGCGATTGGGCGATGTAACACTGTAAGCTTCAGACACACCCTATATGCAACTTGAGTAAGCCAACCCTTGAAACAAGGAGGTGAATTGAGTTGGCTGCAGGTTCGCCAGGTATTAACAAAAACATTGAATTGAGACCGCACGGGTGGAGATGCATCTATGTTAGTCTACAACACTAAGCTTGCATGAAGCTTCCAGGCTCAGAAATACTGTCTGGAGTGTTAAAGAAGATCTCACTTGTTAAAAATCCTTATTTCTTTTCCTTATGGAAACAGCGCTCTCTGGAGGATCAACAGTACATCAGTGGTACATAAGCACTAACGCACTTTGAGGCAACACACAATCATCGGCAGTTCGTCGTACTCAATTCCCTTCATGCGCCCAGTGCTTTGTCTTCCGTCCCGGTCCGGACCTGAGTCTTGCTGAATACTTTGCATGGGGTTACATTCTTAGTAGGAGTTGTGATGATCGATTATGTCTGTTTCACAGATTCCCTGTATGCATGCTGCTATGAGGCTAGCCCCTTGACGATCCAGAGCGGCTCTCGAACCAAGCATCAAGTTGGTCACATTTAATGTAACCTCAAACAATGCTAATGTATGCAGGGCTCTCATCACATCCCGAGTACGACTCAGCCCTGCAAGCCGTCTTATTCGCAGCAATGCGGGGTTGTGACTTGTCCCTGGTGGATAGTTGCATGATTAGCAACTACTTCTGTCTTAGCTGCGGCTGATCGACAAGCAAACAGGGGAACTAGTTAAGCCCGTCAGCCTCTACACGAGTCCAGAATTACAGATTGGGCCGTCAGCCTTGCCAGGCCCTATGTTGCTGCCTAAGGAGCAGGGGTCTAGAAGGTCTTCCCAAAAGAGAGAATCCTCTGTCCCCTCGTAGATGATAATTTCACAACAATCAAATTCTAACAACTCTTCCACGTCCTTGCTACCTTCTATTTCTATCTGAAGTCTGATTGAATCATCATCCAAATTCCACTTTGCCAACTACCACAATGGACCACCTCCGTGATTCCTTACTGAGCTCCCTCCCAAAAGACAGCCCTTCTACCGCAGCGATCGACTATGCTCGCAGAGACCAGGAAGACACACGACGGGCCATCGCTCAGGGCGAATTCCAAGAAGTTCGAGACATAGCCTTCAGCAACCGGACTTGGGTCGTTACCAGCCGCTACTGCGACATCGGAGATGGTGTTGACTCTCTCGAGGGTCACATCCACTCCCTATGGTACATGTACTACGAGCTAGGGCGAAACATCTCGTCAGAATCCCCCGAACACGAGGGCTTAGTCCTCAACATCCTTCGCATTCAAGGAATGGGCCCATTAACTAGACCCGCACGCGGAGTCAATGGAATCGACATCGCACGAACTGTCGACGGCACACTGTGGAACGATCTCCCCTTCCTTGTTGGAGATATGACCAACTTCTGGATCAACCACAGTGCATCTATGTCGGGAACCCACCGGCTCAACTTTGCTACATTCCTAGCTAAACTTGCCTCCACGCGTGTTGCCAAGGATAAGTTGTGCCAAGTTGCTCTCTTGATCTTCCGCACTCTGCTGGAAAGCCCTGTGCAACTCCATTCAGGGAAAGAGTCTGATGAGGAGGACGTCAATAGAAGCACTAAGCAGTTGGAGGTGTTTCATCTGCTACCCTCTGCTATTGCTTGGCTGAAGACAGCAAATCACAACCTCCTTTTGCTATCAGATGTATATTGGAATGACTGTCCGAGCCATATTAGCAAGGGTGGTGAGATGTTCGTTGAATCGGATCTCGGACTGCGATCACCTATGGGATTCTCTCCATGGAGATACATGTTCTGGCTGAGGCGACTTCATGAGATTCGGGATGAATCTAAGGAGGCGGATGAGAAAGCTTTGGAGGAGCTTGCTGCTGATGGTATCCAGTATATGGTCAATACGATCAAGGAAAGAAATTCGGAGGTCCTTAGGGCTTATAAGAATGGTGGAGATGGTCTGCATAAGGATAAGTATCTTTCATGTCTAAAGGCTCTTGCACGGGTTGAGGTGTAAGAGTAGTGGAATTGGGATGGAGGTTTGAAGAAGGCTTGGACTCGGAAAACATCTTCTCCTTTCTCAGCCTTTCCAGTTCTTCGACGTAATTTCCACCCTCTCTGCTCCTTATTACCAATATCTGGTCAAATAATTATCTCTTCTGTCGGGAATAATTACAGTATAGCCTGTAAAATCTCGAACTATGGGTAGCCAAAGGGTAGATCTAAGTAGTCTTTTCTCTTATTGATTGATTCATTTACACCGATTGTCTCAGCCATTACTCCCTTTCCGCCCATTTAGAATCACCCCGCTCTACGTTCTATCCATGACTTCCAGGTCATAAGCCTTGCTAGTGGAAGCAGTGAAATGCATTGCCATTAATTGAATTGTTTGCTTGCATCGGTGAATCATGTAGCAGAGCTCATATAATACTCCTTATCTATAATAGTATTACCCTTTCCGTATCCTTATCAGCAGTAACATCCGAAAGTGGAGACGAAGATTTCTGCCAACGGTCGCTAAACAACCAGCTAAACTTACGACTACTTTCGGTAGAGATCAGCGCCAGTGAATAGGCGGGACGGCACTTTCTGCAACGTCAGACTAGCGCGCGCTGGTTGCTGCAGAATGGGAGGAATGGGCTAGGCTTATGGGAATGAGATCATCCGGATAGACCGGGATATTCAAATGCGGGGTAGAAGAATGTCCTTCTTTCGTGTGTAAAGGTTTGAATTCGTTGAGATACATGTCCGGGTATCTGTGATTATTCAAGTTCTGATGGTTCATTTGTGGATGTGTAATTCGAAATATTATGCTAGAAAGTTGAGGTATATGAATATCTGTATTATATTATAGGCGTATCATTAAGTCAGATATCGGTGGAAAGTTGTCGCTGTGCATAGGTCAATGGAAGTGGTGATAACACTGCCTTCAATTGGCTATAATTTCAGTTGACCGTTTCATGCCGGATGTCATTACCGGTGACTGTAACACCTTGTGCCAGTCATGCAGCATTGCCGTGTTGACAGTAGACAGGCCGACTTCACTCCCCGCGCGGGAAATCATCTCATCTTCATACTCCCTTATAGCGTCAGCCCGCGTTGCCGCTCCAGAGACAAACCGTCGCACTGCTTCCACCAAATTGGCTGCGTCGGTAATGGAATGGTTCAAGCCCTGACCACGTTGATATGTCATGGCGTGTGCTGCATCACCAGCCAATGTGACCCGCCCCCCTCGGTTATCCCACCTATGGGATTTTTCGCGTGGGTCAAAGTCGCTCAGGCCCATGTGCCAGACTTGCTGGTCATCCGGCAGCCATTCAAACGCGCTCTTCCAAGGATCAGTGTAAGTCCTGGCAAACTTCTTGACTTGCTCACGCCTTTGTGCGTTACTCCAACCAGCTGTCTCCCGTTGCTCCTGCAGGGAGGAATGCCATGATATGTAGAAGAAGAAAGTCCAAGTTTCTGGTCTCTCGCGATCTGTTGCGTCGTGTAGGCCGAAGAAAGAGAAATACCCCGCAGGATTAATTCCAGCGATGTAAAGAGGGTGGAACTGTCGTAAGTAGCGAGCACGCTCTGCGGAGTATTGGGCCTGGACAAAGGTTGCGCAGTAAGGAAGCCGGCGGACCTCCCCTCTGTTAGGCCCTAGCAAGACGTGTCGTGTCGTCGAGCGAGCTCCATCAGCGCCCACTATAATGCTAGCTGAAATGGACGAGCCATCTTCGAATATGGCAGTGGCATGTTCGCCGTCGGCAGAACACTGAATATCCTGGAGCTTTTGGCCATACCGAATGTCTAAGCCTGGTTCCATCAGGCCTCGGAGTTTCCGACGACGCAACCGATAGAAAAGACGCGCAGGGATGGATGCCATGGCCTCTCCGGACTGTCCGTTGAGGAAGTTGAGAGCATCTTGTTCTGCTGTAGGCTCATTAGGATCGACTTGGACTGACTGGATTCGTGACCATTGCTCTTCTGGTAAGAGAGCTTGCAAAGGGCCTGCGCCCCAGTGCAAGCCCATGTTCCAGTCACGGTTATGTGCATCTAAGCTGTCATGTTTTTCTACCACAATAGTAGGAATCCCAGCCTAAACGGAAAGGGTTCAGCTAGGAGGAATACAGAAGTAGGTGTTATAACTACCTTTTTCAACCCCTGAGCCAAAGCAAGTCCAGTTGAACCTAATCATAATCAATCAGCGTTATGTGTCCGGATCCTTGGTGCAAGGCTTCATCGTGAGGTTGGAAGTCCCACGCGACTACCAAAGCCTTACCTGCGCCCACAACGAGAACCGTGGTCGAGAGTTTCGGCTCCGGGGGGGCCATCATGTCATTTAAGGTGCACAGAGCTTCCGGACCTCGAGTGGATACAAAAAACAAAGCTCGTGGGCTGGCAGAGAGATGGTCCAACTATGTACAGTGGGTTGGAAGGATAAAAGCAGACGTGTGGAACATGTCAAAAAATCCATGATGACGGAAGTAGAGATTCTACGCACACAAGGGTCATGATGGGCCTCCGCGACTCATGACACTCTTGTGATTTGTCCACTAAGGCTTCGCCAATCTGCGGATCTCACAGGCGAACCCCAGTGGAACCAGGAAAAGTACTCCGTACCACGTTATTACAGTGCCGCGCATAGTGATCATTACCGTTAAATCATCACATTGTCCAGCACCGAATGGGGACTTTAGGCCCCAGACAATACCAGGGGTCACGGCATTTAGCAGAGTGCCGAGATGACTGCATTGCGTGTGCTAGTCTGGGCCACTGATAAGCGGCTGCTACTACCCATCACGGGTAGGCCACACAGTGGGAACAATTGGACATCACCACGTCCGTAGACTATGGATTGTGCCATCACGCGCCATGAATCCTGATACACCATATTCTTTGAATGTTGTGAGAAGGTGTACAACTCTCTTTTAGAAGGAAAAATGGTGCGTTAAAGCTGCAGGCTTGAGGGAAGCCGGACTCGAGCTGGTGACGTCAAGAACGCAGCATTAGTGTGTTGTTGGGCGGAGGCAGACGGACGCCGGTGGGAGGGGCACAATCCCCATTGCCAGATGGTTGCAGACATGCAGAGCAGCCAAAAAGGAGACGACGATCGTCATGACTTGCACGTTGTTCTGCCAATGGAGTGGCTGCACTGCCGGATTCTGCAGCCAAATGCCGGTAGCATGACTAAGCCACTCGTGCAGGATCAGCTGTGCAGGCTAAACCTAAGGTGGTCTAGCGGATGCATCTGCAAGCCATGTGACCCGCATTTTACTGCATCCGATCGGAAAGAAATCAGAGAACAAACCCGAAAAGGAGCAAGCAGCAAAACTCAAACCGGCATCTGCCACCACTCACAGCTCAGGGACGGTCACACCGCCCCCGCAGGTGACCCTGAGGCCGAGCAGCCCGAGGCCCTCCGAAACGGCCGAGAGCCGATCATCCACGCAACTAAACCGCACTGGGCAGGTACCATCTGTCCGTTCAAACAGCTTCACCCTCAACACGTTCCACACTGCAATCAACAGTAAACCTTCATCTCCAGCCTGGGGCGTTGCAGACCGCTCAACTCAGGTTCCGCTCTCTCCAGCTGCACCTGATGGCTTTCCCCCTTTCTTCTCGATCTTTCCGGTCGATCCTCTCTGCCTCCTTGTGCAGTTTTGCATCATCGCAACCACCACACTATTTCCTCAAATCTGAACCCCGCTTCTCCTATTTCCAACGGTGCTGGGTCTCCTGCTTTCGTTTCATGGAAAACACCCCCTTGCACTGCCCCAACCGTTCGTGTGCCCCGTACGGAGGAGATCTCCGCAACCGTCCACAGATCTCGGCTCCCGATCGCCGCCATGACCTCTTCCCGCTGCGAGGAACATAGCCTTACCACTGAGATCCCTTTGAGCATCAGCACAGATACCCCACACCGTGTCTATTCTTCTGTCGATATGTCAACCCGCATGAGCGATGGCGAGGACAACATCGCGGACGATGACTCCGCGTACGGCGAGGACTCCTTGATCGGCGATGACACAATCACCTTGTCCACTTACATCACCGACTACCGATATGAGTATGGCCGTCGCTATCACTCGTATCGTGATGGAGCCTACTGGGTGGGTTGTTCGGCTTCGAGGGAGTTGTCCACAGCTGTGGGCTAACAGATTACGATTCCACCTGCAGGGCCCCAACGATGACATCGCCAATGAACAGCAAGATCTGGCGCATCATATGTACTGTCTGACTCTCGACGGGAAGCTACACCTAGCACCCATTTCGAATCCACAGGTATGGCTGGCGTCGCTTGAAGCATCTTGCAGGCTTTTTTGAGGTCTCCTGACTCTTGGAAAGCCCGAGTCGACAACTGTCTAAGAATAAATCGCAGGAAATCCTTGATGTGGGTACGGGAACCGGGATATGGGCTACGTGCGTGATCACTATTGCTTCCGTCGTCCATACCATGTACCGAATACTGACTTTTGGCTCAAGCGACATGGCAGATGAATATCCCAGTGCCAAAGTTACCGGAGTAGACTTATCTCCGATTCAGCCCCCATTCGTCCCTCCGAACTGCGTGTTTGAGATTGACGATGTGACGCTCCCGTGGACCTATGCGGAAAACCAGTTCGATTTTATTCACGTGCGGGAATTGTTTGGCTGCATACCTGATTGGGACGAGTTCTTTCGGCAATGCTGGCGTTGCCTCAAACCCGGCGGTTACATTGAGGTGGTAGAGCATTCGGTCGAGCCGGTCGCGGATGATGGGACCGTGCCCCCAAATCACTTCTACCGACTCTGGGGACAAACCGTCATTGGTGCCGGAGAGCAGTTTGGCAAAACCTTCAAAATCTGGGAACAGAGCGCCGCACGTCTGAGGGATGCAGGTTTTGTTGGCGTTGTGGAAAACAAGTTCCAATGGCCAATGAACGCGTAGGTCTTGCTCCTCTGTTTCCGCGTATCTCTTCTGGCTGACGACTATAACAGGTGGAGTGCAGACCCCAAGCTCCATGAACTTGTAAGTAATTGTCCTTTGTCAGTGCTGCTACTGCTAACACTGTCTAGGGCCGCTGGAACCAGCTTCGACTGCACGGTGGGGTAGAGGGCTTCATGCTTCGTCTTCTCACTTCCACGCTGGAATGGTCATACGAGCGAGCGCAGGTGTTCCTCGCTCAAATGCGCGCCTCCCTGCGCGACTACCAGACCCACGCCTATCTACCAGTGACCGTTGTCTACGCTCGGAAGCCTGAGAATGGTGCTGTTTTCCGATAGGCTGACTGTCAACTGGTCTCACTGACTTATGTATCTGTATACTTCGCTTTATACCCCATGACTGATGTACCATATGATGAATAATGAGTTACAAGCATTTAAGATGAGAACTGTACCATGATATGATTCTCTGGTTACAATTCCAAGTGGTTATTCACAACAATGACCATAGGTCCTCTCGAATTATATATTCCTAGTCAAACCCATGAAATAATCCTTCCTTAGTTCACCAAAAGAATCAATATAGGAGGTATCCGTGCCAACCATACGACTGTAGAATGAATACAGAGCACAACAGAATGTACGATCCCATAATCCAGCAAACTAGTAGTAAATGACGGGTTACGCCCCTAACTACTATCTAGTAATTAGACTACCAAAGAAACACGCGGGAAAATCCCTACCACCCCACGTGTTCACTGCATTAGCGCGGCGGAATCCCTGCAGGGACCATTCGACAAAATCCGACATCTCCTACTCCAATTTCTCTTCACATCGCTTAAATAAACATTATTCTCCAATATTCTTGATCATTTGAAGTGACGTATATCCTGATCCAACCCTTTAATATAGCACTTGCTCATATTGCTCATTATTGTTGAGATCTTCAACAACATCCGATATGGTGTAGTGGCTAACATCGCCGTCTCTCACACGGCAGCCGGGGGTTCGATTCCCCCTATCGGAGTTCGAATTCTCTTTTTGTATTTTTTCAATCCTCTAATTCTTACCAATCCTGAATGAAAATTTTTGGTTCTCGGTTTTTTTTTGTGGTTGCGGTTGGGGCCATTGTTCGTTTGCTTAACCCTCCGCGTAGATTGTGTCTTCATTGGGACTGTCGCACTCTGGTAGATAGGAGTAGCTGTATATAAACAGATATATATATTTATATATATCTTACGAAATTGAATTTTTCTTATTATTTGAAGCTACCTAGTAAATCCAGAAGAGTCCTACTGCGGTAGGTATTGATTCCTCTCTGGTTATATATTTCATCCGTTGCGGCATATGGATCGGGATATGCGAACGAATTAGTATAGATTGCGACAGTGCTAACTAGTAGTGAACTCTAGAAACCTTCGATATGATTATTGGGATGAGGCATAAATGTAGAAGAGTTCGTCACGGGCCTCATCTCATCTCTGTTGGCCTTGGGGAAGTTGAGAAACGCATCAGAAAGGTGTTGCGATTCCGTTATTGGATGACAGTGTCAATTATGCCTAAAAATCAAGTTTGGATCTACTAGAATACTTACTGAATGAAACAGAGACTGGATGTAGCCCAGGGCATGTCGACTGTCATTTACTGAAAATATGATAAATAGACTACTAGCACTACTACCGACTACTGCAGCACAACAAACTACTAAGCCTCGCCAATCGTACATCATATTCATCGTAAAATACACATATGTTTCTCAAGTGGTAGATCTAGCAGCATTACCGAGACCGTTCATCAATTGGCACAACCCCTGAACCAATGGGGGAAGCGCATCGTGGGAAGCATCTGCCCGCAGAAGCTCCTGAGTGACATCCATCGTTTGCCCCGGATCGGAGACAAACGCAGGACCTTGTCGACCCTGTAATGCCGGACTCCCACATCCGAGAGAGATGAATTTCTGCACGTCGGTCGTCTCGTCTCCATCTAGATAGACTGTTGGGCCGCGGATAGTTGAAGGCGGACCCAATGGGCGGCTCTCCGAGGCCAGTTTATTATTCTTTGCCTTGAGCACCACGCTATACGACCAAAAGGCCAAACTGGCATAGTACACACCTACTGCTAGGAAGCCAGTTAGCGACCCCGCGGGAATGGCTTTGGCGGCCCGTATGACTTGGCCGGCATGCCACACTGCACGTCGCGAGTCGATGCTGCTGATCCAATCAAGCGCACTGTGGTAAACTCGCCGTGCCTCATTCTTGTCTTCCTTCCCGGCAAACAACTGTAGATCCTCTAGTGACATGTATAGTAACATCGAGATCATCTCGTATATTAAGATAACTTCAGGAATGGGAAAGCTAGGCCACTCATAGCAAATCATGCGAAAGTGCTGCAAAGCTTGAGATAGTTCCTGGTGTCGCGAGTTGGTTACCAATGCATTCCAATGTTTGGGATTTCCCTTGGAAATAAAGCTAAAACGGTGATACTCATTCACCATGGCCGAAAAGCCGTGTAGGAGGATGCAACCGGCCAGTTGCAGATCAACAACTCCTTGTAATCGGGACATGTCCCGCAATGCCTCGACTAGGGACGGCTGTCGCTCGGTTGAAAGTAATCCAAGGGCTAGGTAGGTATCCCTCCATGCTGCTGCTGACTTGGCGTCCCATAGTGCGCGAATGGATGGGAGCGGAAGCTCCAACTCTGCGTACGAAATGAGTGGACTGACGTTCAACATCATCGCGCATTGGGCGTCATGTAAAAATAGATGATGAACGAGTCTAAATGTGTGAGCCCAGTCCAAGACATGGTACAAAATGGTAATCACCTTCTGAAAGATTCCTGCTCGATCCAAGAGTGCCATTTCTTCTGCAGTTCTTCCTCGTTGTCCTCAGGGCTTGGAACAATAGTCGTATAGATGGTTCTGCGAAAACGCAATGCCCGTCGAAGCATCTGAACCTATAGTGAGCGATACCCTTTCTAGTGCAGGCGTGGAACTGACCGTCACCAGTGGTTGTTGGAAGCTTTCCGCTATTTCTGTCCTCCGACCATTGCCGCTCCATAAACCAATGTCAATGACGACTGCGAATGTCTGCGAAGGCCGAAGGTGGCGCGTGATGCGGTTATCTGACTCATACTACCTATCATTAGCATCGGTAGAAGAAGCACCCATAAGGCAAATACCTTAGTCGACATCTGGAGGCGTGCAACTTCCATCAATGCGTAGCCCAGCTTACGGATGGTTGGGATAGCCGAGCGGACTGCACCAGAGGCAGCAAGAGCTGTTAGCATGTCGGAGCTCTCTTCATTGGGGTAGAATGTGGGAGCATGAATAAAAGGATCAAGCTGATGGCTTTGGTAGGCGAAGTAGTCTTGTATGAGACCATCTAAAAGCTCAGTGCTCGGAAATGATTTTATTATTCGCGGAACCGCGGTCTTCTCGCTCGTCTGCAAGACCATTCCGAATATAAGATCACGACTACCCGAGGAGAGTCTCTCAGGAAGGATCTGGCGCTCGCCCCTAATACTCGATCCTGGGCTGTCCATAACCACTGGGACTGATAAATCATCTTGGTCAGCAAAGACATGGTCATGCTGTGCAGGTTTCCAGGCGGACAGCGATGACCGTTTGTAGGCCTCCGCACCAAGCGCAATCCTACTATCCACATCGGACCGATCATTGGGTGCATCAGGGGGCTGTGGAGCAGTGTGTGATAGTCCCTGGGAGTTGAAGTAGTCGATCAGGCCAAAGTCGACATCAGTCAGATCGAAATCAAATTGCATGTTAGTATTGAGAAGGTTATGGCGGTAGTCTGGCGTAGGATTGATGGAATTCAGGGGGTCGAATTCGTTCGGGCGGGATAAGGATGGTATGAGGGAATCGGGAATGAACTCGGGGAAGAAGGTTCCATCGACACTGAAGATACCACTTTCATGATCTAACGCGGGTGATATTGCTTCGATGAGGCTCCCTTAGCACACGCCACAGTATCAATACGGTATAGGCGCGACTCACCATCATAACTGGTAGTCGGAGGATTTTCGGGAGCGGCGTCGGGCGGATCAGGCAAATAATTGTTCACAGTAAAGTCAGGAGTCGCAAATGGAGGATTATCTATAGTAGCTGGGAAATCGCCCATGGCAGGCATTGATGGCGAGAATGCGGTCTGCGGTTGAGGGGGCTCGGGGTACTGGCTTTGGCTGTCTGGATCATCGTACCCTATATCGCTCAGTGACCGGACACAGCGCTATTGATAGATGAACCAACCTTGCATAGGAGAACCAGGGGTCAACTCATCGAATCCCGCGTCGTGCCAATCGCAAATAAGCTTTTTGTCCCGACAACGTCGACAGGGTTTCTCCTCGTCGCATTTGAGCTTTGACGTGGCGCATGCTTTGCACGCCTGGGAGACCCGACCGCTCTTCGCATATTGCGGGGGACGTTTGCGCTTGCCATCTCGCGGATGATCATGGCCTGCAGCATGTCGCTTCATCAGATCCCTGATGCGGTGCGGTCAGAACCAGAGAGAGGATGGCAGGGACGGATAAGGACGGACGTACGGCCTGGCGAAGCCTTTGTTACACACATGGCAAACATATGGTTTCTCGCGGGTATCTGCGCATGGAGTTAGGAGAAGAGATTGTTGATGACATTAAGTGAATGACATACGCGACCGGACATGTCGAATTAGGTGATCTGCTCGATTGTAGTGTTTCTTGCAGAACCCACATTGAAAATATCCATCGCGCGCTTTGGGGAGTGGTCGTGATGGAGATTGTGCCGGGAGTGACGGAGAGGACTTATCGAGCATGATGGAGGCGATGCATTGGTGGAACAGAAGATGGGATGAAGGAAACGATGAGGTGAAGAAGAGGAAATAGTGTTAAGCAGAACGAAGAGAGTTGGGATGAGAGACAGTGTGGGGAAGTCACGATGCGTTAAGCTCGGGATGGGAAAATGCGGGGAACGGACCCATAATTGGGGAATATTCCAGAGGGATAGTATTATAGTACTCAGTACTAGTTGCTATTCTAAACCAAATTGAAGACTTGTCTACGTATTTCTGCTGGGCGGCGAGGATGGGGCTGGCCAGTCTGGTGCTCCGCCGGCGCCATAAAGTTGGATCCAGCACTGGATGGCGCCATGACTAAGCGGCACAGGAACTGCAGGGCTTCAGGGATCGGAGGGGGAGCAACAAACCATCATAATGAGTATTCAGGATGTGCAATAATGGCGACCCGGATTCCACCGGGGATCAACCAGCTATAGGCAGAAGAGTTTTACGAGCACGCGTCTTCCCGGTCAGCCAGATTGGCAACTAAAAGGGATGGACCCTCGCGATGACCAGTGACGTTGCTTATCAATTGCTTTTGGACCCTTACAGCGTGCTCGGGATGTGGAGGCACTCAGCCGAGGCCCCTTCCTCGCTCCCATCCACGGTCATCCATCGCCTCCAGTTACCAACAGGGCCCGACTAGTCCAAGTCCAATTACTCCTCAGACCGTTGTTGGAAGTGCTATCACCCCCACAAGGACAATGAAAGCCGAAGCCGGACGGCACAAAACGGGTATGACTGCACAACCCCGACCAGACCCCATACGCATAGACCCCGCCAACTATAGCAGATCCACTCACGCCGCTAGCTAGGCCTCACCCCGGTCCACTTGTTCTCCCATGGCTCTCCGCTGATGATATACGAAACGACCGAATGCTCCAAGTACTGGCGCAAATGTGGCGACGAAGCACGAGCACACAATGTGAAAGGAATAGTGATGCTGGTGCGTATACCACAAACACCCCGGATCCACCCGTTACTCTACACTACCCACATTGGGGAAGGTACTTTGTTCCTCACGGACACTAACTCCAAAGGATGACCAAATCAGAGCTCCCACTGGGCGACACTAGGAGACGGCATCGAAGTGGCCACGAACCCCGCTCCCCAGATCTGCCCCATGGGTATCGTCCCGAGCAACGACTACAAGACCTACAAAATGACTTCTGACTTGTCCACCGCACAACGATGCATCGACCTCCTTCAAGCAGAGGGGTTCAACGTATCTGGCAACCCGCAGTACAACTGGATAGTAGACGTGTACACCATTATCCAGAAGATGTTCCCAGAGGGCAACCCCCCTCCGGTAACAGTGGTATCCAGTAACGCGCGATACGATCCCCACTACCATCTGAAGATAGGCAAGACACTGCGCCAACTCCGAAAGGAGAACTACCTCCTTATCGGCACAGGAGGATCAGTACATAATCTCTACCGCAATCGGTGGGGATCCATGGTCAAATATCGCGACTCTTTAGCACAGGAGATCCCACCAGAGGAGTGGGCACTAGAGTTCAAGCAATCTCTGGAGGATGTGATGACGAAGACATCGGGATTGCAGCTGCAGCGGGCGGTAACTAGGCTTATGAAGCATCCACAGTTTCGTGACGCGCATGGTACAGATGATCATTTCGTGCCGGCGGCTTTTGTGGCGGGGGCGGCGGGGGATGCTGAGGATGAAGGCTGTCATGGGGTCTTGGGCGCCGAGACTTGGGAGTTGAGTAATATGGCTAATCTGCAGTTTACGTTTGGGAAGTGGCCGAAGCAACCGCTTGTGGCTGCTTAATGCTTAGCTACATTTTTGAATACTAGATGTATAATCCATGAATTTTGATTAGCTGCTTAGCCATCCAAGCTTTGCACAGACTGAGCATCATGCTCATTCTTGGCGAAGTAAAGGAGTCCTAAACCTTATACTATCTCACATATACAAACTATGTCCGAATCTCACAGCATAAACTCACATGCATTCCAATTTTACGCCAATAAAATGATGTACAACCCATTACCCCCTCCATCTTCTCACAGCCGCATAGCCATAAATCCCCATCGTCGAAAAAGACGCCACAAAAGTAAACAGCGTGATTACACCACCAGTGATGATTCCCTGCTCGAAGAACCCAATTGCCTTGCCACTGCGCTGTCCGATCGCAGGCAGCGGCACCAATGCCTCGCGCAACGCGTCGTTGGACTTGGATGCGTAGCCTTTGATTATTTCTTGAACTAGAGCGGTGTTGCTGGTTTCCGTTACGAATTGAGGTCGAGGGACCTGCAGAGAGCGCGTTGAGTAGCGAGTTTCGCGCGAGGGTTGTTGGTTGATGGGGTATGCGGGGCCGACTGATTTTGTTAGAGACGTCTTTAGGGGATAGGAAATGGGAGAGCTTACTGAGAATGTCGACGGGGACGTGGTTGATATAGGATGTGTATGAGTCGATGAATTGAGTCAGGTATTTAGCGGCTGCTGGGGCGGAGAAGGCGTATGTTGCGGCTAGGGTTCCCATGCTACACGGTTGTAAGCTTCATTTCAATATCAAAGGAGACGGGTTGAGGCATACGATGTGCTGAAATCAATAGCATCGTCCAGGCTAGTCACGGGATGCAGGACAAGCACCTTTTCGGATACCTTCTTTTGCAGAAGAGGGGATTTCCTACTGCAGTCAGCATGCCATATCTCATGACTAGAGTCAGGAACCTACCGATCGTGCACCTCAACTACACCCCATTCAGACCCAGATACTATCACCCGTGCGCTGGCATCCTTAAACGCCGTATCGAGTAACGAAACACCCGAGCTCGTCCGCCGCGGGTTGACGGCCGTCTGACGGGCATCCCCATTCTGACCAGCAAGGTATTTTGACGATCGCTGAATAATGGCTTCCACGAATTCCTTCATGGCGAACTCCTGTACGAGTACAACGTCAGGAGAATAAGCTGAGCGACCGCCAAAAGCGAATCGCGCAGATACCAGTGCCTCCGCTGCGGCGGAGATGTTGGCTGTGCGGTCGACGATGGCAACGGTTCTGGCAGTAGTGGGCGAAGAAAGAGTGTTGTTAGAGGGAGTAATGGAGTCGCTCTGTGCAATTATGTGCGTTCTGCTGAGGAATGTATTGTCTGGTCTCTCTTCGCTGATGGCGAACGTATCTGCGTCCAGGGTCTGAGGCAGGATTTTCTTCAGGACAACCGGTATGGCCATGGTGTTTTTCGTCAACTGTTCAAGTCAGCTATGAATCAAGGTAGTTGACGTTGTTGAGCTCACCTCAAGGATTACACAGTTCCCAGCCGCAATGGCAGCACTCAGCGCCGCAACAACAGAGAAAAACATAGTATGCGAAGAAGGAACAATATAGACAATTCCCACTCCACGCTTCCCATCGTAATTATCTTTGCCATTGGCAACGCGATACTCCTCCTCCAGGTCTTTCTTCAGGTCCAGCGAAGCATAATGTGTGCGAATCTCCTTGAAGGCGAGGCAAATCTCTGCGCGAACCTCCTCCGGCGAGTTTCCCGAATCGGCAGCGATCGCTTCCTTGATCTGCTCGATATTCTGTACAAGAGCGGACTGTAAAGAATGGAATTGATTCTGGCGGTACCTGATATTCTGACAGCGACCGTCTATCTTTGCAGCGACAATGCGCTGAAAAGGTTGTGTTGCGACCATTCTGCGTTGATAGTAAGCGTGCTTGGTGGCACTCTGTTACCCCAAAGTATGGACTCTAGATGGATATAGTAGCAGGGGTTAAGCCAACAGTCACGTCACACCGACAAACACGCGATGTGGACACACACACTATTGCTCGGTAAAACCGCCCCAGCCAGTGATCCGATCATGCGGACAGAGAAAGAGTGTGCGGGGGAAAAATGGGGGAAGATGGAGGGATGGGTTGAGTCCGAGCGTTCGGGATGTGGGGGAATCAAGGGATGGGTTGGGATGATGAGCACATCCCTTTTGTTATGCAGGTCAGGTCGGTGCACTATCCACCGCTAGTCAAGAGGAACAACATCATCTGTTCTAACTTGCTGTTGTTTGTCTGCTCGTTGCAAATTCAAGATAGTTCTTCATCATGTCGTCTACAACCACTACCACAACTGCTACTACGGCCGTTGAAGCCAGCACGCTCTCCATCCTCTCCGACTACGAGATCCACCACACCGGCTCGGAAACCCAGCCTCAACCCCAGACTGCTCGTGACTCTACCCCGACAGTATCCCGGCCTGTGGACTGGCCTTCACACTATAGGCGTATCCCTTCATATCGACCTGTGAACCGGAGTTTGAGCTACGAAGAGCGATCAGCTGGGACGAATCCGGTAGAGTATGTGTTTATTCAGTCTATGTTGCACGGGGTGTGGCTGAATGCGGTGAGCATCTACTCTACTCTTTGAATGACTTGTACTGATATACCTGCAGTCTGTTGCGCGTCTCTGGCGCTTTACTGGTGGGAGGATCAACGACAAGATCTTTCATTATGAGATTGGCGGAGAGTGGTGATTTTAGTATAGTAATATATCTTATTTCAACCTTGCGTTTTACTCTCAGAGACCGAATATAGTATACTATTGGGATGATTTAAAGCTGTTCTGAAATATTCCAAAATATCATATACATAATTCTACTCCTATTTGTAGCCACAGTACCACGTGGGCAGTATACGAACGATATAAGATCACATGAAAACCTAATCTATATAACAACATACTCAGTAATCCGAGCATGCAATCAAAAGCCGCGTCACTCATAGATCACGAAATTGTATCTACAATCTCAACCTCGCAAGTATCTGCACAACAGCTATAGACATCCGATGCCATTCCATTCAAGCACTCTAAATACACCCCAGCCCAACCATCCAACCTCCCATCATCCCCCCAAATCAACAACTTAAGTACTATCCCTAACCTGAATGCCGCCCAAATCCTCCCCCAACTCCAACCCCTTCGCCGGCATAAGCACATACAACATCCTAGCCCACATCCCCTCCCCACCCTCTCCATCAGGGGTAACATTCCTCCAAGCATGATTCGTGCCCCTCTGCACCGCCACATCCCCCCTCTTAAGCAACCTCGTCTCGCCCGAGTCCAACACCAGCTCAACCTCCCCCTCCAACACAACCCCATAATCCACCGACACGGTGCGATGCATCGGACTCAATGCATGGGGCGGCATATCCACAATGCGACACACCGAGCCCGTGGAGATAGTGATTCCCGGGGGGTTGGTGAGGTAGGAGGCGTAGGCGGGGATGTCAGCCTCATCGGCGAGATCGGCGGGGAAGGAGTCGGTGGTGTAGGCGAGAGAGAATTGAGCGTTGGCGGAGTCTTGGATTTGTTGCACCGGCATGGTTTCGGAGAGTGTGGTTGAGAATATGGCTTTTTTGGTGGTCGGGTCGTGGGTCGTGATGTAGCGGTTTAGGGGGCGGATGTTTTTGGTGGTGGTTTTGGTCATTTTGGTGGTGTTTAGTGTATTTTTTGGGGTGGGAAATTGATTGGTAGTGTAAGATGTTGATTTGGTATGATGAACTGAGGTTCTTTGTTTGGTTTGATTCTTGGTGAGTACTACTTGGGGATGGGATGCTGTTTGCTATATAGCGCTGAGTTGTTCTGTCTATACTGGAGTATACGGATGGTGATGCTTCGGGACCACATCCCGATGGGTTTTAAAGGTGGTTCAACCGGTTATTCGGCTTTCGCGTTATGAATGAACGAACTAACTCAATTGCTAATCTATCTCCTCTTAGTTATGATCTACTTCCTGCGGAGTTCCTCCAGCCAGCCCCGCGGGGGAATAATCGGCAATGTGACATAGTTATCTCCGTGGCCGAAGTTGATATGGTTGAAACCGTGGAATCGCTCCGGGGATCTGTCTCCGTCAGCAAAGTAATCTTTAATACACCCTGGGATCAACTTACCGGTCTACAGGAGAATTATGCTGGAATATTCCACATCCCTGTGTGTCGCCCGATGCGACCTCCAGGATGATCTTTCCTCCCTTCTCGACTACTACGTTGGTCGGCCACACCTCCACATCGACCGGGTAGACCTCTCCCGGGATGACGGGAAGCACGTCCGTGGAGTAATAATTGCGATGAGGGAGCCAGGGACGGTGGCGAGGGTGATCCGGGTCAGTCTTACGCAGACTGACACGCTGCCAACCCTTGCAAAGAGGAACTGGGTCTCCCGCCGTGCCAGTATAGAACACCTCCTTGCCCTCGGGCGAAATGTACCGCAGCGTGACGAAAAGGTCGATGTCTTGCGGAGTGGGAGAGCCTGGCTGAGGACTCATTGACACATTGAGATGCGCGACAATGTGCCCGGTGATTTCTGTTTCGCTTTCAAAAGGTGGAGTGGTAAACTGCACCAGCTGTGGGTTCTCCAGATCACCAAGAGCACGATAAGTGATCTTGACCGGGTGCTCCTGCGGAGCTGTGGTGACCAACTCTTGCTTGGAAGTCAAATAGTATCGCGTGTATTGGGTGCGGGCAATGGGCCATTCATTTTCAGTGCGGCGAGGGAATTGCTTCTCTGCTTCAGCGTTGTTGAATCCGACGTCTCCTTTGCGGAGTACTAGATCAACCTTCGGGGCTGTTCCGGTGGACCATCCGGCGCGATCCTCGCCCTTGAGGAAGGCGTCTAAGAAGCTGCGCTGAATTTCTACTTCTTCTGAATAGTAGAATGGCAGATCGTGGCGACCGGTGATGAAGCGCAGGTACTTCAGCTCGCTGCCTGCTTGAGTCCAGCCTTCCACGTTACCCCGCAAGTGCAGCAGAATTCCACCCCAGTTGGCGACAGACAGAAGAGGCACCTACCCTGTGTCAGCGTCGACTAAAACCACTGGAGTCATTTGGCATACCTGAATGTCGGACATTGTGTACTCTTTACTGGCATAGTATAAATCATCCCGGAATCGGTTGTTGACATTGTCGATCGTCTGGTCCTGACGATTTGCTTCCAACTCTTCCTCGGGAAGATCTCCTTCGATGGTATCGGGGCCCCAGTTGCGAGCGGCACGACCAGGCCGACCGTACTGATTAGAGACTACCTGGCGGTCCCACCAGAACTTGATGAAAGCGTTCGAAAGGATGCCTCCGTGTCGGCAGCGATCGCGGTAGTAGTCGGACATGCCCTCCCACGGGATGATACACGACAGGCCCTTGGGTTGCCGCGCACTGACCCTCCACTGACTTCCAGCATAGTAACTAATTCCAAGCAGTCCTACCTTACCAGTGGACCACGGCTGTTCGGCTGCCCATTCGACCACATCAAAGAAAGCCTCGCTTGTTTCACGGGACATGGTGTCCAGCTTTCCGCGGGACTGGCCAGTGCCTCGCTCATCCGCCCGGACAACAGCATAGCCATGCTTAGTCCAGAAGGCAGGGTCGGGAGTTTCCCAGGCTGAATGGGCAGAGTGGTGCTCAGGGTTGACTTCGCTGTATGACTTCGGATGAAAGTCCGAGTACGGAATGTCTTTGCCGTAGGGCCCGTAGGTGACTAGCACCGGGGCTTTCTCCAGCTCCTTGGGCCGGTAGACGTTGCATCGGACAAGGCCCGATTTATCTTTCAGAGCAATGGTGACATTTTGCTCGAAAATATAGGGGAAGGATGTATCATCCCGGGTAGTGATGTCTTCGCGGATGGGATTCGGCATGATGATTGATACAAACTGCACCTCACCAAAATGGATAGTAGAATATTAGCGAGCAAGAGAAAACGGGAGTATCGAAAAACGAATTCAAATAAATTCGGTGTGATAAATAGCTGGTCATTATCTACCCCTCACGGTGTTTTGCGCCATCTCAAGGTTCCCTTGCTTCCGCCCCGAACGTGGAGCCGAAGTGGTTGAGCCGAGAATTGAGATCACGACCCCAGATCTTAAGCCCGTCCGGCAGTCATGGTGGACACACATGACTATTCCTGAACTAGATTGTGGGGGTAAATGAGTGACGGAGTTGCTCAGAAGATATAATTGTGTAGCATGCCTGATGATATTCCGCCCTTACCTAGCAAAATAACCAAGGTGTCCCTAATCTGCAACCTCTGGCCAACGGAGATATACTGACCTATCTGCAATAATGGGGGATATCGACCCACGCACAGCCCAAGGGGGGCTTCACATTCTTATTGCTGGCGCTGGTATTGGAGGCTTGGCCGCTGCCATTGCTCTCCGGCAACAAGGCCACCGTGTTGAGGTCAGTAAACCTCTTACATCCCAAGTCCAAGCTTGTAAACCAGAGTATTCGGCTGATCCTTGAACGCAGTTGTTCGAACGCTCCAGGTTTGCAAATGAAATTGGGGCAGCCATCCACCTTACACCCAATGCAAACTCTGCGTTGCTTAGATTGGGGATCGACGGCACCAAGTTTGGGGCTGTAGAGACCGAGCAGGTACCCACTACCGTGCTCGCTCATTAATCAAAACATCACCTCTGACCTTGCCAGTTACGCATGTTCACTCCCAGTGGAGAGCCTCTGGCTACGATCGACAACAAAGCGCATGCAGGGAAATGGAGACATGTAAGTAGATGGCTCTACCTGCTTAGCTGTTCACCGTCATAACGCTTGATAGAAATGGACACTGGTTCATCGAGCCCACCTGCACGAAGCTCTGAAAGTTGCCTCCCAGGCTCCTGGCCCTGGTATACCTGCTCAGTTGCACACATCGAGCAAGATCGTAGACATTGATCCAAAGAATGCCACGGTGACTCTCGAGAACGGGGGAACTTTTAAGGGTGATATCGTTATCGGAGCGGACGGTGTCCACTCCCTTGCAAGGTCGAAATTACCATTTGCGATGGACATCAAACCTTTCAGCTCTGGAAAGAACGCATTTCGCTTTCTTATAAAGCGTCAAGATGCCCTGGAAGATCCCGAGACCCGTTCACTTGCTATGGTGTACAGTTCAGTAGACATGTGGGATTCTGACGAAAAGCGCGTGGTCATTTACCCTTGTGCCAACAATGAGTTGCTTAACTTTGTTTGCATTCATCCCGACTCGATGAGCACGATTAACACTTCTTCTGACTGGAACCAAGAAGCTAGCAAAGAGGCCCTTCTCGAAGTTTTCAAGGAGTTCAACCCTCAGGTACTCAAGATGCTGGCAAAAGCCGATCCTTACACCTTGAGGGTGTGGCCTCTGTTGGATATGGAAACCCTTCCCACCTGGGTTGATGACCGACTTGCAATTATCGGAGATGCAGCTCATCCCTTCTTGCCATATCGTGCATCCGGAGGGGCGATGGCAATTGAGGATAGTGTTTCCCTGGCTGTCATGCTGTCCCACGATGTAACCCGGGAGGAGATACCAGAAAGGTTGAAGCTGTATGAGAAGGCTCGTCACAATCGAGCCAGCACTGTGCAGCAGATGACACGCGATTCTTCCAAGCCGCAATCAGTGGAGACAAGTCAGTTATTCATACTTAATTTTGCCCAGTATATAGCTAACACTCCGCAGTGGAAGCAATGACGGACTATATTTATGGCCATGACGAATTCGACTACTCGACTCAGCTTCTGCGCAAGCACCTCTGGAACAAACTCCCAGCCAAATACTGGCGTCAGCCCATCGTCTTCGGTCCCATGCCCGGTCCCAGACAAGACTGGTGGGGCCGTAACCGCGTCCAGAAGTCACTGAAGTCGACGTTCCAGACAGCGTCAATTCGCTTCAAGACCAGTCGGACACTACTGCAGAACCTACTTCCCAACGAGAGGTATTCTTTCACCGACCCAAGCACTGTGGCCTATGCCAGCTTCTCGCAAACGAGACTTCATGGAATGGACTGGCTCGGCGGCGGCGGCTACCGTCACCTAGGTCTTTACATCGAAGGCGTGCAGTATAAGAAAACAGACGGCGAAGTAGTCAAAGGGCTGTACCTGCCCATTCTCTTCGAAAGTCTGACTGATCCGATCGTGAGTGGCCGCGAAGAGCTCGGCATGCCCAAGCTGTACACCGCCATCGAGGCACACGAGCGGTCCAATTCGTATCACCTCACGACCAGCTGGGAAGGTGCTGTATGGGGTCACTTCCATTTAGAAGACCTGGAGGACCAAGATTTCAGCATGAATCCCCCTCAAAACATTGGTAAGGGTGATTTGATATATCGCTACATGCCGCAAGTTGGACGCGCAAACAAGGGACAGCCTGAGGCTGAGTACCCCGTGCTTGTGCCACAAGAGGAGGAGCAGAAAAATATTCCTTCGAGGATAACTCGGCTCCGGACGACCAAGAACGCCCGATTTGAGATTGATGCACTCAGCTGGGAAGCATTGCCAACACTGCATCATGTCATTTCACGGCTGGCTGAGATTCCGGTGGATGAGATTGTTTCTGCCAAGGTAGTTGAAGGCGAGGGGGTGGCAGATGTGTCATGCGCGAGACGTATCGAGTAAGTACTGTGTGAAGTCCATGACACCAGATCGGAGTCATCATTGTCTGCAGCGTTATACGTGTATGTCTTGATAGCAGATTGAGAGTAGATCAATGTACCTCTTTTGGACGATGAATGTGATCTAGCTTGGAAATCATGTGATACAGTTTCTGTGTCACGTATACCGTGAACCATGACTACAAGTACAGGCTAGAGTACGCCTACTGCTGTCGGCGTCAATATACGGCGAGTTATGTCTGATAGTTAATCCTTGGTAGCATGTCTATAACTACTGTCTAGATATCAGCGTCGATAGCTTGCTTGAGCGTTTGATATATTCATGTATGTTGTCTTCAGTGTCAATTGAAGCCCATGCTGCGCTATCTAGAATCTAGCTTGAACCTCAAAATCAATCCACCAACCCTCCATTCGTCTTCTTCACCATCGTGAATGGCGCCCCCACTCTCTTCAACAACTTAGCCTCTCTAGGCTTGATAAACAATGGCTCCGTTGCAGCGAAGTAATCAAGATAATACGGCTTCACCAATTGAACCTATTTCAAAGTCGATCAGTTTAGCTCCTATTCACCAATATCATATAACAAAGTTGACACTCACTCCCATAAGCCATTCCTTTGACGCGGACCTATAGTTGATTGGTTAGCATATACTCACAGACAGATCCACAACCAGAAACCAGTAAGAAAATGAGACGTACCAATTCTCTACCCAAGAGATAGTCCCCGGGGAATCCGGCGCCTGATATAGTTCGAAGAAAGTACATTCAGGCTCGGCAGTGACAGCCTTGTAGGTAGGTTCGAAAGCCTCCCAGAACTTCGGCAGGTCCTCGGGTTTGAGGTGGACTGTTACTTGCAGGGAGATGGATTCAGATGAGTCGGACATGGCGAATATACCCGATGTATCGCTAGCTCTGTTCCGTGAAAGAGAGATATAGGCAATTTCTGGGCTGAGTGGGAGATGGAATGATGTCAGTTTATAGTGGCAGAGTAAGTCTTTCAAGCACAGTTGCGTGAGGGGTCGAGGGGTAGTGACGGGGTTATCGGAGTTAGCAACGATTATTTGCGGCCGAGGGCAGGCACTAAGCACTCAGCAGTGAATTGACAGGGATATGATCTGGCGCTTCCCAACCATCAAAGCTCCCCTCTGGTACATGTAGCGATCTTTCATGAGCCGTGTCGAGGCTGAACAGCTCGGCCGTATTAGACTGGGCCTTAATGCTCACTGCAAAACTGTTAAGAACGGATTGGTTTAACGGAACTGTATTCTTTGGTACTCTTGATATCCAAATGGCAGGTTGTTTCTGAAGGTAAGGAGGCCAGAATAGTAGTCTACCATTAGTAGTACCTGGTGAGGCTGCAGGGTATTGATGATTATATACAACAGCAGATATAAAAGGACGCAGCAATATTTTCTCAGTCTCGGGTGATAAATTGGAGATGAGGGGTATATCCCATTAATATCGACTCTTGAAAATGAAAGCATAAACAAACAAAGTTCCACTGCCACCTAGTCTGGATGTTGGTCCTGACAAATGGTTTGAGGGGTTCAACTCATGGCGCTCTGATATTGCCTACTAGAGGACCATCCAACAAAAAGAAAAAAGATGTTGGAAGCCACTGGCCTATCAGTGGGCCTTGATCGGCAGAAATGTTGCCATTGGTATAGATCGTGCGAATGTCTCCGCACCATGTTGAACTTCAGGTCTTCATATACTACTCCATACTAAAAGCTGTCAGTAAGAAAGAGACACACTTCAGCATGGGTGAGCGGTGTTGATGAAGAACAACAAAAAGTTCCGAGGACTTTTCTCCTACATCACTTACTCATTTTCAGTGTCAAATATATATATATATATATATATATATATTTTTATAGTTGCCCGGGCATATATAGATCAACGTACCTTTAAACACGATCACGCCTAGCATCTTGACAGCAACCGATACTGACTTCAGAGAAGCTCATCGGCTAATTTACATAAATCAGATATCCATTCGACTCAAGTAGAATTGTGCACTACCAGTGGCGCAGTCCGCTATGCTAAGCATTAAATCGCACAAGTTGTAGTCTCCATGGATGGAAGGCCCGGCTGTCTCACTAACACTGTAGTGGACCACTTAGCCTAGGGATCATCCGAAACGATTCGTATGTCTCCGTCATGACTATGTCTCTTGGCAAAAAGTGTGGTAAACTGCGTTGGTGGTACCTATGGCCTCGCACAAGGCTGCTCGATCGCAGTGCATTATGCAATATACGCATGAACTGCATAGAGGTTAAAGTGAGTGAAACGAGTATCTAGGGCATCTCTGCAATAGCTTGGGGGCGTGCAGACTTGTCTGCCTGATGCCACCGAGGTCTCAATGGTGGGTTCATGGGCCTAATCCTGGTATAATGTTGAGCCTTGGGGCCGCTAGTCTCGTATTGTCCCCAGCAGTAAGCAGCTAGGTGGCAATCACGGACATGGATTATTTCGAGCTAAAAGTGGTAGTAGGAGCGGGCACCTAGATGACTGGACAATGAACAGCTAGCGAGCACCGTGGGGGTCATTATTTCTCGAGCTAGAGAAGCGCGGATATACTCGGGAATGGGAGAGTCCTTTTGTCTGGCGAGAGTTCCATACATGTTGATGGATGTCCGGTGGCTGCACCTCGTGGCATCAGGCCGCAATGGGATGCATGTATGGCATCTGGGGGAAGAATGTGGGCATGCATGTGGTTTTTCTTATCGTAGTGCTGTGAGTGGTAAAAGATGCTGCTTGCAAGTTCAGTATCCTGCGTGATTTCGTGGAGCAAATATCTCGAACTGCGGGGACGCTGCTGCTCAACAGATTGGAGGGTTGATGAGACCGCCCGAAGATGGATGGATGGATTTGCTGGATAATCGTTGGGGGTTCAGAAAGGTCTAGAACGCGACCGTAGTTTAGAAGCATTTGAAGAAAGAAGAGCTTACCTGTACGGTGGTTTTCCTCGAGGCAATGTGCTGTTTTTGGAGTTTGACGAGAGGAGGAAGAAACCCGACATAGCAAAGCCAACGCGCAAACCATTTCTCTTGGAACCCAGTAAAGGGGAAGAAAACAGGCTGGATGGCGACAGGAAGTATAAACGTCGGGGTGTCGCGGCGGATGACGCATGACTGGCTGCCTACCGAATCAGGCGGGCCGCTGTGAGGTGCTCCGCCCGCTGCTGCACTTCACCAGGAACCGTAACCTCACCTCCTCCCGCCTTTGCTCGTCCTACGCTTGCTCTCTCTCTCCTACGCCGTTGCCTTCTGGCTTCCTCTGTTTCCAGGATACCCTGTCGTCGCTTCGACCGTCTCCTGTGTCGTCTGGAGCCCGGTCCTCTCACCTTTCCCTTCCCCTCTCAGCGCCACTTCCCCCCCTCCCTCGCCGGCTCGCGTCGATCGCTTCGCTGGTGTGACTGTATTTATAATTCGCCCCGTCGGCCACCTAAGGCTGTCCGAACAAAGACCCTGATCTACTGGCTATCAATAGACTCGATAGAAAATTTGCTCCAGAGTTAGCCAGGGCTTGCATTTGCCGGTTTCCCCGACCTGATTTGACCATCTCCGAGTCTGGGAGAGCTTCCCCGCACTAGAGCTGCACAGCATCATGTATGTCGTGGAGAAGCCCATAACCGGAGAACATGAAAGATCCAGTGGATATGTAGCTAACCGAAGACTCTCACAATATACAGGCGCATTACCGTGAGCGTGATTCGTCCGGACCAGGCCGACGCCGACATCTTTTCCCTGGAAGTTGGTGGGGACATGACCGTCGAGCTCCTCAAAGCCATCGTTGAAAGCGAAACCTCCATCCCTCCTCCCTCTCAACGTATCCTCTACAATAATCAACTACTTGCCGATGATGCTCGCACCCTCGAACAGGTTGGCATTGGTGAGGGCGACATGATAGGTGTTCAGGTTACCCTGCGGAGGCCTCAGCCTCCCCCACGGAGTATAGGGGGCCCCAGCTCTGCTGCTGCCCAACAAAACCTGCAACGGAGACAGGCAATGACACCAGATCCCGAGACAATTCGTCTACATATTCTCGGTAATCCGCAAGTGCGCGAGGCTGTTCGACGGCAAAACCCGGAACTGGCGGAGGTGGCCAACGATGCACAGCGCTTCCGTGATGTCCTTCAACGACAACAACAGCGCGAGGCTCAGGTCGCAGCAGAGAAGGAGGCTCGGATTGCGATGCTGAATGCAGATCCGTTCAACCCAGAGAACCAGCGAGAGATCGAGGAGATTATCCGTCAAAACGCGGTAACGGAAAACCTCCACAATGCCATGGAACATCATCCAGAGTGTAAGTGGGCTGAACGATTTCCGTGTCAACCTTGTTGCTAACATGAACGCACAGCATTTGGTCGCGTAACCATGCTGTATATCCCTGTCGAGGTCAATGGTCACAGACTCAACGCATTCGTCGATTCCGGCGCACAGGTCACCATAATGTCACCCGAATGTGCGACCGCGTGCAACATCATGCGACTCGTTGACCAGCGCTATGGGGGTATCGCAAAGGGTGTTGGTACAGCCAACATCATAGGTCGGGTGCACTCAGCACAAATCAAGATTGGAAGCATGTTTCTTCCATGCTCTTTCACTGTTATGGAAGGAAAGCACATTGATCTACTCCTAGGCTTGGATATGTTGAGGAGACACCAAGCTTGCATTGACCTCAAACGAGGCGCACTTATCATCCAAGACCAAGCGGTCCCATTCTTGGGAGAGGCCGACATTCCCAAGCACCTTCAGGAAGAATTCGAGGATGAGCCCATGATCAAGGGAGCCGATGGCGCCGAAGTCGGCGCCCGGACAGGTGCGGTCACGCATCAGGCCAGCCGCAGCCAAGCAGCTGGTGGCTCCAACATGGCCTCTGCGGCATCCTCTTCCCGCCCAGCCCCGCCGCAGTCACGCTGGCCGGCGGACTCCATCGCGAAGATCACCGAACTAGGCTTTACGCGAGAAGAAGCCATGCGAGCTTTAGACGCAGCCAACGGAGACCTAGACGGAGCCATTGGATTCTTGATATGACGCAGGTGATGTCACCGTTTTGGAATCCTTCAATTTGGTGCCGGGTGAGCAATCCCGGGAACTTTCGTACCGCTGTAATATGATCTATCATCAACCACAGCGAGACCTGTGCGCAGATTGTGCGATGGCGCTCTATTCTCTACCCATGTCTCTTTCTTTTTTTCTTGTTTCCCTTGTAACAATGAAGCCTACGGACGTAACTATTATTGCATTTTTGTGATCCTACACTCCCATGATCCCAGCACGGAACTCTATACTTAGCAAGCAAGATAGACATTATCAGCAGCCACCCGGATTTTATTGAGGATCTTTTGGAGACCATCTCTTCATACTTTCAGCCAGCCCCTGTGGCCAACAATCCCTGCTTTCCCCGTCCACAACCCTCCTCTTCTTACATTGGGCTTCGTCCCGACCTATATCATGCAGCTGCAGGATTAAGAGCGATCGGGTCGGTGTAGCGGGTCCTGCTGCCAACTTTACACTTTACACAGCAAGTATCTAGTGGGAATGCATCTCTACCTGTACAATGTACAGAGCACAGATCACAGACCATAGAGACTTTTCAGCCCACCACACCTAACTTAGCGAGTTGGCATGTATGCCTTACGCCATCAGTTCACTCCGGCACTAAGTCCAGCACGATAAGGCAGGTTGATGTCCTTGCATGACTAGGCTCATGTACTTCCCAGGCCTAGAACCCAGTGACTGGTCTAGTTTATTGGTCTGCGAAACATTTCCGTCTAACACCTCTCCTAATTACTACAAAGTACACACCTTGAGTGAGTACTGTGTACACCCTCTCCAACTTGCAGGCGCATGCAGGCCTGAGTTTAGATCTGCCATTCCTTTGCTTCATTTTTCTTTTTCTTTTACGTGATCTATGGATTATCGTCCCAGCACATTCACCCCCTGCATTGGATACTGTATGCATACATGCCCTCCACTGAAATAGGAAAGGGAGAATATCGGGATCATGTTAAATTGATTACTGTTGACTTACTTACTCCTTCTTAGACTTGACCAGCAGTCTGGTCCGAAGTCTAAAGAACATATCCAGTGCCATGAATGCACCTATCAGAGCGTGAGTCAGCAGCAGTCCAGCTTGGCTTACATGTCCAGGGTGCATGCAGCATCTACTTACCAAGAGCGACATAGGGCCCATATAGCATGCTGATGTTCTGCTTTTGGGCTACTGTGCGATCTGCCCAACTCCAGACCTCAACCAGACAGACTGTGGAGGTAAGGAAGGCCTGAAGACCGAAAATGAGGAGGTGAAGGGGGACAAGAGGGTCATCTGTCATGAAATCCACTCGTTAGCTCCTAGTCGAGATAGAGAGGTACCGAGCGCTATGATGTAACAGTAGGTATAGTGTATAATAGTAGGTGTAGATCCGCACCTCTCTTCAGGCCGCCAAGCGCCCAGACGCTTACTGGCACATGGTAGAATAACTCCATGAGTATGAAGAAGTAGAACCAGGGGGCTGGTGGCTCCTCGAAGAACTTGTCATGGTACGTATCGATGTAGAACCGACGGAGGGTGTGGGAAAGGTTGGATTGGAGGGCGGTGGGGAGGATCGGGGCTGCGTCGACCACTAGGAGGATTGATTGATTGATAGTCAGCTAGTGGGTTTCGGGACTACGTAACGAGTTTCTGTATATCAGTGGGAAGGGCAACTTTTGACCGACTTACGGAAGATGATGGGGACGTGGATAGCGAAGAAGGAGAAGTAGATCAGGTCGCGTTTCCGGCTCCACAGAGAGGCGGGAGCAGTCGGAGAAGCCATTCTGGGCTCGGGATTGCGTAAAGGAGAAGGTGTTCCCGGTTATCTAGAAACGTAGGCCGTAGGATGTAGATAGGTCGGTCCCTTTCGTCCGGCCGAGAAGTTTCGTTTGACAGTTAGCTAGTTAGTCTAGCTGGAGAGAAAAAAAAAGAATCTGATATGCGCGAGGATAAGGAGCGAGAAAGCGGGTCAGCTGACCGTCACGGGTTCTCCGAGAAGAGGAAACACAAACGAAGCAAACGAACAAAACACAGAAAAGTAAAAAAAAGCAACGATGAGAAAAATAAAAAAAAAAGGAAGCCATCGAGAAAATCCCCGCCGTTCGCCAGACCCGATCGGCTGGAAAAGTCTGTCCGAGACCTACCTAATACTCACTACATTGGCAGAATGTTTGCTTTTTCCACTGCACGCGTCTCAGAAGTCCCTAAACATAGCTTAAGCTTAGTCGTGTGGATCGCGGTCCAGATATCGGTCAATCAACAATCATGTCTGCTCGGGTAAGGTGAGTTTAGCCCACTGTCAACCAGCCGTGGTGACCCAACGGTTTACGAGCCCAAAAAGTATGAAATATTGGAAACAGCAGGAATTAATGGTCTTGTCCCCCTCAGGGGTCGCTTTTTGCAGACTCATCGGCTTTGCATATTGAATAGTATATCGATATATTCTTCGAAATCTTATCGTCGTGTGAGACATCCTAGTGCCATGTCCACCCTGGTAGCTGGTCCAGCTCCGCCCTCAAGCTATCGGTCATAGATTCATGGTGATCTCTCATTCCAGGGCGGCCCGATAAACTGGGCGTCGTCTTCACCGCAATTCTCCAACCCTGCCTTCAGCTTACTCGTTGCGACCTCCGACCCCCGGCAAAGCTTGTGATGCAAAAGTCCTACTGGAGCCCAGGATCCCTTAGTTGTGGCGCCTGCCCCTCCCCCTTCCCTTGGGGCTGATCTTTTGCCTCTGGGCTCCTCTTGGCCCGGAATCGGCCTTTGACTCATTTTTACGCATCAAAACAAAAGTACTGCAAGGATGTGAGCAGCTGGTATCCGCCACCTGCACGCTGATCCCACCATGTCTCTCAATAATAGCATGCATTCTGCAGACAAAGCAACCTGATCCGGGAAATGTCCTCGACGTCAAATGTACCTGGGTCCCCTATCTCATGAGCTGGCCCGGTCCTCCTAGACATCATTTTTGTGGGCGGACGACGGGAAGCTTGCGCTTAGCGCCACACTTTGCACCACCGTCCGTCAGTCCATTGTCGCATAGTGTTTCGCACAGAGTGGGCTAGTCTCCAACCGCCGGAAATGCGTCGCCCGACTCCCAGGGTAAGCAGGCACTAAGTACGTACCTTGGAGGTCACATCGACCCTTTCCCCGGAACTTGGGGCCAAATTTGACCGCCGGTGCTATCTAGTTGCTGTATCTCGCAAGAACACCCTGCGAATAGTCGCCAGCCTCAACCAGTAGTTGACTATCCACATCCACCGTACCCACTGGCACCAAACTTGGGAATCCTTTGACATTCCGTTTACCCCATGCACCAGTTGGGATAATATTTCGTAACAGATAGCTAATGGACAACGAATCAGTGACGTGACACCTTCAACGGGCATCAGTCGACAACGTACATACTTATTCCTAGATTGTCTTGAATGGCAGCAGGAATAGGCTAACTTGTATAGGTAGTAGATATGATCAATGAAAGACAAAGCACTCAGACCCTACGACGAAAACACGGATGACACAAAAACTCTGGTCCTAATCGCAATTCGACCCCTCCAGACTCGGAAGCTCTGAGTTTGAAGGGTTGCTCAAACGCGGACATAATGTGGTTTGAACAGCTGGGCGGACACAGTCGTACATTATGATCAGACCAATTCTCCTGCAACCTTCCTTCGAGGCTTCTGTGGGCCTTCGACGCCATCTGGGAAATGTTCTAGATAGCCTGGATGACCTTCCGCGGCCCATCTCTACCGATTATGGAACATTAACGTGGCTTGGTGGAGAAACCCGATAGTCCACGGACATTGAACCGCATTCCCGAAATGAAAGCCAACGTCACAACTCGCGCGAGAGGCTCCGTTGGCTCTGCGCGCGAGAAGATCGGCCAGGCCTGTCTGTTCCACCCTGGTTCAAATTGGACTTGATGCGAAGGATGAATGGATACTGTGAGCAAGTTTTTTCGGCCGTTGGATGGAAGCCCAAACTGGGTCTATGTGTGACCCTTTTGACTTACACGGTTGCTCACCTCTTCCGAAGGGAGAAAACAAAATTTACAAAGCTTGTTGAAAAGGTAGAAATTGACACCAGTGTTGTTTGCTCCTTCGAAGAGGCAGCATGGATACGCAAAGGCGTCATTAATACCGAGAGAGAGAGAGCGAACACATCAAATTTTCGGGGAAGCTACAGTGGGTATGCGCTGAGTCGATTTTGTACCTCCTCGGCATTGTGGCCCCAGAATAAACTGGAGCCAGAAAGTCGGCACTATTTTTGTTCGATTGAGTTGACGCGATCGATCACCACCAGGATACTGGTAGAAAGAGAGCAGGCATTATCCTAAACAAATTTATAAGTGAAAAAAAGAAATTTGGAGAAAAAGAATTAAACGAACAAAAAAGAAACATGGAAAATAAAAAAAAAATAAAAATAAAAATGAAAAAAGCAAAAAATTCAACACCCTAAAGGAAAAAAGAAAGAAAAAAAAGAAAAAAGAAAAGAGAAAATTTTTTCTTGTTTACTGGAAGAAACAGAGAGGGGAACACAAATTACTCTAACCCCTTCACAATGTTGTACTGAGTACGCATGAGCCCTCTTGACATGAGATAAACGGTTTCCACCAACCAAACATTAGCAGAGGGGCTGCAATATTCCTGGATTATTGGCAATGGCTACCTGTCGCAGAGCGCATACAGGCCACAGTAGTACAAAGCAGCCGCGGCCTCGAAGCCGGGAGTTTACCATCGTCCTTCTGTCGAGCGATGCAAGGACTAATGCAAGATAGCAGCAGAGCTACCGTAGCTGCTGCTGCTGCTTCTGCTGCTGCTGGTAGTAGCAGTGGTACTCCTCACCACTACTGCACAGGACAAATTCCGCGATCTAGTGCCGTCTACCCTAGAAGGAACAGACTCAAACTTAACGATATTGGCCCAACGTGCCGGCCGCATGGCTCCACCTCTTCCTTCTTTGCAGGCCCTCTGGCTTGCTTATCGTTCATCCGGGTTCGCCAGATCAGAGCGGTGAAACCACACCAGAACCACCTCGAATGGAACAATTTACAGTTGAGAGCCAGTCCCCCGGAACACGCCGGGTCCAGGGAGAAGACAGTGCCTTCCCATCGAAGTATCGGCAGGTCCAATCGCTATCGCTTCTGCGGTCGGTCAACCTTGGCTCCGAGAAGACAATCGTTGCCATGCTGTAAACCCTCTGTCGTCCGATGCGGGAAGGAAGCTATACTCTTGGAGTGGGCGCGCCGATGCCCCATTCTTAATTATTCATTGGACCTTGACCGCTTCTCCCAATTCCGTCGTGCATCTGTTGCTGGCCTCGGTCCCTGTTCCGAACGGCCTGCCTCTTCCCTTTCTGGCCTCTTCGTCCACTCTGTATGCTCTCTTTCCCTTCACCTTTTCCAGACACTGCTTGTGCCATGCGGGCTCCTGAGTGGTTCATTCCTTTGCCGCCGCCCCCTCACCCCCCTACGATGACCGCTGTTCTCATCTGTCGAGACCCGTCCGGCACCGACTTTGTACCCCTGTCGTCATGGCTTCGAGACGACCTTTTTTTTGTGTCCGCCTTGAGTAGTAGTAGGAGTCGTAGTCGTAGTCGGGCGTATCGACCAGCCCAAGCTTTCCGGTCCGGAGATTGAAAGGGATAATCCCTGGTCTAACTCTTTCTAAGCGAACCTCCGGTGGATGCATTGCCATTGGCGCTGCTGCAGCCATATCATCCACATTTGGCCGTGTTTACTGCTTGTGCAATCCCTTTATCGCCATATCGAGCCGGTGGAGGTTGTATCTGATCAGATATATATTCATCTCTCGTCCACCCTCGACTGAACTTTCTTTTCTTCCTCATTCATCTCCAGTGAATTCAATTGACCCTGACTTCTCGGGTTCCTGTCCTTTTCCTTTTCCACCTATCTCACTATCATCATCTTTCTTGAAGTCGACGTCCCGCTCAACGTCTTTGTGCCCTGGAGCAACACTACATTACGTACATACTTCCTTCGCACAAGAGCACACACACAAACACAAGTCAACACGTACATCCACAACCATGCCGTCCTCTGCACCTGTCCTACGGCCCAAAAAGGCTCTCCCCGTCAACGCCCATAAGGAGGAAGAGCCGATCAGCTACGACATCAATATCCCTTACGTTGATGTCACCAAGGAGTCTCACCTACGCACCAGATACCCCGAATACCTTCCCACGTGGGACAAAGTCTGGTTCGATCCTCTTCCTCCTTTTGAATATCAGGACCCTGCCCTGCGCGTGAAGGATAAGTCCAAGCGCAATCTTTTGACACCCAGCACAAAGGTGACGGAGATCCAACCACGCATAGGTAGCATTGTGGAAGGCGTTCAGCTCAATCAGCTCACGGATGCCCAGAAGGATGAGCTTGCCCTTTTGGTTGCCGAACGCAAGGTGGTAGCTTTCCCGGACCAGGATCTAATCGATGATGGTCCTGAGGCACAAGAAGCTTTCATGCGTCACTTTGGCAAGCCCAATTACCAGCCCGTCTCTGGCTCGATGCGCGGACATCCAGGTTTCCATATCATCCATCGCGACGGTAACCGCGAAGAGATCACTCGCTTCCTGTCGCAGCGCACCACCACGACGCTCTGGCACCAGGATGTCAGCTACGAGATCCAGCCCCCGGGCTATGTGATGCTTGGGCTGCTGGAGGGACCTGAAGTAGGTGGTGATACTGTTTTCTCTGCGACCGATATGGCATACAAGTAAGCATCATCCTCAAGCGCGACGAATAAGCCGTCAGGCAGGCAGATTCTAATGCATGACTTAGGCGCCTTTCTCCAACGCTCACCTCTTGGTTGGACACGCTGCGCGCAACCCATTCATCGGCAAAAATGATTCAGCATGCACGTCTGACTGGGGGCCTGGTACGCAAAGAAGCCGTCGACACCGTCCACCCGCTTGTGCGCGTCCACCCAGTCACGGGCGAGAAATGCCTATTTGTGAACGGCGAATTCATCACCAAGATTCAAGGTCTGAAGGAGCCCGAGCAGCGCTGGTTGCTGGACTTCCTCATGCAGCATATCATCACTGGGCACGACTTTCAGGCGCGAGTGAGGTGGCAGCCTCGGACCATTGTGATTTTCGACAATCGCTGCACAACGCGTGAGTTCCTTGTTACCTACCAAAGATAAGCACCCAAAAACAATACTGACGGATATTTGCAATAGATTCCGCCATTGTCGACTACCTCGATGATGATAACGGCGCCAAACTCCGTCACATCTTCCGTCTGTGCGCATTGGGCGAAAAGCCCATCCCTGTATACGACCAATTCGAGTAAATCCCGATGGCCTCCGCCACCTGTTCGAGGAGCTCTATCCTTGTTCTCGGCACATGTTGGAGGGTATGAACGCCACCGCGATGCCTTGCCAGCCATAATGTTCCATGCAGCAGGTCCGGAGAATGTTTCCCCGCTACCCCTCGGACTTTGGGATCCTTGGCGCGTCGCATGTGCCTGATCCTCCCTCCTCCTCATCCTTACCTTTTTTTTACCCGCCTTTATCCCGTTCTTCTGCCTGGATTTGCTTGGCTGCTTGATTTTGATTGATACCTCGGCCTAGTTCATTAGACTGTTTAATGTTTTTTTCCCACCACCCTTAGTGCCCTTATTTTGTGCCCTGTTTAGGCTTCTATGCTCTAGAACTAGTGGGGCCAAACTTTACTTTTTCTTTTTCTTATTATTTTTTTTTTTTTGTTCTCTTTTCTTTTATCCAAAATTTCTGTTTCCGAAGCCAATGATTTTCTTTTTTTTCTGTTGGTTATTTTTCAGTGCTTTGTTCGAATTTGTTAACCCGATAGACTTTATTTCTTCTATTATCTACCAGATTTAGTTATTCATTCTCATGTTCACGCGTCGAAAATATCAACATAGAATACTAAGTGATCAAAAATAAAATCAATCTTCCCAGTATTGAACGCGTAGTAGTAAACACGTACTAGTAGTATTAAAGCCGAAACTCAAAATAATCAGATGTACCCTGTACATCACGCAATATATATTATTACTATAAGTATTGTATGCAGCCTCGTCAAACACACCCACCCCCACCCACCATCAACACCGGGAAGCGGGGGGAACCGATCTGGCACACTTCAATGACCTAGTACTTACTTACCTAGTAGAACATGTGCAGTTTTGCCACTATCTAGTAAGTAGCTCTTGATGGAAAAGAAAATAATAGCATGCTGGGACCTACTATTGGTGTAATTACTATATGTTAAGGTATCAATGGAGCATCAAAAGTAGTATAGGAATTGGGCTCGAAGCTCCCGACGGAGTGAGTCTTGGAAAGGAACTTCAGATATGGTGCTACTGAAAGCAGGATCATCATCATGATCATCACTATTGCGAATCAGACGGTAATCTAACGGCAATAATCTGTCTTACTACTAGTATTGAGTAATTGATGGTAGGAAAAATACTATTTAGTTCCTAGAAAACTACTAAGGGCGGAGGGGTAAGGTTAGTATATATATAACAAGTAGTAGTAGAAAGTGATACAGTAGTGGTGATACAGCTCAGCACCAGTAGGAAGAAGCTAAACAACTGTCATCTTACATTCAATACGTCGATGAGTAGTACCCAGTCAGTAGTAGTACACCTTTGATTATATCCAGAACATGGACAGAAACGGAGGAAAGGTCGGAAGAAAGATGGTTTTGAAATGATATAATAAATATATGATGAGATTATTTTGGCACTTCACTTCACTTCTCTTCACTTGATTCGACTCGACATGACTCTCTGGATGCTGCATGCATGCAAGAAATAGAAAATAATAAAAAGGTAAAGAAAATACACAAAACTCCAGCGCCCAGGACTAGAACAGAACAGGACAGAACAGGAATAATCGGAATGGGTTTGGTTACATTGCTATACGTGAAGGAAGGGGAAGCGATCGAATGGAAAAATTGAGAATCGAAAAATCAAAAAGTGGGATAGATCACCGCAGGATATCATCGATTCTCGTCCGCAATTCTTGTGCCAGCTGGACTTGCTCTGGAGTGATACCTCCCTGCTGGAGGAGAAGGAGGGTTTCGAGGATGCGCTCAGCGACGAGGTCGCTTCCGAAGACGACGCCGCCGAGACGGACCGTGTCGTGGAACCAGTGCTCAATCAGGTAGAGGAGATCCTTGGCAATGTACTTCTTGTTGGAACCTTGGAAGGGAGCTTCGTCGGTGTAGTACATGGATTCGAGGACGGCGTAGAGAGTCTCGTGAGCAACGCCAAGATCGAGGAAAAGGTCAATGACCCAAGTAGCAGGGCCGACACCACGCTGGTGTTCCAGGGCATAGCGCTCGAGCATGGGTAGGAGACTGGGAATTGGGAACACAGACTCGGACATGCGCAGACGGCTGCCCAAACTGCGGACTTTGTCGATTACGGCCTCGTAGGGGATGGGCTCACCCCGTTCGAGGACCTCATCGTGCAGGTCTTGAAGGAGGTGTTGCCAGGTCGCTCGGATGTCGGCTGGGTTACGGTGGTCGGCCAGGAAGAATATCTGGAGACAGATGTCATAGTAGCTTGCAGGGTCGGCGTACTGGTTGAACAGCTGCATGGAAAATGTTAGCCAAGAAGAAAAGCAAAAGAAAGACTAGGGAAGGTTGGGCTGATGACGTACAGTGCTAATGTCCTTGATGGGTCCGTCCACATCCTTGAGAACTTCCGCCCGGCGTTCCGGCGCGATGCGCCTGTCGTCCTTTAGGCGTTGCAGGAGATCGTCCTGGATGTTTGCAATGTCAATAAGGTTGGAAGTTTCCTGCACCAGTCGCTGTCGGGCTTGCCGGCTAGTGTCGGGCGTGAATGTGGAGGCGTTGGCCCTGGCTCGGCCCAAGTACTCAATGCGACGACTGAGGGGGAGGGTGAACGCGCTCTGAGCCAGATCCAATTGCACCTTGGCTGCCTCAAAGAATCGCTGCGACTGAGCAAAGTACCGCCAAAGCAGATCCGCGTGAGCAAGGTCGTCTGCTGATTTGCGCTCAAGGTAGGTGACAACGAAAGACGAGTTGGTCTGCAGCAGACGATCGCTCCAGCCTTGCTCCAAATACCAATCGTACAAACTCGTCAAAAACACCTCATCCGTCGAGTCGGAAACGACACCATATGCCTCATTCTTGCGCTTGGCGATTATCGTCAATTGTCCATCGACAACGCCGGGATCGTGAGCAGCGAGGCTGTCAACGGCGAGAATAACCTTGAAGATAAGGTCATAACATTGCTTGCGGTAGTAGAAATAGTCCTTGCGGGTGTCCTATGAGACAAAAGAGATTAGAACTTGCGAGATTGTAAAACAGGACGATCGAAAGAAACCTACCTCCTCTGGCCGTCCATCGACGATCCATGAAAGTGCCATGTTGGCCTTGTCTGAACGAGCAGCCACGTTTAGAGCGAGCTGAATCGCACCTATAGATGTTCATCAGTATTGTGAACGAAAACGTAGACCTGGTTAAAAAATACCGGCAAAAAATTGGTTAAAAATGTAGCTTTCCACCGCGGAAATCAGGTAATCCATAGGCAAGTTGTCAGAGACCTGCTGGAACAGGTGGAGACTCTCATTGAGCAGATTGCGACCAAGTTCCGAGTTGTAACCGGCTTCGGTAGCTCTCTTCAGAAGCTCCTGGGCCTTGAAGATCACTACATCTTCAGCGCTGCAGAAGCTGCCACAACGGCGTCGGAGGGCGTCGGCCACCGTTTCCACATTAGAACCCTTTGCGATGTTGCGGTTGACGATTCCCTTCACGAGCTCCTTGGCCATGTCATGACCCTTGTTGGTACTGAAGAGCTCCTCGAAGGTAAGCTTCAGGAAGCGTTCCTTCGACTCTGCCGGCAAAGATGCCACAATTTCGTCCACTCGCTCGTCAAAGAGAACCAGAACGAACGAGATACCCTCGATGGTGTGGGATACAAGTTGAACCAGAGAATGAAGGGCGCGGTGCTCCGCCTGCAATGCAGTTTCCTCCTGCTTCGTGGATACCCGCGTCAAAGCCTCGGGGCCGCTTAACCCTTCGATGAAGCTCTTGTTGGACTTGAAAAACTCCTGCAGAGCCAAAAGATCCCTTTGCACGGCCTGCAGTTTGGAAGCAGAAACGGAAGATGCGACTGTCTGAGCACCATTGGGAGCAATGCCAACCTTTGCAATCTCCTTCTTCCAGATCGACCGCAGCAGCCTGGAGATGTAGAGAGCAATGCCTGCATGACGCGGGGACGGAACAACTGCGTCAATAGCGAGAGTAGTGCTATCAGCGACGGCATTCTCATTCATGGTCGGTCGGCCACCGTACTCGATGAAGACCTTGCGCGCAAACTCCAGGACATCGGGGTCATTAATCTGTGTTAGTCGTGAGTCAGACGAGATCTCAACACCCTGACCACAAGCGACTGCAAGAGCAGTGGCAAGCGTTTCGCTGCGGCCATAGGTGCGAATGAAGTTCTTAACTTCTCCCTCCAATCCTTCGTCGCCAGTACCACCACTACGCACCAACGCCGCAAAGACATCAACAAGACGCCTTCTCCGAATAACGTGGATGCCAGTGTTCGTCAGAATAGCGATTTCGGCCGCCGGGTTATCGAACTGCACAGCCAATTCATTTCCGAATCCTCCAGGAGTGCTCGTGGCTGGGGTAGTGGGAGAGCAGAGACCCACGTCTTCAGCCCTGCTACCCAAAGAGAGCCAGACAGCAGTTTCACCAGCCTTTCCGGGAATTACGCTTTCCTGAGAGCGAGCAACGCGCCCAGAATCGGGGGCCGAAATGAAAAGGGTGTCTGACTTGTTTGTGGAGTCCTTACATGTGAAACACAGAAAATAACCTGGAGGGTAACGAACAGTAAATCTGGTAGGCTGCAGGGTGTTGATCGGCACCCTGGCCGTTACTGTGGTTTGGAAACGCGGTTGATTCTGAAGGCTCGGGGGGAGTTGAGCAGCGGAAGCGCCGTCATACGGCGGCGTCTTGACATGATGGGCCTGCATACTTGTAGGTGCGTTGGTGCCGTTCGGTGCAGAAGACCAGGTGAAGGAGCCGGTGGCGCTAAGATAAATGCGATAGCCTGTTGCAGTTGTGGCCATCAAATGGTACCTAGAGGCCTCGGCGGCTGGGATGGGACTGATGGAAACGATGGGAACTTTGGGATTCAGGGTCTCATTAGACGCGATGATGTGTCCGATGTTGGCATAGATGTCGAGGGCTGGCTTCGTGATCACCAAAGCAAGGCTGCCGTCTGGCTTCATGTGGAAGACGCGAATGGTGGAGGATGATGATAGCGTGTACAGTAGCTTTCTTGTGTCGTCGATTTCCATTTGCTCCACATTTTCGAACGATTTTTGCGTGAAACTCAGGCTCGGCGTGAATGCGGATAGACGAGAGCTAGTGTGGTTGACCTTCGAACAACGGCCTTGGAACCATTTCTCCTCCTGCTGATAGATGAGTTCATAAACATCATTGTCCGAAGTGCCACCGAAGAAGACGCGACCGGTCGAGTCCGAGGAGGCGATGACATGAATATCCAAGCCACGAATCGATGTTGACATGCCCGTCTGGTATAATGTGACTTGCCGCGCGCCTCCAGCCGTAGTCTCACAGCCCATACCAAGCAAAATGACGTCTGCCGTTGTCGATACTACGAGGATGTGCGTGATTGAAGGCAAGAACACACCAGCTCGGGGTTTCGCCAGCTTAACCGTGTTAATGCTGTTCGGTTGGTATTCAAACCCAACTAACTGGGGGTTAGGATGTGTATAATCCCAGATGTAAAGTGCATTGTCAATGGCAACCCAGGCGTGGTTCAACTCAGCGAAGAGTCCCATGCTTGTCGACACCTGCGCTCGATTGTATTGGTCGAAGATCTGATCGGGGATGTTGTACATCTTCACTTTCTGAAAGGGAGCCCATGATTGTGACGCGGGTATATCGTAGTCAGACGAGATACCTTCTAAATAAGGGCGTTAGACTTGATCCTCCTCTTCGAGACGGACGGAAGTATACTTACGGGACAAATAGCTATCCAGATCGGGATAACGGGCCTCTTGAGCAAGAGTGTCGTTCACTGTTCCTGCAGCACGCTCCTCTGTGCTCAACGCCTGGGTCTTGGGCTTGAACGTGGCTGGGGGGAGTCTGGGAAGCGCAACCGGTGAAGCTGGTTGTTGCTCCGCGGGGGCCGCGACAGGCTTTGGCGAGAAACTAGGCGCCGCCGCCGCAACGGTGGGTGCAGGAGTCTGGAAATAAGCACCGGGTAAGGGCTTTTGAGGGGTGAGAGTCGGCGTGAGGTCGGGATAAGACATGATGCCGGTTGAGAAGCCCGTGGGAAGCTTTGGCGATTCGTCGCGCTCCCCGGCGAGATGAAGATTCGGTCGGCGCAAGGGCGCGAAGAGGACGATCAATTCACGGTGAAATAGAGAGGGCGGAGAAAAGAGAAGGAGGACGGGAAGGTATGAGAAAGCAACATCAATGAACAGAGGCGGGAACAGCCGGGGAGGTTTGAGGGCGAGTTGTTGATCAGACCGAATAATGACAGGCCTGAGCCGTAAAACGAGCAGGAAGAGAAACAAAATTGTGCACGGGCCCGGAGGTGAGGTCCTGCCCAAGCTCTCTCCGCCTTTGCGTTGCTTTTCCTCCGCCCATGATTTCATGCCCGCAGCAAACACAGCAAAGCCCATTCATCCATTGTGCCATTGAAGAGTGTTACTGCTATTATATTGTTCATCATGCTTCCCTCCATGCGTCTCACATCCCGTCTGGGACTGCGCCTGGTGCGCTGGAACTCCACTGCTGGTCCGACTCTGCCGCCTTTGATGACCGCACTGAGAACCGATCTCAAGACTGCCATGCGTGCTAAGGATACGCCCAGGTACTTCTAACTCTTACCTAAGTCCCCAAGTGCTATCTGCGCATTAATGCTGACGTAGTCTGCACTCATTACCAGGCTGAATGTCCTTCGCGCTCTAATCTCCGAAACCAACAACGCCGCTAAAACGAACTCGCCGATCCAGACTGACCTTCAACTCCTGTCTCTGATTCGCAAGCGTATATCTGCTTCGAGGGATGCTGCCAAAGAATTTGAAGCTGAGAACCGCCCCGACTTGAAAGAGACTGAGGATCGACACATCGCGATATTGGAAGAATATGGCGCCCAGGTGGAAACCATGAGCGTGGACGATATCAAGACGATCGTTGCTGAGGAACTTACCAAGCTGAAGGAGACTGGCAAGAAGGTTGAGGTTGGATTCCTGCTCAAGTCTCTCTTCTCCCCTGGAGGAGCCCTGGATGGCAAGCCCGCCGAGAGATCCGAAGTCGCAAGAATTGCCAAAGAAGCGGTTGCTTCCGCTTAACGGCTGACACGAGAAAATGTATAATAACTACTTGTATAATACGCATACCTAGACCAATTGCCTGGCTCCCCTTCAATGAAATGCATACGAAGGATCAGAGGGAAAAATTGTTCATTGGGCGGGATGTCGGGTCGCCATAAAAGTTGCAAAGTAAAGTAAAAGCCACACAGCAGAACTCGCGTGCCTTCAAAACGATAGGTCATAGACGTGCTGTGCCAAAACAGAAAGACGAAAGTTCCTAGCGCCATATCGCATGTCATCCCAAAAATTACCGACCTTATTTATCCCTTCCTGTTTGCCCTTCCAGTAATGTTCCGAACTCCATATCCATTCATGTCCAGCCGTCCATCATACTTGCTCCGCGGTAACGCGCAGGTTTTGTGGTCATCTAAGAGCGAAAGAAGGTGATCCCTCCTAGTGTAGTCATGAATATACCAAGCCACAGCCAGTTATTCGGGTCACCAACTTTCTCCCTGCTGACCAAATCTTTTATGCTAAAGCGACCTCCAGTACCTCCCTCGACCTGGCGTTTACTCTTGCTGGAGGAGCTTGGATTGAGCGTCTGTGTGGGTAACATCTGTGGCGGTTTGTATATAAGATACATTGGATGCATCGGCGATCCGTCGAAATTCTTGACGTCAAGGCGTTGGACACCATGGTATGAATCTACCGAGACAGCGAACGACTATACCTGTCAGTAGCTCTCATATAGTAAACGGGCAGAGGCCAAGTACCTCAAAGTGCTCAGTCTGGTTGTATCTGGTATAGGTACCCGTAGAGGACTGACAAGGATCTGATAAAAGCTGGCGTCCATCGACAGCGATCGGGGTCAGGTCCACCGATCCATCACTGTTTACGGTATAGGTACCGTGCTGCCATTGCATAACCCCTTTTGGGCAGGAAGGATCCTGGGCTATTTAATGATCATGACATGTCAGAACCGGGGAAATGCAAGCGCTTTCATGGTTACAAGAATTCTGGGACTAACGATTGGCAATGGCACGATAGTAGGCTTCTTCATAATGTCCATCGGCGCTGAACGAGTACGAGATACCAGTGAGATTGGGTTCGAGGAATTTATCACCAATAGGATCGTAAAAGCCCTGTGAGTATCAGAGGTTGAACGGTTAGCGAACAGGTAGCGCTGGCCCATCGAGGCTGGTAAACAATCAACACGGCGCAAAACATACCGGACCTGTCACAACCTGGCGGGACTTGGTTGTCCATGTTCCTTCTAGATCAGATGCGCTGCTGCTGCTGCTGGTACCAACGGCCGTTAATAGAAGGCCAAGGAAGAAGTACGTTGCCATCATGTTGTTTTCATACCCACGAGAAGAGAAGAGATTCAATGCGAAAGAAAGGGAGAGGCAGATCGCAGAGAGCGAGAGGAATGCGTCGAAAGGCGCAACGCAGGCGGCCCTTGAAGGGTGGAGTACACAAGAGCTCCCCCGGTACGTGCCACTGGCCCTGCCGATCAAACAAGTGAACCGCCATGCAAATCATCCGCCAAAACATGTTCGCCTGCCAAGCCACGCCGCTTCGGCTACCAGACTAGTAGGTGAAGCACCTTGAGCAGACCGCGTAGACAACATTGGTCGCTGGTCTGCTTACACCGCGTTCTCGTCGTGCAAGCAAGGACAAAGATGATGGCTGGGTTGCAAGTCGCAAAGAGGGACCTCCGCCGGAGGATGCGGGATGCTCTCCAGCAGATCCCCGCCGACTCTATTGCCAATCAATGTCAGGGATCTCGATTCGCTTCTGCCCAATATGGTCGCGGCATGTACTGACCTCCTACAGCCAGAATCGCTACAAATCAGTTACTCTCTCTCCAGGAATATCGGGATGCGAAGAGGATCGGTGTCTATCTGTCCATGCCAGCCGGCGAACTCTCTACAACTGCTATAGTGCAGGATGCCCTGGCCAATGGCAAAGAAGTCTTCGTACCTTACATACACAATCTCGAGTTGTCGTCGCAGCCAAAGACATCAGTCATGGATATGTTGCTGTTAGAGTCGATGGATGAGTTCAGATCGCTCGAGCCGGACAAGTGGGGAATTCCATCACTTTCGCAAGCAAGTGTACTTAACAAGAGGAACTGCTTCGGGGGCAAGGGAGTCTCACCCCAGCCGGAAGATTCTACGCAAGGACCCTACGGGTTGGATTTGATTGTCATGCCAGGAATGGCGTTTGATGACGGATTCAGAAGATTAGGCCATGGCAAAGGTTACTATGATCATTTCCTGACAAGGTACTCCAAAGGTCCCGAGAGCACAACAACGGCACCGAAGCTGCCTCTACTGGGTAAGGCATAGTTGTTCCAGATGACAGCAGTCAACCCGAGAATATTCCATCGCTAACCCCTCGTACAGTCGCGCTCGCTCTCAAAGAACAAATGCTTGACCCGACCGAAAAGATCCCGGTTGCGGATCACGACTGGCTAGTAGACGTCCTCATGGTCGGCGATGACCGGTGCCTCGTGCGCCAACGCTGATAGGATATCCAGAAAGAAAGCGAGCCCTTTCATGTCCTTATTTTCATCTAATGCGACAATAATGTGCAGATAATTGTACTCCAGCGAGAACCCGTAAAAAAGTGTTTAGAAAATGCAAACGATATCGTATCACAGCACGAAGTCGGAGATGAATGATTAATTTTCCCTTTCCTGGCTTCCGAAATCCTTAAACGCCCCTTTGAATTCACTGCACGGCTTGAATAAGAGACACGTTATCGCCCTTGAGCAGTATTTGGCCTAGGTTGTTCAAGAATATAATCAGCATTGCAGCGCCCAGGGGAATGAACAAGAGCTTGAACTGCCGCATACCTAGAGGTCTCCGCTTCTCTTCTTCGGACTTTGTAGCCATGCGAACCTCCACTGCATCGTCAATGACAAGGTTCATGAACTCGTCAAAACCCTACACGAGTCGATTAGTCAAATGTCACGCAACCAAGTCGCCAGGAATCCATTTACCCTGATTTTTCCCTCTATGCGGAAAGCAAGCTGCTCGTAAAGCCAGATAGAGACTGTAGACCGTTGCTGAAGGAGCTTGAAGATGAAATGAATCGGCGCAAGCAGGGTCTTGCGAGCGGCTCCACCGCCTCCACGACCGGTCATTGTGAGGGATGAATGGGAGGGATGTGTAGGGTATCAAGATGCGAAGGCAGCGACGGGAGTAACAAGACGGTGATCCCGTTCGGTTGATCGAGAAAGAGACGCGTGGTGGTGGTTGTTAGGCGGGTGGTGCTGGGAGGGAAAGTCGAGAAAGATCGGGAAGGTGGTGAAGCAAGCTTCCATCCTTCTTGCCGCCTCGGGGGACGATTGCGGCTCACCAACTTTTCCCTTTGGGTCGATCGTCACCACATCCCACCTCCACTAACCAGTCACTTACCCCCCGATCTCTCTCTCCGCCACTGTGCTGAAGGTTTAGCGCTGATTCCTTTGAGGCGGCTTGTTCTTTAATGTTTGTTTAATGAGTGTTCATGATCGCACTGCATAGGTGTTGAGCCTCCCGGCCTGGCTGAACCCCTCTTCACCCATTCCCAACTCTAACAATCCCAAAACATCCCACTCCTCGTCCACGATGGCCAGCAAGGAGGGGACCGCAGGGCAGTCCTTTGGTGCTGTCCTCGCGGCAGTTACTACTATGTCAGGAAATGTCTCGCGATCGGAGAAAGAGCACGCCCATGAGTTCCTGGAGAAGTTCCAGAAATCAGTCCGTCCATCCCTACCCCTCATTCTTCCTCCCCAGGGCCGATTGTTCCACGCCGCACATAACAATGCATGCTAATCGTGATCCGGCTTCTATCTAGGTTGAAGCATGGACTATCACCCACGAAATGCTACAGTCTCCCGATGTGCCTGTCGAGGCCAAGCTGTTCGCAGCAACCACGTTGAAAGGAAAGGTGAAGCGATCTCATAACCTGCATGACGCGGTACTGGCACCCCGTACTGACCGTCCAAGATCATCTTCGACCTTGACCAGCTACCCGCGGAATCGATACTCGCCCTCCGAGACTCCGTATTGAATCTGCTTGTGGCTTATGCTGCAGGCCCTCGGCCGATCCAGACACAGCTTTGCGTCTGTCTGGCGAGCCTGGCCATTCAAATGCTGGACTGGAAAGACGTCCTACCCACAGTTGGCGCGGCACTGGGCAGCAGCGCGGGGGATTGTGTGTTGGAGTTTCTCAAGATTCTCCCGGAAGAAGTGACCGAAGGTCGCAAGATCAATCTCAGTGTATGTTCGGCAGCATCAGCACCTCACCTGTTTACAATCCGTCCCCACGCGATCGGTGACGACATTTTATACCGCGACCGACCAGACTCTAACCTACTGGCTTAACTTAGGAAGAGGACCTTGATTCCAGGACGAAAGAACTATTGGAAGACAACGCCGAACAGGTCATGCACCTTCTCATTCAATATGCTCAATCATCCCGTATGTGTCCAACCCTCGGACCTAGCCTGATAATATGTTGATATGCTGAATATGTCTCTGCTTTAGCCACTGCGTCCACCAACCCCCGTCTCCTTGACTGTATTACCTCATGGATGCGCGAGATTCCGGCGTCGAAGATTGTTGACTCACCCCTAATGGATGTGATCCTCAAGGCTCTTGATGACGAACGATCATTCGAGTCTGCGGTAGACAGCATGTGCACCTTGTATAGAGACACGCGGGAGGTCGATGATTCACTGCCAATCATCCAGGCCCTCTATCCGCGATTAATGTCCCTCCGCCCGAAGATTGCCGAGTTCGCCGAAGCGGAAGACACAGATGCTTACAGGGGTATCACGAGGCTGTTTGCCGAAGCTGGCGAGGCCTGGGTAGTTTTGATGGCACGCCTGCCGACTGACTTCCGTGGGCTGGTCGAAGCGGTCCTAGAGTGTTGCGCTCGTGACTGGGAGCGGGACGCGATTTCCCTTACTTTCGTCTTCTGGTATGAGTTGAAACAATATGTTACTCTGGAGCGGTATGCGGATGCACGGGGTTGCTTCAGTGATATCTTCTCTAGCCTCGTGGACATCATGGTCAAGCACCTCGAGTACCCGCGGCCAGAGGAGGGTGAGACGGACCTTTTCGGCGGCGATCGGGAACAGGAAGAGAAATTCCGGCATTTCCGGCACGCCATGGGAGATGTGCTCAAGGATTGCTGCGCGGTCATTGGGGTCAATGAGTGCTTGACCAAGGCGTATCAGCTGATCCAACAATGGGTCTCCAAATATGCCTCTCAGTCGAGCGACGACCACGTTCCCAACTGGCAAGAGCTCGAAGCGCCCCTCTTTAGTTTGCGCGCCATGGGCCGTATGGTTGATCCTGAGGAAAATGTGGTCCTGACACAGGTCATTCCCCTCATCGTGCAGATTCCGAACCAAGAAAAAGTGCGATTCCAGGCCATCATGGCGCTAGCGCGTTACACAGAGTGGACTGCACAGCACCCGGAGACATTGGAGGCGCAATTAAACTATGTCATTTCCGGCTTCCAGCACAGCTCCCCAGAGGTGGTTCAGGCTGCAGCTTTGGCCTTCAAGTTCCTAGGCACGGACTGCCAGAAATTGCTTGGAGGTCACATTGCCCAGCTGCACTCCTTCTACGAGTCAGTCCTTGACAAACTGAAACCGGCCAGTCAGGAAGAGATCACCGAGGGTGTGGCGGCTGTGGTTGCAGTACAACCACTGGAGAAGATCTACGAGACGATGAAACTGTTCTGTGACCCCATTATGGCACGCATCATGAACTTAGCGAACAACGCTAAGGATGAAGAGGGCCAGCGGGCTGTTGCTGGTAGGTATCCTTCAAGATTGACAAGGCGCCCTGCATACTAACTACATGGCAGATCACCTTCAGTTGATTACGATCTTCATCTTGGTTGTGAACCCATACGTCTCACCCCGGGAAGAAAACCCCGCAGTCAAGTATTGCGGCGAGATTTTGCCAATCATGACGACAATCGTGATGAACTTTACCTCGTCCACGCCGATTCTAGAGCGAGTCTGCCGTTGCTGGAGAAACATGATCATTTCCTACCGCACGGCTATGACTCCGCTCCTACCCACGCTAGCGCAGAGTCTTGCAAGCGGATTCGAGGCATCACGAGAAGGATGCTTCCTGTGGGCCACTGACGCTGTCGTGCGCGAGTTCTCCGAGGGTGCTGAATTCGTCGATCCCTCAACCAGCCATGCTGTATTCCAGTTTTACGAGCAGCAAGCGGTCGCGTTCCTGCGAACCTTGAATGATCTGCCCCCCGAGAATCTCCCAGATGGTAGGTGCTCCGCCAGAACCAGCTGGAAATAGGAAGGTCGTTGTGCCTCAAGCTAATTATGTACAACCAGTTATCGAGGACTTCTATCGTTTGTCTTCCGATGCCGTGCGGTATTACCCTAAGGAGTGTGTGACTTCGTCGCTGTCCGTGCCGATCTTCTCCGCCGCACTCAGCGCTCTCACCCTCCAGCAGATTGACCCACTCATGGCCACCCTTCATTATTATCACGACCTCTTTAGCTTTGCTTTCGATAAGCCGACGGTATCCGAATTCACTACTGCAGATGGCAGTTCCTACACCAACCCGCCCGAGATCCGCGAGGCCGTTAAGCAGCTGATTGCATCGCAAGGCCAGCTACTCACGCAGCATATCCTGACAGGAATGATGTTCTCGTTCCCTGGAGAATGCTTCCCCGACGCATCCAGCGTGATGATGATGCTGTTCGAGCTGATGCCCGAAGAGGCAGGAACTTGGCTTCAGGCTACGCTGCAGATGCTTCCCGCAGGAACCATGAAGCCGGGTGAGGCGGAGAGATTGCTGAAGGGCATATTCGACAAGGTCCACTCGGGTGAGGTTCGGAAGATCCGGGTCCTTCTTCAAGGTATGGTGGATCTAGCATTTTCTCGCAAGCTTTACATTGGCTGACAGGCACATATAGACTTCACCAACTCATACCGACGACGAAACGTGGCACCTAGAGAAGGATTGGGCCGGCTGGAGGCGACCCGGTTCCGGTTTAGCGGATAGATTGTATCAGGGAGGAATGGAGGCCAGGACTGAGCAAGTCAGGAACCGCTCAGCGCAAAGGATGCTGGGAGAACGATCCTCATCAGCTGCCGACAACGCTCAGCCCTTGGAAGGCGGCAATAGTCCTTGGAAGATTAGCGCACGTCATGCGACCCGGCCGGAGATCATCAAGCGCTCGCACGCGTTGAGAATCAAGTTAAAAAATATTTGCCCAATCATGTATTCCTTTATGCCCTCCATTCCCTTCCCCCTTCCTCCCGCGCCTACCCCTCATCTCCTCGCATCACCCGTATACGATATGATGTGGTCGTTTCAGAACCCGAGGCACTCTTGCCTGAGGGAGGGCGAGCCCGCGCATGAGACCAGCGGGTTCCCTCCTGCGAATCGGGGGGTGGAGATCCAAGCCCGCTCGCATGTTTCCTTGCTTGCCACTACTTTTACTACCCCTGAACACCCGCCCTGTAAATCGAAAGTACTTTAAAGTGTAGCAATTTAGACCAATGCTTCCCGGCAACCGCGGCCCTTTCTATTCCAGTGCGTATCTACGTATACCAGTCGTATTGGATGTCATGTACAATAGGAATCCCGAATCAGTGTCCATGTGGAGAAGTGAGATAACAATCACCCAAGAGCCAATGACCTACCAGCATGCCTCCATCATGCCTCACTACCATTATTTCAATCATCATATCATATGACGTGCAGAGATTTTCATCCTGAGGACCAAAACCTTCAAGAGCCCCGGGATACTAAAATAGGATACCCACACGGACACACACACACACACACACATACCATGTACCACTCGACCACCTACACATATACACTAACAAGTATATAAATGGAGCCGTGCGTAGATCCTTATGTTCAAGAAAGCAGCATACTTAACCAAGTACTACACGACCAAGTAACCTAAATAAGTAAAAAGTATAGTAATAAAAATATTAGTGACGCGAGATGATCGCCCACCCATTGTTTCAGAAATTTTATCAATCAACCAATCGATATCCATTACTACGCAGGAGATAAAATTGCTATTCAGCTGATCGGGACGAAGAGATAAAAGATTTTCTGTTTTGGCCCCAGTCAGTTGAGTCAGGTAGCCAGTCATGTTTGGGTTTGTAGAGACCCGCTGAGATGGCGGGGTTCGGGTGTGTGGTTCGTGATGATGATCTGATGTATGGGTCCGTTGATTATCTAGAGTTACGGAGTCGTTTAGGCTGGGATTTCAGGGCAAGTGGGTACATGTACCCTCGCACTTAGGTAACAAGCAGGTATTCTTGGAGTGAGATGCAGCCTACGATGTTTGCGCTCGCTTATGAAGTACTATTTAGGCAAGCAGGGAGGCTGGAAGGATTGGTTCTTTGGGTCTAAGGGGGCCGTCAGCTACTTACTTACTTGGTTTAGTATCAGAGATGTGTATGTGTGTGTGTGTGGTTCCCGGTGTGTTGATCAGGTGGTTAGTACTTATTAGGCCTTGTTTACTTACTTTGGTTAGGAGGGTAGGAGATAATTGCCATTGTCGATCTTTCTCGCTTTTATTATGTCCGAGTAGTGGCTGGTTGTTGTTGTTGTTGTTATTATTGTTGTTGTTGTTGTTGGAGAGGTTCTTCATGTAATGTAGGGTGGCAGGTATCCTGCTATGTGAAAATTTGGCGGTGGACAGGATCACGCCATGAGTTAGTTGTTCCTGCTTACACTCGAGGATGCCTTCTTCCTTTGTTGCTGTAATGGATGGCCGCCTATTGGCAGTAGTAGTAGTCAGATGCATGAGTGCGGTGTACTCCGTAGGGCAGACAGGCAACCCGCGGCTAGTAAGCGGTATACTGGCATAGTACAGGGGTGATGGTGTGTGAGGAAAAGAAATTGCACGCGGCAATGGCGAGAGAGAGATTTTATTGATCCAATGGAAAGGGAGACAATTCATGAATTGTATCCGAGGTCATTGGGCCGCCAGTTCATGAAGCTTTTGGGGGCTGAGCCCATGATGTCAAAGATATATTTCTCGGCTGGTGGATCCTGCTACTAAGCGTTTTGTGGAATATGAACCCACTTGGGATATGCCTGTAAATGATCCAGGGTCGTGTTAGACGCGTGCTCGGGGATCTAGATCCGATGTTCGGACGAGAAAGAGTATTTTTGTTGGGAATAATTGCTTTTTTCTTGTTCCTCTCAGGTTGTCAGCGATACTTGCTTCTTCGGGTTGGTGAGTGGTGCTCCGCACCATCACCGGTATCGCTGCTATAGTGCAATTCTATATTGGGGATCACTCCACTAGAACTCCCTCGGTTTCGGGCCAGGTAGATCCCTTGGCATGTCTGGCGCAGGAACAGGTTTAAGTCAAGAAATCGTAGCCAAATGGCGGCTCAGCCACTTAGAGTAGTCGATCTCCATAGTTATACGGGCCAGAATGCACTCTGGTGATCGTTATTCCAGTGCGAAATTAGTACGGTTGCTATTATTGTGGCAAGTGTGGCTGTGTGGTTACTCATTGCTGTGGCCGGGAGGGTACCGGTGCGCTGGTACCGCATCGGAGACTTCCGCGCTGGCGGAATGCGTAGGGGGCACCGATATGGCATAAAGCATCTGTCATAGAATCAAATCAGTCGATGTTCTTATCATATCAGTATCTTAAGTTTGCGTTCCTGGACCAAGGATCCTTCTCCGCGGTCTTGATCCGGGGAGAAGGTACGGAGCACGCCATCCGCCGAATGTCAGGAGACTCAGTCTGACGACACTTGGACGGCGGCCGTTCGAGAACTTGATGTTTTCTTTTTCTGCAGGCGGCGCATGATGCGTCCCTGGGAATACCCTACGCGGAATAGAGTCAATAAGCTGCCTCGTTCCGAGAGACTGAAACCACGCTTAATTAGGTAGACACTGCCACTAGGCTGCCTTTTGGACCCGTCGTTCAAGGCCAAACGAAGCTGGTTGGGCTGAAAGGAGGGCCAGGAAAAGGGAAATGGAGATCAAACCTGCCAATCAAGGTAGCAATTGAGTCTAATGCACAAAGTTAGATGAGAACGAGCAGCAGGTCGTGCGTAACGCTGCTCCTGATTGACAGTCGCACTGCACGGTTGTATGTATGTCTATGCGCTGATGACGCTTCGAACTCGATCGTGCCCACCCAGAGCCTGCAAATCCCTTTTTCTCCGCACTGCAAAGTTTCAGTTGACACTGACACTGACACATGAACAGTGATGATTGGCCGGGGACAATCCCTTACGGATCGGGAATTAGAGCATGGAGGATCGCCCGATTGCCTCTGCCGCGAACAAGGCCATCCAGTATGAAGCTCGCCATCCATCTTCCGGGGACTAACCGCTGCTGCCGCAATGCATATTCGCCTGCACCGTTTTGGCCTGGGCTGCATTAACTGGGGAAGGGTGGAGCGTGTTCGTCTGGTCCTTTCATTTCGCTTTTTGATTTTATTTTTCCGGTTGGCATTTATTCCTAGCTGATCAATTCATTTTTCTTGGGACCACTAGCGTCAGGGACTATGTAATCCGTAGGGTGTTTCCACATCAATGTCACCTGCAATGTGATGAGAACGGGGGTGGTTTCCATACCGGGGGCCTAGGAACAGGCTTCTCGGGCGAGTGGTATAACGGGATAAACCTAGATAGTATAGAGGTAGCATGTCAGAGGAGTGCAGTGTGGCACGGGGCGCCCAGGATGAAGGGAGAGGGGGGACTGACCGTGGTCAGTTTTTGGTTCTAGCTGGCTTCTGCGAGTGTTCGGTGCAGAACCAATGATATCGATTCCAATACCTTAAGTTCTTGGAAGCCAATGATGATGGATTATCGCGGCTTCCCATCGCTGTCCCACCCGCATCCCCTCCTTTCACTTCCGGCCATTCTCTTCTCAGCAAAAGATGACCAAGACCCAGTTAGCCTTCATTTTGCTTCTTTCCCGAGAGGTCGTATTTTAGTTTTTTCGCGTTTCTTTTTCGTCTCAAATCCGGAAACCACTTGCGCGGCTGTGGTGGAAATCTGTGGCGATTAGTGCTCTCACCGGGTGGAGTCACCATACAAAAAGGAGAAGAAAGAGCAGAAGGGGAGGAGAGAGAGATGGAAGAGGAGAGAAAAACAAGAAGTCACCGTACGACTTGGGAAAGGTGCAGGAAGAACATTTGGTGGTACATCCAGCCATCCTCCATATTATTTTTTGACTTGAAGCTCCAGAGCGTCGGCTGCCCCACCTCCGAACGAGCACCAGAATATTAAGGGACCACCGCTCCCAGTCTGGTTCCTCTTGTTCCTCCCCGGTCGTCCTCTCTTTGGCTTTGGCTTCTTCTCTTCTTCCTTTCCTTGGGTCTGACTCTTCTTCCTCTCTTGGTTCCACCATCCAGCATCCAGCATCCATCGTGCACCCTCGTGTGCTTGCAGTCTGGCAGCTGGGGGTGTGTCGGGGGGCCCTTGCTCACTCGGCCCTTTTCCCCTCTTCCTCCACCGTTTCCACCCCCCATCACCAGTCATCGTACGACCTTTCTCCTCCGAACTGCTTCCCCTTCAGACTTACACAAATCAATTCCTGGCATACAGATTATTTTTCTTTTGACCGAAACCTTCCGTGAATTTATCCTTGGGATTGTTCCTTTGCTATCGGAGTGTCCCAACCCATCCGGAACCGCTCACTCTTCCCGCCCGCCGAGTTTTCCCCACGGGGTTCCCCGTGCGTCAGAATCGGCCCAGACAGCGGCGACCTTCCACCGTGTACGAGACGACATCCTGCCCGCTCCTTTTCAGCCTTATGCCAGTATACACTCGGGCTCACGTTTCGCTCTGAGCCCTCCGGACCGGAATCCGTCAGCAGACGAGAAGCATTCCATCTCAGGTCTGATGAACGTTTCTCATACAAGCAAGATCTTTGCGGGTGATCTTCGGGGTGTCGGCTAAGGCGCAACAATCCACACGCGGTATCAAGGAAAAAAAAAAGACGAGATTTCGAAACAATTGATTAATTATTGTTGTCTGGTTCTTCCAGCCAAGATGACCTTGGCTCTGGCTACAATGACTCCGCTGGGTTCGGGGCCTAAACGCGATCATACATCGAGCACAGAGATTGACATGATGACGGAAGCTGATGCGCTGCATGCGGCTATTAATGGACCCCCACGCAAAAGGAAAAGGACCCGAAAGGTTCAGACAGATCGCAAGTTTGAATGCACATTTGAGGGGTGCGGCAAGAGTTACTCACGAGCGGAGCATCTGTACCGCCACCAACTGAACCGTACGCATGCAATCCTTCCAAGAGCTTGTGAGCAAGTACTAACTGGCTGCTGCTCTAGATACCCCCAAGCAGATTTATCGGTGCGACTTTCCTGATTGTTACCGCTCGTTTGTGCGACAAGACCTATGTATCCGTCATAGAGAACGCCACACCACCCAGGGATCGCAGCTACAGAAGCGCGATCACTTTGCGCAGGCTGCAGCAACCAGCAACAACCTGAAAAAGCCGCAAGTCTCTCAAGTCATGTCTCAAGTGAACGCGAACCACGCACCTACACTCATTCCGCTACCCTCCAATTATTCGCCCGTTCAAGCCCCATCCGAGGGTCAGACAATGACAGTGCCTGCGATGAGTGCATCGAATCAACACGTACACATGCCCTCGCCCTCAGGATCCGTGGGCATTGGCCAGGGATTCAATTATCAGACTATGGTGTCCCATCATGCAGTGGACCTGTCTGACCCTACGTTTTCCCGATCGAACAGTTCCAGTAATCATACACTCAGCTCCCCCCCAGGACAGTCAAGCACAACAACCTTTAGTCCTCCTGAGATACAGGCGGTGCCTCATACGGCGCTCGGTGGTCACTCTGCTGGCAAATCGTCCCCCAATTCAGGAGACTTGAGCCACGAAGTTCGATCTCACCATTCCCTGGCCGAAACATCTTCTCTAACACACGATATCGATGGCCCTTCATTGGCTCATCCCACATCCTATTCAGGCCTACAAATCCCTGTGGGGGGATACACAAATATATCGATGGCTCCAGCGACGTCGGCTTCGACGTCTCTGGACCGCGGAACACTAGAGTCGATGTCAGAGATGATGACATCCGGCCCGTCAGTGGGAGATGCCGGCTTCGACGCGTTGGCTTCTTGTGTTTACCCGGTGTTTGGTGGCGAAGCCCACAACCGGTCACCCTTCGCAATGGCGGATGATTTCACAGCATGGCTGTTTAACGATCCCGTTACAGGCTCTCCGTCCATGGGGTATCCTGCTCCCACTAACGTGGTGCCAAATTACTTGGACGCTGTCCAACTACAGAACCAATTTTTCATGAGTGATCCGGCGTATGGCAGCTTTCTCAGTGGTGTCATTCCGCATCATCCCATGAGTGTCACAAGCATTCTGGATCCGGGATCACCGCGCGCCATCATGTCAGAGGAGAAGAGACAAGAACTTCTTGCCCTCATGAGCTCGAGGTTTAATGAGGCCTTCTATGCAGTGTCTGCTAAGCGCAAGGATGCGCTGATGGACGGTGACATTGACGACGATGACCATGTGCTAAGTCTACGCATGATGCAGATGTACATCGGCTCGTATTGGTACCATTTCCACTCTCAGTTGCCCATCTTACATCGTCCAACGTTCGAGGCGGACAAAGCGCCTAATCTTCTTCTGCTCGCAGTGATGGCTATTGGCGCATCCACGCTGGATAGAATTCACGGGTCAGAAGTAACCGAGGCAGCAGCGGAGTTGGCGAACTTTATCGCCTGGCATCTCCGAACGGAGCTTTTCATGGATGCAGACTTTCGTCCACCAGCTAAGCTCTGGATTTTCCAAGCACTCCTGCTGCTGGAGGTATATGAAAAGATGTACTCCACTCGTGCGCTCCATGAGCGGGCGCATATCCATCACGACACCACACTTACACTGATGCGACGGGGCAGCTCATTGATCGGCCGCTCTGCGTTAGACTCTCCTGCAAGCTTGCGCGATGATCGGCAGGCCCGGTCAGCTTCTGGATCGACACTGGCGCCAGACTTTGTGGCTGAAGAGTCATGGACACACTGGATCAAGGCTGAGGCCACGAGGAGAGTGGCTTTTGCGGCTTTCGTTCTGGACTCTACCCACGCCACTATGTTCGGGCATTCGGCTAAGATGGTTGCTCACGAGCTTCGGTTACCGTTGCCCTGTGATGAGGCGCTGTGGTCTGCGACTAGCGCCTCTGAGGTAGCTCGAGTGCAATCGAGCCTGCACGCCAACGGAGTCAAGCCTGTCATGTTTTTGGACGGCCTTAAGAAGACGCTTAACGGACAGCGGGTCCGGACAAATGCTTTTGGACGAACCATTCTTATGGCTGGTTTGCTTAGCGTCAGTTGGCACATGAATCAACGAGACCTACAGGTGAGCTCACTGGGTGGGCCACCGGCATTGGGAGGCCGGGACAAATGGCGGTCAGCACTGTTGCGAGCCTATGATAATTGGCGACGAGACTTTGATGAAGCGCTGGGCCAGTCACCATCGGGGCCATTTCATGGTGGATACCGTACCCGACATCCTCTAGACGACGATAATGTTTTTGAGTCGCGCGACGTCCTCCATGGATTGGCGCATATGGCCTCTCACGTTGATATTGTCGACTGTCAAATCTTCGCTGGAGCTGGTCGGCTCATGGGACGGTCTATCACCCCCAGAGACTACAAAGCGGCGCGCGAAAAGATGGTTGATCGCTGGGCCACCAAGGCTACAGCCCGCGACGCCACGTTCTATGCTTTGAAGTTCTTATCGGAGTGCCTTCTGGATGAGAAACGAGCACTGAACGAGGATGGGGAACTGTATTCAGGTCGAGACGATTACCTCTTGAACCGGCCCTGGGTGCTGTATGTTGCGGCTCTAGTGGTCTGGTGCTATGGATATGCACTTGAAGGGCCCTTGAAGACTCCTGTCAAGTTGAGCACCCCTGCTGCACAGCGGCAGGACATGCAGGAGTTTCTGCGCCGGGTGGGCGGCGTTCGTGAGCCCAGCGACTTGGAAGGGATGCAAGGATGCAACCGCTGTCTGGGCTTGTTATTGATCCTTCGGGACGGGTTCGCCAACACGCGCTGGGAGTTATTGGCCGAAGCTGCCAATCTGCTCACCAGTTGTATCGACAAGCTGAATGGAGCAGCTTGCTGAGATATTACGTCTCCACCAAAATAAGTTCTTTTGTTAATTTTCCTTACATTTTTGTGTGTATATAGCGTTTGAGGGAGGATTCTGTTCTTTTGTACTGGGACGCCTTTGTGTTTCGATAAGCACCCGCTGCCTTGTTTGCTGTATTCTCCTGCGTGGCTTACGTTTGAGTTGGCTGTCTGAATACTTTGCGCATGTGTTATGACTTGGATACCAATGGGACGGATAGCGTTGCATGTTTGTATTATTGCAATATTAGTACTAAGTACTTCTGTGAAACTTCAAAGAGGCCAATCATGTTCCATGATCAGTACTAGTAGTAGTTACTCGGCAATCAGTGCACTCCGTAGGCTGATGTTGTCATCATATCAGTCGAAGCGCAGATCGATAGGGGGGTTGTCGTGCCTGAGGTGTCCGGTTACCACAACAACAACCGGGCAAACAGTGCAGCCGGACTCTCTCCTCCATCCCGCTCGCTCTTCTCCTTTCCTTGTTCCCCCATTCTGCCCTCCTCCTTCATTCCCAAGCCATACGTGGTACCTCCTGCCATTGCCGTTCCGTTTGTTTAGATCGTCGTCCACATCCCCCTGTCGCCATCCCTCGCAGCCCGCTGTCGCATATTCCTCACGCAATCACCACAATCAACACAACAAACAGTCATGGTACGTGGCCGTCTCGCAATGTCAATTAAAAGCATCATTATCCCTCGCTGGCGGGAGAAGAATTGTCCGGATGGCATCAGGAACGAGCAGCACTCTGTATCCCTTGTTTGTTGACTGTCGTGGTCAACCTCGGGGATAACTGGTGTGGTTGGATCCATTGAATTCCGGCCCCTCGTCGGCCCATCCAATCCCTTTGCTCGTTTCCATGGTTCACTAGTAGTCGTGGCTGCTTGTTCGTCATCGGCACACTTCATCTCCCTGTCTTCTTTCCATCCTCCATTTCATCTCTGATCTCTACTCTTCATCCCGGATTTTTGCACTTGTGATTTCACTTTCAAGATGTCTCGCTCACCAGATATGCACCATGACCAGGCCTCGACCAACTACAAGGAAGCCTTCTCTCTCTTCGATAAGCGTGGTACCGGCAAGGTCGCGCTCGAGTCGCTAGGCGACCTCCTGCGCGCATGCGGCCAGAATCCTACTTTGGCGGAGATCGCAGATTTGGAGAAGTCCATCGGTGGAGACTGTACGTTTTGACTTGCTCTGAAATGGCTAATGTGTATCTAACACACTTGTGCGCAGTTGACTTCGAGTCGTTCTTGAAGGTCCTCAACCGCCCTGGAGGCTTCCGTGACCCTGGCGAGCCCGAAGAATACTGCCGCGGATTCCAGGTGTTCGACAAGGACCTGACTGGGTTTATCGGTGTGGGACAGCTCCGATACAGTATGTGAAGCAGGATGGAGTTTATTGGGTTGATACTGATGATGGCTACAGTCCTGACGAATCTCGGTGAGAAGATGTCGGATGAGGAGGTTGACGAGCTACTCAAGGCCGTCGACACCAGCTCCGGCGAGATCAACTACACCGGTATGTTACACCAGCTGAAAGTTCACCATGCCTTTGTGTTGGGTCAGGCTAACAGCAGCAGACCTCGTCCGCACCATCCTGGCCAACTAAACGACACACGATACCGATACCCTCCTGACGTTCCTGATGATTTCTGTTACGACGCGAACCTCCTACCAGCCGTGCCGGAGTTGAAGGCTTGAGCATAGTTTAGTTATAGTGCATTGTATATGGGATATTGCGCGATTCAGCAGCGGATAAACATAAGATAAATAAACATGATAAAATGATACATGGTATATGGAAGTACAGTATAAATAGCACAATCAACTCCTCATGATGACCACTTCCCCTCCCAACACCATAGCCACTACCAAACCCTTATAGAAATATACCCCATAACCCACAACATCAAAGATACGCCGTCCGAACTGATTATCCCTCCAACCACCCCACCCACTCTCTATCCAACCCCTTGACCACCTTCTCCAGCTCATCCCCCATCATAACCCCCGTCTCCACCAAAGCCCCCGGCAAGAGATAAACCACCCTAGCCTTCTCCGCATCCTCATCCTCACCTTCAGCCCCAGCACTATTCCCCCCAAAATGCACCTCATCCAAAAAGTACCCCATGACAACTCTACACCGCCCGCACCTCAGAAACAACCGTTTCTCGAACCCATCTTCCCTCCGCACAAGCGTGTGTTTGCGATCCGGGATGGTGGTGGATAGAAGGATCGTGTAGTGTTTTTGTTTGATGGAAGATTGTGCTTGTGATGTGGTTGGTTCTTCTTCGTCTTCGTCGGCGGTGCTGTTATCGCGCGGAAGAGGTAGGATTAAGGCACCGTCTTTGGCGGGGTCTTTCCGGCGCGGGAGGGAGGAGACGGAGCGTGTGGTCGCGAGGAGGAGGTGGTTGCAGAAGCGGCAGTGGTGGGTTTGGACGGGGAGGCGGGGAGGCGATTGTTCTGTAGATGTGGCTGTTGTTGGTGGTGGTGGTGTTGGGTCGTCTGGGGTTGGGGTTGGGGTTGGGGTCATTGTGTGTGTTATAGGTAATTCGCTGGTGGAAGGAGGCTGAGGTATAGTGGGATCTGGTAGTTTTGTTTGTGGGTTATTATTGTATTGGGTTGATTGATTGCTGGGTGTTGGTGTGGATGGAGGAAGGCTGGTGGTGACGGTGATGTGAGGTTTAATGTTGGGTGTGAGGTTTTCGGCTTATCGATAAGGGGGGGATGGTTTCCTTGGGTATTGGCAGCTTGAATTTATTAATGTGAAAATAAGCTAAACACAATGTAATAGATAGTTACGGGGTATAATTGACACCTAGAAACTCGAAAATTGTTTCCAGGTGTTTAAGTGTGCAACTTACAATGGGGTTCTTCATTTTCCAGGCGACCTATTACGAAGGTGATATTATTTTGGATATTTGTTTTTTTACTAGTACTGATAGTATGTCGAGTGCACCATACAGAACGATGAAATACCACCATGATAGAACAGAAACTCTTTCAATCATTCAGGCAAATTCACACAAATGGCATCAGAGTTACAGCATGATGCCATAAGTATAGAGTCGCGGACCAACTGAGTTTGCCCGAAATAAGCAAAACCTCTGAGACTGCTGCGTCTGCAAGACCGCTGATGGAGTGCATAGTTAATAAGATTAAATGGAGCCCGAGAGATCCTACTAGCCATAGGCAGCAGGTCACATGCGGGCAATATATAGCTATCAGCAGAGAAAACCTGCTATGCTTTTGCGAAAACAAGACGGCAGTGACGCTGTGCCTTCTATGTCCAGCACTATCCTTGCTGCATTCCGTGTTTGCTTGTTGGGAAGAATCATCCGGGCCAATCAACTGACCTATTGATCGGTACCCATTATACGATCCAAATTTGGGTCAATAATATTGTGAGTCTAGCTCATCCCAGCTTACATTTGTCCGTCATTCTGTGTGGACGCTCTTCAGTGTCTGAGATCTGGCGACCTTTCCAAATCGGTCCCGAATGGATTCTACCGACCCCTTCACATCAGCCGACAGTGGATCACTAACGATGTTAGTGTACAATTGTTGTACGAGGGGGATGGATCTCAAGAACCCGATGCCGGCATTGCCGATCGGAGACTCCCTGCGATGCACGATAATAGTTCATCGTTTGGCTCAATAGGAGCTGCTTCCTGATAAAGCAACAACCGGGATGCTAGCTTGAAACCAGCGGCCAATACGCATTTTTGGTGGCATGTTATGGATCCTTAGGTAAAGCAGGACTGAACAAGGACCCGAGCATCAGGCACCGGTACATGATCGCGGCCAGCTGGAGGAGTTTTTCGGGTTTGTTATTGTGCGGCGGCTCGGATATCATTTCTCTCCCTGTCTATCAAGGCAGCCACATCCGCTCTAGTGTGGTTCGGCACCTATCACGGCCCTTCCACTAGCGACTAGACTATCTACCACCACGTATCCAGCGCTAATCTGAAGAAATCAATGAACAGTGGGCCCTCGGCACTTCTTCTGAGTCAGTCGAACTCTGTCGACATGAACCATACCCAAGTTTTTCGGGTCGGGCGTATTTATGTGGCTGGCTGAGACTATCTGGAAGGTCGGGCTTGCTTCGATAGCTAGTGAGCATTCTGCTGAAGGGATCTGCAGTAGTTGTCACACAACGCATGACTCGTCTACCTTGAGAGCGTGAGGAATTGGGTCAATGTCTCCATGAATTTAGGTGACTGGTCACTCAGACTGGGGACAAATTTGAAGTGGGCCGAGAGAACCGCATGCGGTCTACGGAGTAAAATAGCGTCGTAACCTCAGCTCAAGCAAGATGATGACAACCAAGTGGAGTCGAGAACGACTCAGGACCGTATGTCTGCGGCACTGTCCTTATAAACCTTAACTCATATGGTTCAGCTCTGATGGCGAGCTAATCTGGGGTGAAATAACCGACAGAGGTCAATTGGACCGGACTAGCCTGACTTATCAGATGTGAGGTATAAATAATTGGCACGTTTCCGGCCACGAGACGCTGATCAGGTCCTTCCAAATTGTTCGAGCCAAGAATGGAGCCTTCCCCGTTCAATATCACTGAACATGTTGTTGATTGCCAGCATATTCGAGAGTATGCTCGTGCAACTCGAAGTACAAATGATGCACTAAAGCTTGCGGTCAAACAATACACACCAAAGTCGAATCCAAATCCTCAACCCGGTGATGTGACTATCATTGGAGCAACTTCTGTTGGATCCCCTAAGGTGAGTCGTGACGTATATTTACACAGTATACTGTGCTTCGATGCGTGACTCAAGAGAGTGTAAGCTAAGCTTAAGCAATGGCACAGGAACTAAAGGAGCCGCTATGGGAGGAGGTGTACGAAAGGCTAGGACGCCAAGGACTTCGAATCCGCTCTATTTGGATCACAGATTCAGCCCACCAAGCTGCGAGCGCGGCCATTAATGCGGAACATCTAGGGTTTGAGCGTACGTTTTGTACTTGCTACCAGCAAAATTTGCCTAAGGTTAATCGTATCCTAGCATCATGGTTCGACCACAGCCGAGACCTGCTTTATATGATTAATAAGTTCAAGGCTGAAATGCCGAAACCTATTATTGGAGTCGGACACAGCATCGGAGTTGGCCAACTGTAAGTTCTACTCTAACATTATAGCGTAGGAACATCCAGCCTAACGTACAATTGCCACCTACCAGATTGGGCCTATCCCTGATTCACCCCCGGCTTTTTACTTCCCTCGTCCTTATAGAACCGGTGATATCAAAGGATTTCAATTCCGGAAGAGGGTCAAGCTTTGCGAAATCAGCTCTGATCAAAAAGGATACATGGAAGTCCCGCTCTGAAGCAGATTCCTATTTCAGAAAAGCACTTAAAGGATGGGACTCCCGATGTCTTGATCTATGGTTCAAATATGGCCTCCGAGACTTAGATTTCCAGGCCGATTCAGCCGGAACCGGTAACCCCGAGTCCGCGGTCGGTCTGGCCACCACCAAAGACCAAGAGATCGCACAGAGCTTACGCCCCAACTTCGTCGACCTGCAGCCCTTGAACATGGACGGCAACAAACATCCAGATTACTTACGAGATCCCACATTCTATGTCGATGTCACCGGCCAATCAAAAACTCTGCCATTCTACCGCTATGAACCCATCTTGTTGTGGAGACTACTCAAATATGTCCGGCCATCGGTATTATGGATCTATGGCGGAAAGAGTATCATGGCGACACCGGATCAACGAGCAGAGAAGCTACAGCGGACTGGCACAGGGGTTGGGGGCAGTGGTGGATACAAGAACGGCCGCGTCAAGGAGAGAGTGATACCCGAAGGTGGACACTTCGTTCCGTTCGAGGATGTGGCAGGAGTTGCTGAACCTGCTTCTGAATGGATAGAACATGAGATAGCCAGATGGAAAGAAGAAGAAGACCGGATCCAGAAGGGCTGGCTGGAACTCACTGCTAAAGAGAGATCTTCTATCCCAAACGAGTGGCTGGCGCAAATGGACAAATACTTCATGAAAGGGAAGGCGGGCAAGACGAAAGTAAGGGCAAAGCTATGAGCATTGGATTAATGAAAAGAAGTGCGGGCACCAAAATCATTCAGTGTGCCTTGTAGTATTTGCGAGGCAATTCTTATCATGTCGTTGTATGGGGGATTTGTACATAGGATCTAGACGGACCTTGCCTGAGTGGACTACTACCTTCGATAGACGTGCCTATTACCGAATATTGATCCAAGCTGATTACCCACATAAAACTCACCATTGTTTATCTCTGAGCCAGGGTTACGACAAGCCTGCAATAAAGTCGAGACTCAACATTCAATTTCCAACCTGCAGAATACGAGGCAACGGTCACCTGACAAATGAGTAAACGGGAAGCGGTTCTCCACGCCGCCGGGAAGCCGATCATCGCCTTCAAGCTCTCCATGGGGAAAAAAGGAGACCCATTAACGAAATGCCACCACCAGAGCAAAGGGCTTCAACGCCCACCTCTTCGCGATCAGCCGCGAAATCTCCACGTGTGCTCGCATGTGTGCTGTGCCAGCAGCGCAAGGTCAGATGCGACCGCAAGTTCCCCTGCGCCAGCTGCATTCGGGCCGGCGCGCAGTGTGTGCCCACTCTGGCCCCTCGGCCGCGGCGTCGCAGGTTCCCCGAACGAGAGCTTTTGGAGCGCCTTCGGAAGTATGAGGATTTGCTGCGCCAACATAATATACCCTTTGAGCCTTTGCATGCGCCTGCCGGAGAAGACAGCAGGACCCCGGAGTTTGTAGAACATGCTCATTTTGAACAGCGTACTGCTGGGGAAGAGGGACAGTCAAAGGAGAAGGCTGAGCCAGTATACGCGGCTAAGTTGTGGCTCCCGCAGCAATGTATAGCCTATCCGATTTGCACTAACAGTTGTTTAGGAATTATTGGAAAGTACTCAGTTTAGTGGTATGTGCTATATTTGAGTTAGGTTGAACTACGCTTACAGTGGACGTCAGTCACAAGATGCTGAGGATGTCGATTTTGATAATAACAGTGAGGATGATGATCCCAGTCACTCGCAGGACACTCTGGGAGGGACTGCCGTGAGAAAGATGTTTGATCAGGCATACAAGAACAACCACCAGAATATCATATTTGGATCACATGAAGCCAATGTAGATCTATCGACTTTGCATCCTGATCAAGTCCAGATTTTCAAGCTCTGGCAGATGTACTTGGACAATGTCGACCCGCTGCTCAAAGTCACACATACCCCGACTCTCCAAGCACGCATATTTGATGCTCTTAGCGATCTGGCTCGTATAAGCCCGGAACTGGAAGCGCTCCTTTTCAGTTTGTACAGCGTCGCTATCATGAGTCTCGATGACGAAGAGTGCCGAAGCTCGTTCGGGTCTCCGAGGAAAGAACTTTTGCAAGGATATCAGTTTGGATGTCAGCAAGCCTTGCTTAATTGTGATGTGTTACGCACCGGGGATCGCGAGTGCTTAACTGCTTTGTTGCTCTATCTGGTTAGTCCCTCGAGAAGCCTTTTCTCGTGTGCCTCTAACACTTCTAGGTGTCTATGAGGTCTGAAACAGATCCGAGATCTCTATCTTCGGTGCTTGGAGTTGCCATCCGAATCGCTCAACGCATGAGCATCAATGACGAAAGGGCAAATGCAAGATACCCCCCACTCGAGCGCGAGATGCGCCGGAGGTTATGGTGGTCGCTGATAATGTTTGACAACCGCATTGGGGAGATGTCGGATCACAAAACTTCAATGTTGATACCAACTTGGGATTGCAGAAGCCCGCTCAATGTGACCGATAATGATCTGCAACCGGAGATGAAGGACTTGCCAGCTGCTTATGCGGGCCCGACTGAAGCATTGTTTATAGCTGCGCGCAGTGAACTGGGGGAGTTTCTGCGACACAGCGCCTTTCACTTGGATTATATCAACCCATCCTTGAAGGCAGTCGCCAGAGACACAACAGGTGATGGCATGACTGACATAGAAAGGAAGATAGAGGACAAATATCTCCGACTCTGCAACCCAGATAATCCCCTTCACTACATGACGATCTGGACGATACGTGGCTTCCTTGCAAAACACCTTCTGCTTGAACTCTACTCGAAATTCTCACCCACGCAGCAATCAGAAACGCAGCGCAACACCGCCAGCTCCTACGCAATGCGAATTCTCAAGTCTGATACTATGTTGATGAGATCCCCCCATACAAAACGATACCGCTGGCACGTTCACATGCACTTCCCATTCCCTGCATATCTACATGTCATCCAAGATCTGAAGAAGCGGCCCATGCAAGAGCATGCTTATGAATTGTGGAATGCCATGAGCGAAAACGCGGAGTTACGTTTCAGGGATATGCATAGATTCCACCCGATCTTCGAAATTGTCGCGCGAAATGTCCTTCAGGCCTGGGAGGCGCATCAAGCAGCATTAGGGGAACATGGAAAGTCGATAGCGCCACCATGGATTGTGCAGGATGTTAGAAGCAAGTTGAACAATCTGCATTCAGACTCGGGAAATTGCAACGCAGAGCAGCCGAATGACACGGAGGGGACCACTTCACTCTCCATGCCCACGGAGAATGATATTCCTAATTTGCTATCTGGCATGGAAGGATTTGGCAGCGTAGCTTGTGGGCTTGGTGGATATTCGGACATATTTGAACAGGCCGTCATGGATGTTGACGCGGATCAGTCAGGTTGGCCCACGATGAACTTCTACCCGATGTGGTAGAGGAATAGAGGATATGCTTGTCGTCATTGCGAGTCTCTGTACAGCTGTCACTCAATTGTTGGCTGGGTGGATTGAGAGACACCACCCGACTGAGAGCAATGACCACAGGACAGACATCGCACAATTCGTCCATACTAATTTGGAAGGCTAACCCCCGTTTCTATTCATCGATGAATATTGCACACGACGATTTTCTCGCTGTCTTTATAATCAGTCGATAGCCACGACCCTGGACGGCGCTTTTTATCCTCCTGGCTAGGTTTAGGTTTTGTCGATGCGAGAGGCCCGAGTAGAAGGCAGATTGAGGGGCCATGCGGAGCAGAAATGTGCAGCTTATTTTTTCATTATACTTGCCCAAAGTTGCTTCGTTATTGAGCCCATCACAAACCCACTTAATCGGAATTTTTACGGGTATCGGCGAAGCTATCGCCTATCTACCCGCTAAGGAAGGGCCACGTTAGTGCTCTTCGTCAGATCCGAGGTACAGTCGTTGTAGCCAAAGGCAATGCCTCTTGCACATCATATGCACGTACCCTCTTCAGAGACCAAAATGCAGAAGTAACGCAGATCTGCAATTTACTATCCGTACAACCATGTCGAGGGCGAAATTGGTGCCTGGCGCCACTCCGGGGCTTCGGCCCCGGAGCGGAGCATGGAGCAGCCTCCGTTCATTGCATTTTGCGGTTGAAGGAGCCTGGATTGGGCGACTACCCTGTTCGCCTGTCACAAGTTCAGGAGATATTAGTTGGGTGTCTCTTTTGCCTATTGGGGGCTAATCAGTGGATCAAATCCCTCCGCTTTACCCGGCCGGTCCCTTCCACTGTGGATTCGGACGCAATTCTCGTCGATAAGATGGCGATGCTGCTGTGCTCCGTCCCACCCCCTCGCAAGGCTAACAGGGCCGGGGGACTCACTAGCAGCAATCACTAACTCGCCACGGCTGGTGTCTCAGATCCACCATTGGCCAAGCCTGAACTTGGGGTTCGTCAGCTTGGCCTGCAGCAGCAGCCTCAAGGCTCCCCTCACACTGCACATGCCTCCGCTTCTCTTCAAAATCATTGTCTCGTTTCTTCATTCTCCCAACCCGCAATATCGTATCATGCAGCCATGCCGCGAAGGCCCGTCACATCAGATCCAACGAAGCGCAGAAGATCAGACGGCACAAGATCGCGAAATGGGTGTCGCACCTGTCGGTAAGTTACTACCATCCAGGTCTCACATGACTGCGGTTGCCGCTAATCCTCCATCGCATACATACAGCGCCCGCCGCATCAAATGCGACGAAACCCCCAACCAATGCAAAAACTGCACATCAACCGGGCGCTCTTGTACCTATGACATCCACCGCCTCCCCCGTGCCGCAAATAATACGTACCGTTTTCCCCACGACCTACTCACCCAAGTAACGGACGGCTTCCGCTGGACGATAACATCCGACGAGCGGCGCTGCTTCTCACACTTCCAACACTTTACAATCCCAGGATTACTGGAACTATTCGACTCGGAACTATGGAAGCAGCTCGTCCTTCAAATCAGTTACTCCGAGCCGGCAGTCTACCACGCTGCGGTAGCCTTGAGCGCCGTACACCAGGACGTCGAGGTATCGGGGATGCCATTGCCAGGACAGACTCGACAAAACATCTGGCAGAAGTTTGCACTCGAACAATCCGCACGCTCATTCGGGATATTAAGCCGACGGCATGCGAGTGATCCCCACTTAAGAGAGGTCATGTTGCTCTGTTGTCTTCTATACTCGCTCCTAGAGCTCCTACAGGGCCAATACGAGCGAGCATGCCACCACCTCCAAGGCGGCCTACGCATACTCCGAGAGCTCAAAGTCCAGAAGCCTCTAGCAGACGAAACCGAGTCACCCGTGGAGAAATGTTTAGTGGCAGCCTTCGTACAGCTAGATATCCAATCGACATACTACGGCGTCGACGGACCAGTTCTATGCGTGGACAACGAACTAGGCAAATACCAATGGCAACTGAAGAATACCGAGTCATTCGCAAGCCTCATCGAGGCCCGTCAAGCCATCGAGCCCCTAGTCAGTGGAGTATTCCGATTCACATCACAATCCTGGCCACTATCTCCCGCCGACGTGGCAAGAGATTACAACGCCCTGCTTCCACGTCAATACCAACTCCTCTCACAATTAACCCACTACGCCGAACTATTCACCCCATTCTACACCCACGCATACCCCACCCTCACGCGAAAAGAGCAACGCGGCTCCGACATCATCTACATCCTCCACCGGACCCTCACATTATCAGTCAAAACCTGCCTCCTAGCCAAGAACCCCGCCGTGCTCGACATCTACACCCCGGAATACCAAGAAGCATTATATCTCGTCGAAGCACTATTACACAAGTACCCCGAACGGCCAGCATTCACACTAGACGTGGGCATTCTACCCAGCTTGTATCTCATCTCGTTCGGATGCTACGATATCCGAGTACGGCTGCGCGCCATCGAAGTGCTGCAGCAGTGGCCGCATCGGGAGGGACTGTTCGAGTCGAAATGGGCGTCGTTTCTCTTGCTGGAGTTTGTGAAAGCGGATATCAAGAAGGATGCAGAGAATGTGCCAGAATTGACGGTGAGTGAGGGTTCCGTATCCGGGTCTGGCTCGAGTTCGGCTGCGAGTTCGCCCTCCGCTACGGTGGACCAGTATATGTCCACTGTTGGGCATATTGAGAGCGTTCAGCAGCAGATTATGAGTGGTCAGGACTTTCTGTTGCAGGATGCGCTGCAGAGCGCGGATTATTTGACTTCGTGGTCGTGCGTTAAGGCGATTGCGCCGAAGAGGGGGCGCATGGGCTAGAGGACCATCTACTTAACAGAAGTTTTATTATCTGTGTCGGATCATACTGCCTCGTATGTAATACTTACATCTTCAGTAGCACTTTGATGTCCAAAACACCTATCTACAAAATCACAGATCTATTGTGGAATATGACACAAGCTGCTGATGGCCACTCAAGGGCTGCAATTATCTATCTCTTCCCAACCACGCCTCAATCGCGCATAGCACTTCTGCATCGGCCACGAATGCAACTCACGAGTCTGGTTGATAATACCTACCAGCGCCTCGCGCTCGTCCGGCTCGGTAAAATACTCCCCGTAGAGACTGATAGAAATCACGGCAGTGACTAAAGCCGGATGGCAATGGGCGTGGTTTACTGCGATGCCGCATATCCTGAGCACGATGGAGCGGACTTCTGCTTCCGCTTTGCGATGCGCAGCTCGAGTGGAGTTTCTGACATGTTAGTACATGGGGATCGGCGGAGGGATAGGATATGTCGGACGTACGAAAGGTATGGATTCTGAGCGGTTAGGATCATATTGGCTATCTCTAGATGCTGCACTGCAGTCACGTGCTCATCGGAGCTGTACCATATTGCAGGGAATAGTTCGCCACGCGACCTATCTGCTTTCTTCTCGAATATCGGTGCTAGTTCGGAACGGTAGTCGTGTTTGAGCTTTCTGTGGCGCAGCATGAGGCGGTCTGGGGAAATGAGTTAGTGATGCAGGAGATGGATAGACGGTGGTAAGGGAGGGAACGAACTCCATTCCTCACGCGTACCGTCCCCCCAGCGCCACTTCGTCACTTCACTAGCGAGCATTACCAGAGTGTTTGCAGCAGACGCCTTCCCCCAGTCTTCTGGAGTGAATCGCATCTTTGGTGGCCGTTGTCTTGTCAGTGCGTAGTATACCTCCTGTCGGATAACGATCCAATAAGCTGCAGTGGCAAGAGACTGCTCCAACCGGTGGGAGATCATGGCATCGATAATCCTCTGCGTGATGGCTAGAAAGTTGACTCTATCGTGCGCCGACATGTCTGCGATCGTATCGTTGTTGTCCTCTATGTCCTCTTCCATCTCTTCGTATTGGCGTAAGATAACTGTGGCAACCATTATATTCTCTTGTTCAGTGGGATCGGTTATTTCAGGGAATCTGAGAAGCTCAGGAATGCATTTGAGCGTGTATTCTACGGCTGTGCATTTCTCCAGGACCGGGAGAAGCTGTCCACGATAGCAAACTCCTTGGGGTGTTGCGTACTGCGGGAGGCGAGCTAGGTGGCGAGCAGACACTGCGAATAGAGCGTTGCGTATGATCGAGCAGTATTGTGCTCGACGCGGTACTACTAATTGAAAGTGTCGGCGGTCGTCGCAGTGATCGAACTAAAGTATTTCAGTAAAATCGGCATCACAAGTAGTTGGTGGCTTACCCATGGCGATATTTCCTCGATGAAATGGCGTAGAAGACAAGCCTCCTGCACGCTGGTCTGCCCGGGCTCAAGAGTAGATGAAGCGTCATCTGTCTGAACTGGTATCCTCGACCGTGGCATTCCATTGATCAAGCAATTGCGTTCAGAGTTGTTCACAGATTCCCACTCGCGTGCAACATTAGACAGTCTGTTGACGTTGGTCGTGTCCTCCAAAACGAAGGTGCGAAAGCCATTCCGTGAAGGATCAAAGGGGGAAGTCTGATCCTCACGTTGGGCACATACAGGACCATCATTTTTGCCGGAGGTTGGCGTTTCCCATTGCTCTGTAGGCTCCTGGTATGGTGTTGAACTCTGAGCCACATCCAGGAACTCTGGGAGTGAAGAGTCTCCTGAGAATAGCTTCCATTTCTTCGGCTGGCTGCTCATCCAAGATTGATCCTTCGAGAAATTCCCATCAAGCCTAGCCGTCGACCCTTGGCGAAAGACTGACTTTTTCTGCACTGGTCTACAGACTAAGCCTTTGTCTTTACATCGTGTGCACGTCGGTTGCTGTTTGTCACCTGTACTTGAGTCAAGCAAACATTAGTGACATTCGGGATTCGGGAGGAGCAGACTGACATCTCACGTGTTTCTCTGGGATCAATTAGCACTAGACGATATCTCCAGAAGATGAATTATACTCTGAGGGTCTTACCGCGACAGTTAGAGCAAGGTGTCCGTGCCAGTGTAGATTGTGATGATGGCGGCATTGTTGGGAAGTGAAGCAATTGGCGGTAACGGCAACTGGACGGCGGAGCCTACTCTTTTGGGCCAAAAGCCACCTTGAGGGGAAGTCCCCCACATCCCCGCATCCCTTGAATCCGTCCCAGGAGAACATTGTCATCAAGGAATATGTTTTATTTCGATTAAATTCTACTAACTTCAATCTAATGTGAATCATTGCAGTTCAGCCGCTCGCCATTCTCGTTAAAGCGCACCACTTCCCCAGACAGCAGAGCACTTTGCAAAGCTTGTCCGATCTTCATCACCATAATTCCTCGCTCTAGCGGCAGCGGAACTTCGGTGTCTTTCAGCACCGCAGTCACAAACTCGTTGGCTTCGACGGCAAATGCATTCTCGAATCTTTCCCAGTATTCCGGCTGCACCTCGTGTCGCATACCCAGTTTATCGGCAAGGACAATGTTGTTCTGTCGGGGAATAACGTTGACCATTATCTTACCCTCGGTTCCGGTGATCTCGGTACAGACATCATGTCCATGTGCCTGAGTCCGTGAGCAGTAGAAGTATGCAATCTTCCCGCCCCAGAACTCTATAACACCGACTGCATTGTCCACATCCGCCAGGTCCTTCAGCTCTGGGTGATGCTGCAGCGTTCCAGCTGCCCAGCAAGCTTTGGGCGTCGGGTTATCCAAGAACCAGAGCGACAAGTCAATATCGTGAATGGCACAGTCGACAAAGATACCACCATTGCGGGACGCGTATCGGACAAAGAAGCCCGTCTCATCCTTCAGGTCGCAGGTGTTCGACCGCACCAAAAACGGCGATCCAATGGCCTTTTGATCGAAGATCTTCTGGCTCGCGTCCCGGTAGGAGGCATCGAACCTGCGCGAGAAACCGGCCATCACTTTGAGCGAAGGCTTGGCTCTCGCTGCGTCAACCACTGATTGGGCCTAGTGACGAGCTATTAGCATCTATAATGTCAGATGTATTGAAAAGGGTAGCAGACCTCTGCCAAGTCGGTACTCAGTGGCTTTTCGCAAAGGACATGCAGGTCCTTGTCGATAGCCGCCAGGGATTGGCTCGCATGGACGTCAGTGCTGCTCGAAATCCAAACTGCCTGAAGTCCAGGATGAGCCAGCATGTTATCGTAGTTGTCATAGACGGTGATGCCAAAGTCGTTGTACTCCTGGTTGCTTGTGGCCCATTCAATCTCGCTAGCATCAGTACTGCAGACTGCCACGACCTTGGCTCGCGGAACACGGTAAAGCAAGGTATGTAAATGACGCTTGCCCTGAAAGCATATTAGCACTGTGGCACAAGTCTTTGTGAATGAAATAGATGTTTACCATCCGGCCAAGGCCGACAACTGCAATTTGGACGGAACTCATGGTAGCTTTTTCTTGTGATGATCAAGTACCTGAGAAGTTGTATGCTCTAGGATCTTTCCTGTGAGATTACAAGAGTATTGGGGAGGAATGTGCTCTATTTATGCCTTCTGATGTCCAGCATACAGGAGCTGGTTCACCTTATGGTCGTAAGTATAGCCGCCGGAACTTGCCTAATATGGTAATCGACTGTTGGCGGCATTGGCCGCAGTCTCGCCGGGACCTACTGAAACAGGAAAAAAGAGTAATATCAAGAATTACTCGCTCATCCCAATCTGCCCATAATTACAATGACCAGCATTGAAATCTGATCTTGCGGGCTCTCGAACTGGACATTTTACGTTTTCGAATTCATAGACATGCCATCGTAACAGGAAATAATGCCCGTTGTGCTGAACTGTGGAGATCATGTGACCCACTCAGCGATAACCATCCCGTTTGATGCTATCAACTTTGTTATCCGTTCATCCACCCCCGAACATGGCAACGATAGAAACCCATCTCGCAGTTGCATGCCACAACGCCAGTCGCTGAGGCCCCCAAATACCAGCTAATCCTTAGGACTAGTTCTATTCATGCTTGCCGCGGGGATATACTCCCCTAACTGGCCTACACCATGAAGAATGTCCGGAATGACTTTCTCCCCGCCGATCGGAAAATTGCAACCCGAGGTACGGAGAATCTCGATCACAACTCACTGCAAAACCTGCTGACACTTCAGACTGCCGTTTATGCACTAAAAGACGCATAAAATGTGATCGGACTATCCCACAGTGCCGCAAATGCACTATTCGGGGGCACTGTTGTCCTGGGTTCGACGCAGTTCAATTGAACTGGAACCATTCTATGGCACGTCGGGGGAACCAGATCTCATCTCGATCTGGACTCAGTCATCCGCAAGATCGAGAAACGAAAGGATACATCGTTAGACATGGTACTGCTATCATCCATACTTTTGTTGTGGAGGCCAGTCCGCCGATCCCTAACCCGCTGACCGATGACGGTCTCAGTCGTCGCCAGTCATCGACAGTACTAGGTGAACGGCTGATCAATCATTTTAGCTGCCATGTTGTAAGCATATTCTCGTGGATCGACAGTCACAAGAATCCTTGGAGGAAGATCGTGCTACCTCTGGCACAGGGGTCTATAAGTGTCCGCCTGTCTATACTGAACCTCGCTGCCGCTCACTTAGCAGCCACATCTACTGGTACCATTGCATTACGTATGAAACAGGTCAACTATAGCCTAAGAGATATTGCCTTACGCAGCCTAAACCAAGAGATCCAGCGCCAACTAGACTGCCATGCCGTGAAGCCACCTGACCAGCTATGTCTGACTAGAATTCTCATTGCTGCGATTACACTTTGCCATGCGGAATTGGTGACTCGCGATTCGACCGATTGGACTACTCATCTACATGCATGTCGGTCGATCGTAAGCAGGTACGGAGTGTGCGCTCGGAACGAGTCTCTCGATCCCATGACACAATTTGCGATCAAAGAGATCAGGGACGTTGAGGTATTCAACAATGTCTTCTCGTTCTCAAGCAGCAGTAAAGTAGCGACTACCGCAATTGAGTTTCAGCCATGGACGTTTACAGACCTGATCAATGACATCACTTCCATGGAAAGACATCATTATGGGTATCTCAATGAAGGCCGACAGCCACCTGATGTTGACTTCAACATCTGGCAAGCAAAGCTAGAGCAAGCCTCCGCACAAATGAGTATGTCGGATATCACATGTCTGTTGGCCCAGGGGAAGACTACGCGAGACGGCTTTGAAGCCCTCATAGACACCCATTATTACGCAACTCTTATATATCTCCATCAGGCGTTTGCATCTCCGACCTCAATGATGAGAACCGTCTCCTCCACTTTACCCATCCTCCTTGATAGAATTCAAAAGGTTGCTTTGGCTTCCAGTGATGCGTTCGCCCAGGACCTCTTTTTCCCCCTTTTTATTGCTGGTACAGAGTGCTGGGGAGATGAGGGTAAGCAACAGATAGTTCAACAGATTCTCCTCAAACTACTTGTCACGACTGGGTTGTGGTGCAATCACAGGGCGCTAGATTTCCTGCGTGCATTCTGGTCAAGCTCGAAGCATCATGGCACCGGGAAGTGGATACAGTATGGTCGAGATTCCAAGCAACAGCTGGGTCATTTTCTTGTGTTCTGAGATGGAATGATCTTGGAGAATATCCTCCGTTATCTATCACAAAACGGATCTCATCCGCAGGTGGCTTCATGCAGCTCATGCCATGTCACGCCATCACATATCAACAGTTTCTTCATCCTCTACGCCGAACAACGCCCTCATTGGATCCTGATAATACATGAATCCAACCCCTGGCTCGCAGACCCCGTACCCTAGAAGTCTTTGGGCCTGAGGCTTCATCTTCTTCACTCGCTCTAAGGGAACTACCAAGAACTGGTTCTCGGCTGGACGTAGTGTTGGTTTGCAGAGGAAAATTCCCACCGTTTCGCGATAATCGTTTCTGAACGCAAAGATGGTCACCAAAATGCAACATTGAAATGAAGAAGGGAGCAACATACTCTGTGACATTTGCACCACCAGCATGATACAGATTCCCCAAGAAGATAAACGCATCACCGGGTTCCAATTCTGCAGGAATGGCCTCCTCATCTAATGGTCGCCGTTCCGGGCCCCAGAGATGTGAACCCGGAATGGCAACGGTCGCTCCATTTTCCTTGTTTGTCTTCGTCAATGCAGTCACACAGCCAATCATCACGGGCAGTTGCGCATCGTGTGGGTGATAGTCACTGCTTTTCTATCAGCCTACTAAAATTGGCAAAGGGCCCGTCAGGCCTACTTATCGTCACGGTGAAGCACCTGCTGTTTGCTTCCCGGTGTCACTCGGAACCCAGCCGTGCTAGAGATGATCGGCTTCCCAGACACCGTCACCTTATGATCACCCCTCCAGAAGGAATAACTGGACGAGACAAGTGCATTGGCGATGCTGATATAGGTTGGATTACATGCCAATTCGATGCAGGCATCCGAGATGCCTAGCAGACCGGTAGCACGCTGGGTTGTCGGAGGGAACAGACCATACTTGTCTGGTGTATCTTTGTCGAAGTGTGGCCGCAGATCTTGTTTGATTTGCTCGGCTGCATCGCGGGTGATGAGGCTCTCTACGATCACTCCCCCGTCTCGACGGATTGTCTCGACGAGAACATCAGTAGAGGTAGCGGTAGCATTGAAGCGTGCGAAAGAAGGCTTGTTGTTAGAAGCAATCATTGTTCCTGGAATATGAAAATTCTTTGAAAGCCGATACGAAAATTTATGCAACTTCTGATGGCCCTGAAAATCGGGAGTACTATACACTACTATATATAAAATGAGCCAGACAGAGCACCCTATTCCCATTACCTCTCAGAATCACAGGGCACAACACATTTCCCCTCACCACAGCCCACCCCGAAACCTTCACTCCCCAAATCTCGTACAGGCGAAAGAATCCCAAACCCAATCCGGCAAGACATGAGAGAAAGCTTATCTCCGCAAAGGAATCACCCACCAACTCAAAAACATGGGGTAAGAACGAAACAAGCACTAGCACCAAAACAGCATATCGGCAGAGAAACAAAAAGATACATTTTTCGAAACTTCGAAGATCACAAGATCCCCTTCACATAGAACCAGTGTTGGCAATACGGATTCTACACATAATGCCAAGTTGAAGTTGATTGGCTAGTTTCTCGCCCTTGTACAACAATGTCGCTGATGTGCCTGGCTCTCTACGAGAAAGCTAGAGAACCAGCTCTGTGGGAAACGTCAATGTTTAGAGGTCAGTACGCAGTCTAGACAACTATTAGGCAGTTTCGAATGCTCTTTAGCTGGCCCGGAATGGAGGAGGGGGCATTGCAATTGTTCAGTGCTTATTGGCGCTTATACACACGCCTACTCAGAGCTCAGTCGGATGGTTTCCGTGCCAAATCCTATTAATACCAAACTGTGATGCAGACATAGTGTTGAGTCTCGTCCCAGCCAAGTGATTCTAGTTTCTTAGTGGCTTGCTTTTAGTAGGGGTCGCTGCCGTCCTCGGAGCTTAGCATTATTCTACGCATTTTCTTGATGCTTATGCATCTCTAAAGCAGCTCGGTTAGTTGGGGGTTGCTGGAATAGATGGTAATGGTAAGATGGTAGTGCGACCATGTGAAAAATATCAGCGCTCATTGGCAACACAGGGTATCTGGTATTCTTTGATTATATCTATGCGCAAAGACAAGATGCACCACCAGTCACGACTATGCATAATCATACAAAGATCGTTGATCGTTCGTTGCCTCAGACAAAAGCAAATCTTCTGTCAATGAGTGTACCTGCACTCACTGAGAAACAATCGTATCGGGGAAATCAAAAACTGCAACCGTTATATACAGGGGGTAACTTGATTTGACGTGTTTGGGGAAGGGCCTGCCCTTTCCAGATTTCAACTAAGAGTCGTCAGTATCCGACGAAAACTCGAGCTTCTGCCCAAACAATTCCGCGTACTTATCCTGCCAGTAGTCTGCTATCTCCTTGTAGTATGACGTCTTATCGAGGGGTAGCTCCCAGTCGGGGCTATGCGATTCGGCTATCGTGAGGTAGGGGTCCATAATCTCGTCGAACCGATCCTTAGGGGCTCCTGGAAAATGGACGAGGAAATCCCCATGGTGTAATTGGAATTCTACTGGTCGGTCGGGGTTGAGGTCAATCGCATCGGCGTTTCGTGGGTAGGCATTAAACCATCGCAGTGGGCAGAAGGCGATGGATCGAGAGAAATAATCATTCTCGTTGATCACATTCTCCATGGCGGACTGGTCTGCCCAGAAGAGGCCAACTTCGGGATGTACGACTGGGTAGGAGAGTGTGGCAGAGAGAAGCTCGACGGCCCATTGGTTGACGCGCATGAAGAAAACCCCATTGTTTATGCCGTTCCAATCTTTCGCCATGAGGAGATGAGTGTCGGTATACCGTTCTGGTGGGAGGAAGATTTCGAGAGGAATATTAGGGTTCATAACGGCCGTGTCACCATCGACCCAACTGTGGTACATGTGTTAGTTCATCACAGGAATGATTGGCGTTTAGTTATGCTGTAATAAACTCACAACAGCCATTGTACCCGTTCCGCTTCTGGCTTTTGCAATTCCTCAACCAAAGTCGATAAAAGAATGGCAGGCTTGCTCCAGTAACCCCCAAGGATGGGTTTGCGCAGCACAGTCATGGGGTACCCGAACTTCTTAGCATGCTCTTCGTGCGTTTTAAGGCCTCTGTAGTACGAGGTCTTATTGCCATAGACCATGGTCACCTTGCGAATTATGGCTTGAGGTTGAGGTTCGGATATTTGGGTCTCATGGGGCCCTTCTCCTTTAGGTCAGTTTCAATCAAAATGCAGGGTAACGCGTAGGTGAGTGAGAGAGACTCACGGAATTGTGAGAATGTCTTGAGCAGCCCGACAATCACAAACAAGGCTAACGCCACATGGAAAAGAGGCTTGCATCGGAATCGCTGGCCCCGGCCACTGGGGAGATATCCTTTCTGCATTCTGAAGTCTTTCATTCTTGTCCCATTTCCTGGGGTGGGAGGTGGTAGGACATGAGTGAAAGCACGGCGCGCAGTGCGGGGAGGAGAGAGCTTTCATAAATCCAGACCGGTTCGCAGGGAACGCTTAGGGAACGCTTACCCTGCACCACCCGTAAGGTGGACAATGACGGCTCCAGCGGATAGCACGGGTACATGTGGTCCTGGCCACTGATTGACTGCAAAAGAACAGCGCCGGGCCTGCAGCTAACCAATGGCCGTCATGGATAGGGAAAGGATTTACAAGGCGCTTTTGATAGGCACCAGTGGGGTGCGGACACCATTTTCAGGTTAGAGGCGCCTTGTGGAGGGGAACCGGCCTCCTCGGATAGCTACTAGGCCGCACACTAGACAGCGGCTGAGCCTAACGATGTTGGCTGCACCACAAAAGCGCACGAATGGTAGGGCCTTATCGAGCCAGCTGAGAGGGCCGTGCAGGGGTCTGCTATGTGTCCACAGTAGGGATTACCTAGTATCAAATGAGAGCTTCTGACGTAGCGCGGAGTAGAGGCTGTGGGGCTGTCTGCGAAAGTAGCGCCACGGTCTACTGTTCACTAAGTGTAAAGGGTCTCCATTCCAATACACAGAACCGTCCTTCGTGCATTGGCTAACCGAAGAACAACCGGAACACCACCGAGGTCGACAAATCTGTAAGCCTTACTAAGTACTGTCCGCAGAATCATGTGCACGAATGGGAAATTTACAGGAATCGGGACGGTCAGCGGGAGGCTGATGATCGCGCTAAACGGGTGTCGGATAGGGCCTGATCCAGCGCGCTAAGTTTGGTGCCTGGTTATTTGACAGGCCAGCCCAGAAAAAAAAAGTTCTCGACAACTGAACGATAGTTTGCCGAGTAGTACTAAAAGCAAAGTAGCCTAAGGTTACGTATTTTGGTAGCTTAACATTAATCACCTCACAACTCACCGTTTGGGACAGCTGTGATGCTCATATTGGGTTTATATCCTTTCATTCTCAATACAAAGCCACAGATTAACATAAGGCTTTCAGATAAGGTTGGAAGGTTGAAGATAGGAGTGGGAAAGAGGAAGCGGGAGGTAACTGTTCCCCCCAAAATTGCGTTCAGTTAATCGGTGGACGGTGGCTGCGCCGCATATACCTATAGCCACCCCTAAGCTGTCAACCAGCTTGCCCATTCTCGGGAACCAGCGGGTCGACTCCATGGTGCCATGTAACACTGCGGCGACCGTTCCTGAAATTTAATTAACATCGACTGCGAGATCTGTTGATAGCGACGTTTCCAATGCCAGGGGCAATTAAAGGATTGCCAATCAAACTCGAGGCGGCTGCCGAGGATGCAGTCATCGGAAGATAGACTGCCCACATACATCCTACTGCATAGTACTCAGACAGGGCCAATATGAGAGGCACCAACAGAGTAAGATCTTGTAATTATTAAGCTTCGCGATCGCAGCAGCTCCAGCGCAGACGGGGACATGCTTGGGCTTTTGGTGGTCGACCGGTCAGCCCCGAGCTAAAAAAAAGGGGAAGTTGGCCGCTTAGACAACTTGGGAAACCCGCGACGGCCCCGGGCCCGGGCCGGCGTACTTGGCCTTACTAGGAGCTTTCAGCTTACTGTTAGAATTCCGTACTACGGATCACCAGTTGAAACGGGTAATTAGTGGAAACTGTACCCAACATACAGCTAACTGTAAGATAACTGGGTCATCCAGCGTACTATACATACTAGTAGAGTCACTAATCACCTAGTAGAGATCGGCAAGTACCTACCTAGTTGGGCAATACTAGTAGCGCGCATTTTTAGCCGGGCGGCTAGGTCATTGTTGACCAATCAGGCTCTATGTGTGTGGCATACCCCTTAAATGAGTGAGACGGTATTAAATGGTAAGTGGTAGTAGTTGCAAGGGTGGTGACCGTCAGAGGCTACGCACCTTGGGATAGGCCTACAGCGATGGAGGTGTTTCAATGTGCACATCATCCACCATACCAAGGATGAGAGCTACAATATATCGAATATAGCGGATTTCCTGAAGACGGAATAGAATCACCAGCAATAGATGGGAATTTACTTTTCCAATTTCCCAGCGGTTCTTGGTGCTACGGCTATGCATGAGATCGAGGCACGTGCACTACATGGGGTAGCACGACGGGGCACTAACCGTCAGTCTGATGGGAGCATGGACAAGGCACAGTCTCGCTAAAGGCTTTAATGGGACCCATAGGTTTATCAGATACTAGCCAAGCCCCTCGCACTACACCGTCCTTGATTAGTACTGAAGTACTTATCACCGTCCCTGACACTAGGTGAGAAAATGAGTAACGAGAGACAGTTAATCCCTCGATCCGAGAGGGGTTGGGCAGGAGCCGCAGAACCAACAATAGCAGAGCCATCCGTTTCATCTGCCGTAGGTAGATCGTAGGAATAGCCACGCTGTTTGTGTGCATTGTGGTCTTCTTTCTCACAACGAGCAAGAGCTAACTCAAGAGGGCTTCTGTTTCCCCTCACAGTCTATGAAGGTCGGAGTCTGGATTATTTTATAACACGATCTTGCTGGAAGTAATGCCCCCCAACCTCTTGAAACACAGCCACTACAGACGAAAAAAGTTGGAAAAAGGCACATTGTCATGTAGAGCACAGCTATGCTCTTATGAAAGTGTGTTGCCGCTCCGGATTGCAACGGAAGTTTGTGGTGAGACCTAGACGAAGAACGCTATTTGGTTTGGGACGACATCGGAATCATTCTATCTGGTATAGCCGCCAGTCCATGCTTGAAATCGCCTCGGTATGGACCTGGGGTATTTGTATCCACCTTCATTATCCACAAGCTTTTTTAATACTGCCTCAGCGTTCCTCGTGATGTTAGTAAATAGTCATGACAACGTCCCAACCTAACAGTATGTCCCAACAGACACGGTTTGCAGTTGTAGCTTCGTCTGCTCTTACTATCTAGTTACAGCCTGTAACCAATGCAGCTAGCCTATCGATCACCATACAGAGTACACCCATAACTTGGTTTTTCTACCCCTCTCGCGAAATTAAGTGCCACTCATTTCTGTCCGAAGCCCACCCCTAGACCAGGGTACTGTTTTTAGCTTGGTCTTAGCACTACAACGGGTCCAAACCGGTGCGGGTGAATGGCAGCTGTGATAAACCGACAATTTAGCGTTCTGGACGCTTCAGCCCCTCCAATTTGCCCGCGGGACAGTATTGGCGCTTGCCCAAACAGGGATATGGGCGCTACGATGCATATGTGACGGCCTACTAGATTGGGCTTTTCTATTGTCCCATGGGCTGAATTCGCGCCGTTTCCTCGCCTTTTCCCATCGGAGCTAAGATTCCACCCTTCGTTAAGGCAGACACCCCAAAGCCCCCAAAGTCCTTCTCCTACTATAATCCGGGCGCCAGCCTCTCCAACGACCCTGAATATGCGAGCAGCAAAGATACCTACCCTTCTGTGATCACGATACTTTATACATGCCACATTCAGAAAAGCAATCGTGACACTGCTGCTGTTCCATCATGGCGTCCACTACAACAATCGTTGTGACGAGCAGCTCCAGTAGCACAGAGACCATAACGACATTGGCCATGACAACAATTTTTACACCGCCAGCGGACTGCTCGAGCTCTTGGACTTACGAACCATATTCCCAAAATCAAGTATCAAACGGTCTGCTGATGCAAAATTGCGTCGCAGCCGATCCAACATGTTTCCCTTCCGGATATTCCCACGCTGGGAGACAGCTCATAACCGCTCATGTTTATAGCCCTGGGTGGTGTCCCATGGGATACACATCCGCAGATATGGTTATAGCACAGTCTACAACGACTGCATTTTGCTGCCTTTCGTAAGTTCTAACGTGTTAAAAGTCCTTAGTAGACCTTAGAGCCACTGGCAGCTGATTTGTACTCTCTAGAAACTTCGATTGGGTCAGTTTCACAACGCCTCAAGAATGGGGGCTTGCGACATTTGCCGGCTGTTATAGCATGTTTCCATCAACAAGTTCGACAATAGTGACTGTTCGACAAAGCGATATAAGTACACAAGTCACCGGGCCCATCACAATGTGGGCTCAACCCATCAAGATAGAGCTGCAGTCTTCTGATTCCAGTCTTTTCGTTACGGCCTCGGCAACATCCTCGACCTCCACTACGCCAACTACCACGGTCGCCGAACCCGCCTCAACAACTTCTGTCGCATCTTCGACTGTTCCGGCTACCTCCACAAGCTCCTCTGCGACGAATAACAGCTCCAGTGGTTTAACTAGCGGTGCTGAAGTTGGAATTGGGGTGGGAGTGGGCGTTGGTGCCCTCAGTCTCATTATTGGTATCGTTTTCCTGATCTTGCGGCACTACAAAATGAGGAGAAAGCAAGCACCTATTGTGGATGCCCAGTATCCATATTATTATGGAGGCGAGCTCGTTAATACAGGGAAATTCAGACAGATGGCTCCGGCGGAGTTGGCTACGAGTCCTGGCGGCGGAAATCATACAAATATCCATGAACTTGTTGCTTAGAGGGCGGTGGATCGGCGAATACTATATACCCCCAGTTCTTGTTTCATCGGCTGGTCTGTTGAGTTGTTCTAGAAGCATTTCTGTCTGTTTAACACATTGCGGGGTTGCAGGGCATTTAAATGCTGTTTATAATCATGATTTGACGCTCTTGTTTCAGGTACACTGTATATACTATCCTCATTGGAGACCATTTTATACCTCCATCTCTTATTTACCTCAATAGCGCAGAAGACACATGCTGGCAGTACTTCTGGAACTACCAAACAAGTGCTTCACAGTGTATTCATTTAAACAGTGGTTATTAATATCAAGAAAACTCTTATTTACCCCCAGCTCCATTAGTAATATAGCTGCATATAATCTTGCGTTACTGATCCTCGTCAAGCTTTGTGTTAAGTCGCTAGGCCGTTTTACTTGCAGAAACGCTACGTGGAGATGAACATGGGCCAGGGACACTCCAGCGAGTGTTTATTATAATCGGCAAAAGAAACATTCAGAATACTACATTCTCACAAATGGGCACAGTGCAACTTATCAGAATTGAGGTTTTCATGCAGGGTCCCCAAAAAGACAGACACGGGGAAATAAATTTCAGATAACTCCAGTTATGTAATGCACTGTTAGCGCTGTGTAGTTGATCAACATATTCAACTCACTCACGGGGCAAAGTACTACTATTCGCTCACTTAGAGATCATTATACTGGGACGAAATGGGAGACCTGGAACTAGAAGTTGAGGCGACCTGTAGGTGCGTGGAAACCAAAGGAGTGCGTGGAGAGAACCATGATAGCGGCAGGAGAACTCCCCCACCTGGCAAATAGCACCGGCCGAAACGAACCGCCGATCACAATTGCTTCACTGGGAGTTCGACGCCCGCTGACTTACTAGCCGGGTATGCGACGGCGCCTACAAGGCATACCCAGCAGGCTGGAACTAATTGTTTCAGCTCACGTTCGATCACAATAGTCGGGAGCATCTGAAACCGTTACCAGCACCATGTGCGTATGATATATTCGCCGGCGGTTGAATCCGTAGCAAACGGGCATATGAATCGTGGCTTGGACATGGGTGGTGCATTGAGGTTGCATATCGCATGTCTCACTTTGTGTGATATCGTGCGATTACCCCTCGTTGACGGCCCATTAGACCCCTGTCGGTCTTATATTTAGTTTCTCGGGCCTGGACAATGATGCGCTGGGGTCGGGTGAGCGAGTAATGCCGATCACTGAGTGGCTGAGGGGTGCAATGGAGGATTGTCGAGGGCCGTGCCGGATAAGGCGCTCTCTCAGGAAGTAAGCACCTGCATCTCATCCACTTTGTCTCTTACCCGAGGGTAGATAATCCCGCAGGAACAACACACATGGGCGCTTACTCTCATGTGGATTGTGCCTCAGGGCCGAGCGCCGCTTCCAATGGCCTTATCGCGCCCTCAATACTAATCATCGCGGTTCGGAACTTCCGACTTGCGGACACCTTCCCTTCTAATTTCTCTGCCTACCTGTGTTGTCCGTATTCACATATGATGGACAGTGATCTACAGGCTTAGCAGACGCATATGGCACCTTCTCACCAATACAACAGTCTCATTTGTTGGTCTCGCCTGATCGCCTGATGTAGAGCACCCACTTTGAGGGCCATTATGTGAAACCTAGCTACCCTTTGCTCTCTCCTCCTTGCTGTCTCATCCTACACTTTCCTATACAGTCGCTGCCTTTGCAGTGGGTAAGGCTCAAGTGGTATCCATAGCAGACATGGAATTCAAAGCTTATTATACGACGATAGAAGTAACTCTGTGATCTTGGTAAAGCTCAGCGAAGGGGCAGATCATTATAATAGAACTTGGAGCTCCTTTTATCTCTTATCTCATGCCCAGACATGCTACAACCTGAAAGAGCTCTCGAGCTGGGGGCACTGCGGCGAGACTCTGTTACTTTAATTATGTGCACCGAAAGCTTTTCGGTGTAGACCAACATGAGACTCAGTCCCACAAAACAGCAGCATCAGCTTCGCATGTCTTCGCAAAGAAGAGGACCGAGCTGTTGGGGAAATGTAGTGGGGATTATAGCGGCTGCTCGCAAATCAGAGCGGTCCTGTAGTCGCCGGCACGTGTAGGTGCGCGCCGCATCTTCAATACTCGCTGCAAAGGGGATTTGAAGGTGATTTAATTTTTTTCGATGAAATACCAAAACATTTTTCGCTGACTTTGATCCGTTTTCAGCTCGCGACCCTCATCCCTACTGATTACATGGCTGGTAGTGACACAGGCAGTCGCGGGCATAAGCGCCGACCGTATAGGACAAGCCCGAGAGCCGGCACTTGGCGCCATTGGTTTGCATCCCACCCAAGTCTCCCAGCAATTCTTATTGCTATATTGGCCTTAATCGTGGGCTGGTGCTTCCACCTCTTGAACTTCGATACTCTATTAGAACCTTCTCCTTCAGTTCACAACGACACCTATTGGGTAAAACACAGAGAGGAGGTTCGAACAGCCTTCATTACTAGCTGGGATGCATATGCAAAGTATGCCTGGGGTGAGTGCTGAGTGACATCGCAGCGATCTAGAATGACATCCAAATAATCCTTCGAGCAGGACAAGACCGATTCCATCCGTTATCTAAAAGGGGCTCTCAAATGAGCCCCAATGGCTTGGGATGGATAATAGTAGACAGCTTAGACACTCTTATGATCATGAATCTCACAACCCGCTTATCAGATGCCCGACAATGGCTTGAGAAAAATTTGACATATGATCAAGACCAAGACGTGAACACATTCGAGACCACGATACGTATGCTCGGAGGGCTGCTGTCGGCGCATTACCTATCCACTCAGCTCCCAGACGCTTCCTCCGAGCGGGACCATATTTACCTGTCCAAAGCAGTGGACCTAGCAGACAGACTGCTGACAGCATATGATTCAGGGTCAGGGATTCCTTATGCTAGCGTCAACCTAGCAAAACGTGAAGGTATCCGCTCGCATGCTGATGGCGGAGCTTCATCTACGGCTGAAGCAGCTACCGTGCAGTTGGAGATGAAGTATCTATCCGTTATCACAGGTGATGATATTCATTGGCATAAAGCTGAAAGGGTGATGGAAGTGTTGGATTGCAACGGCGCGAAAGATGGTCTTGTCCCCATATATGTGCACCCGGACACTGGGAGGTTTCGGCATAAAACCATCCGTCTCGGAAGTCGTGGGGATTCGTACTATGGTATGTCTGCATGGCCAATTCATATCGTAGATCTTGGCTCATATAGCTACAGAATACTTGGTGAAGCAATACTTACAGACTAACGAATCAATCTACGGGGAGATGTGGGAAGAGGCGCTGACCGGGATTCAGAAGAATCTTGTTACCTCCACCAAGTACTCAAACCTCCAATACATTGCTGAACTTCCAGGCGGCGTTGGTAGCCGCCTTTCCCCAAAGATGGACCATCTTGTTTGCTTCCTACCAGGATCCATTGCCATTGGGGCTACGGAAGGACTGACGGAAGCGGAGGCCCGCAGAACGGGACGCTGGAACGCTCAAAAGGAGGAGCAGATGCGTCTGGCAAGGGAGCTGACAAAGACATGCTGGGCACAGTACGCAGTAACGGAGACTGGGCTGGCTCCGGAAATTGTGTGGTTTGAGGCAGAAGATGCCAACCTTGAACCATCTACCAATGCGCCTCGAGCCTCAAGCAGAGACGACTTAAAGTCCTGGATCAAGGACATTAACATCCGACTGATAGATGCCGATAACTTGCAACGTCCGGAGACTGTGGAAAGCCTCTTCCTAATGTACCGTGTCACGAAAGACCCGATATATCGACAATGGGGATGGGAGATTTTCAAGGCATTTCAAAGGCACACGCGAGTTAAAGACGGGGAAGGATACACATCTCTAAGTGATGTCACAATAGCTCCACCAAAACGACGGGATAATATGGAAAGCTTCTGGCTGGTATGCTAAGAACTATCACGGGCATGCGTAGTAGAAGCTGACATCTACCAGGCCGAAACCTTGAAATATCTCTATCTTCTCTTCTCACCAAATGACTTTCTCCCATTGACCGATGTGGTGTTCAACACGGAAGCCCATGTATTTCCACGTCTACATGAAGCAAAGTACCAGACTGGCTGGAAAAGAAGACCGAGGAAGTGAGAATCGCAGGTCTCCATTAAATTCGTTGCCGCTGCAGTCGAAGAGCCTGCTTCGGAGCTGGTATCTTATCTTACGCCTCGAAGTCATCGTATCCACAGATATTCCGTTCGCTTTACACACGTTGTGGGATCCCGAACGTATTTATGGCTGGGAAGGTCTTGAATAGTAAAACATCTGGGTATACTTTTGATCGAGCTGCGATATGATAATATTGCTTCCTTTTGTAACACACTATATAGTATAACTTTTTCATATGCATAAGTACTAGTATAGCAGCAGTTAGTGTAATAACAGCGACTATAACACCTAAGTATATCCCGACACATAACATACCATTCAGAACCAAAAAGGAAAGAGAACAACGCTCTGCGCTGTATCATATTTCCATGAAATACATTCGAAGTAGTGGCCATGTATCAAAATACCACTAACCCCACCAGCACGCTGAAGTGACAAGCTCAGTGTAAAATAAGTCCATACCGTATTGCCGAGCTCAGCTCGAAAGGCATCTTTAACATATGCAACAAACACCGCTCCAGTACCTCTACCTCATTAGACGATTTAATCATGTAACGCTTCGCATACATGCCCAGGAACGTGCGGAGATTATTGGTATCTGCAGACGGAACCATCATCAAACTGGCAACCTCACGTGACAAATTGAGTGCGTCCCCGGGGAGGTACGCGTCGCTCATGCGGGATATGGCCCGTCCAAATCGGGGAACGAATAGATGGAGCATGGATTTGAGGTATTCATAGTCTTGAAAGGACGCTTGGTCGACACCGGTTCGGCCGAGAATCAGTAGGGTGCTAATTGCACGGAATTAGAGACGGGAAATAATAGTAGACTCGACAGTACATATAGACACGATGGTGGATGGAAGAGCCAGGAGAGTTAGGTGAACGTACACATAAGATACATCTTCACCGCTTGACATCTCTGCCTGATCCCTGTAATTTGTCAGTTATACTCTTTCCGACGGGGATTTCAGTGTTGGAATGGAGTACTACCGTGGAATCTCAGCGAGCAGTAATGTGGGGATAGAAACATTGATCAACATCTTCTCGACGAAGACCTGCTTTGGTATGTACGCATCTTCCTTTCCATTGACGGATTTCAAGCTGCGATTAAGGAACTGGTACTGTGAGGTGGGTTGATCTGGGCTGTCGTCGAAAATACTAACAAGGCATCAGTATTCAGGCCCACAGACATGTCTAATATAAGAATAAAATATTTTCGAGATACAAAATGCTCGGCTTACATCTCTCCGTGAGTATTTTGTACCAGAACCTTGGCCTCCACCGAGACATTGTCACCAAGGGGTAATTGGGAATGACCTCCATGAAGGAAGAGATACCGCATGGAACCCTTCCCACCCGAGGCGTACAATGAATCATCCAAGCAGTCCACATTAGGCATTGTGGAAGTAGTAAGGCTCAGAGAACTGGACGGTTGGACAGGTGCAGGCACCTCTTTCGCATGCCCCTCGCTTGGATGGTTACCGCATTGTTCGCGGCATGTCCATTCGGAAGCGTGATGATCACGGGTAATTCAAGAGCTGACAAACAGACACACACGTGGCCCCATCCCGCTATTCTATTTATAAAACGTGAGGACAGTTTCCCGATAATACTAAAATAACGTTAGTTCAATTTTCTTCTGGAATGGGAAGCACGGTTCACCGCAGGCTCGGAAGCTCGGATGTTCGGGACGTCGCCACGATAGGATTGAATCGCCTCCTTTACTGTTATCTTACTCTGGTTTGGTCTGTAACTTCCATCAAAACTTCATCCAAAAGGAAGATTATATTCTTCAGCCCGGATGCATCTGGTGGTTCGAGTCATTGGCTGGCTATGTCAGGTTCCGGTAATGGCCTGCAATGATCTTCAGCCCTCTGTCGCAGCTGAACAGAAACAAGAACCGAGCCACAGATAAGGATATATAAGCTTTGCAAGCATCGCTTATTGAAATAGTCGAGGTCTTGCTCAGAACCAGGGGACTGGCGGCGTATCAGTCGTTGACGTTAGCTTCGTCGTGATATGCATACGGAAAAAGAGGGTCGTCAAATCAGCTCATGTCGAAACCTGTAATGAGGATAAATAAGTGGTTTATATAATGTTTCTGGGACCAGCTCGGATGGCGGATGTCGAAGCCAGAGCCACTCAGCCAGTACTGCCATCTAGCATAGTGCAACGACTGCCACACTATTGCCTTGCGGCAACTCATCCTCGTAACCGACCGCATAGTCGCGCACTTTCTCAATAACGACAGTCTGGAATACATTCGTGCCCCCGCTAATGTCTGCCCAAACCTAGTCACATCCAATCTCTGCGCGAAGCGGAATAGGGGTTCACAGATTGGCTTAGTGTGAAATCAAACCCGCACGGTCTGAAGGGTCTTGGCATAACAGTAGCCAGGCAGGGGGTCGGTCATCATCTTCCTTTTTAAGATGCAGTGATACGTCGCTGGCAAGTGCCGCGCTGGATGTGCTTGAGTTTTCATTGTAAGCTATCTTCCTGTCATCATGTGATGTTCAGTTACATTCTTCTCTTTAGCTGTTAAAGAGGACCTGGACTTGAGTGAAGCTAATCCATTGACGACGTAACCTCGGACACGCTATGTACTTAGACCCGAGTCGATAATCTTTAGTAGAGACTACTAACGCCGGCTTTTCCGCTATAAATATAAAATCCCACAACTGTCGCTTAGGATTACCACATCCACATTTTACTCACTTGCCCGCCACATATCCTTGCAAATGTGGCGCAGCATCCGCCTCAGCTGCTTAAAGAACGCCCTGAACATGAGGGGTACAGTACCCACTGCCTATACATCTGCTACTGGGTCGCATCCAAGGATTCGAGAACCCTATACATCCTTTGAAAACGTTCCACGAGTATCACCACATGGCCCTGCAGTTAGAGCCCAACGGTCTCTACCTCCTCCTAGCAGATCGAGAGTCCAGCTCGACGTTTCACTGGGGTCTCTACCTTGCCAAATCTCCGACTGACGGCACCATTTTTAATCTCATCAACTTCCCAAATCCGAATGTTTACAGTTATGAAGTCAAGTCGGACCAAAAGGTCATCACTTCCAGGCGATACCTTTTGGCGTTGAAGGTGGGAGATCTGCACCCCGCACTGCACGGCCCGTTGGAGACCCGCCTGTCGCAGATCCCTATCCAGTATTCGACGCGCTTCCATGAGGCTATGACTTGTCGCGTTTGGGTTAAGGAAGCTCTCTTTGCGTTGGATGATGAAGGCTATATCAAGCTTGTTGAAAGCATCAATGGTATCGAAGCGGAGGCTAGGTTTGCTGCGATGTTAAATAAGGCCAACGGGAAAAGAACTGTGGGTAAAAGTCGTGGATATGTCGTGTGATGAAGATTCGGGCAATTATGGTTGGTTATCGAATGATGATGAATGACTATTAATGGCTTGCTGATTGGTAGTGTCTGACAGTACAGTTCTTCCAAGCGATGCTGATATCCTCATTGCTTGATCTGCTTCTACGCCTCCTTGACTGTTGCGACCTTCAATCCACGCTTCCAGCTAGTATTGATGGGATAAAGCCCATAGCTATCTCAGATAAACTCTCACTGGATGGGGTCAAGTCCGCAAGTTGAAGGGACTTATGGACAAGTTATGCTTGAGATAGAGAGGTGGTCTCGTGACCTAAGAGTTGTCCAGTTTCCCCGCAATGGAACGCCGTTCTGGACTTCTTCGAACTTGCTCCGTTGACAATTCGTTATCTAACTTATCCTATCTCTCCTCACTATATAATGGCACCTCCAGTGTTCCCCAAACCGTTAAGAAGCAACTGATCATACATCACGTTTATCGATCTCCGCGTGGTTATTCGCTGGACGCCCACCTCAACGTAGAAATATTGACAACATCTAATAAGGCTGAAACTTCCGAGCCGATGTCAGGACCACTGGTGCAGATCTTAGCTCAAACCTTGCCTAACCCGGAAAATTCAACCAATGCTAAATGGGAAAAGAACACGTCAGACTGCATATGCCAACTCATTTGGATCTGAATTATTGTATTTCCGACATTTCTCTCCGGAGATGAAACAGCAACCGAATGGAGAACAGACTTAACTGCTCAGCTTTCTGGCATATGTACTTCCCTCGCGTGGAAAAAACATCCGCCACGAATGACATTAATGAAAAGCATCTATTAGGCCAAAAGAGGGTTGATCTCACCTCGATCCTTGGCTATGATGGAAGCTCGTATGAGCTCAATACACGCAACGCCTCTGCTTTAAACGCTGTCACAGAGGAAACTGTGTGCTTGTCCAAGCACATTTGTTGGTCAGTAAGTCAGTTCCGGAAGGTTAGGAACCAAAGACATTTGTGGAATGGAGGTGTGCTAAGAAAAACCATCAAGACATGTGTCATCGTGACCGGTTCTGATAGTCCGCTTGGCTAGAGGTGATGTCTGAAGCCAGCTCTCCTTCTCTTGTTTGTGCCAGAGAGTAGAGCTCCCTGGGCAATAAGCACATATTGAATGCCATCAAAGTATCCCTATTTCGCCGCACATCCATCCCCTGTGGTGAGCAACATGGTGTTCGAGGTCGCATCGCTGAACTGAGTGCAGGCTTGGATGCTTGTTGTGTAACGCATCGTTCTCCATAATCGCAAAGAGTGCCTCCTTACTTGGACGCTTATGAAGCAAATCATGTGCGCCCACAACATCTTCTCGATCAGCCTCACTACTGTCCATCCTTTAGCTCTGCTGGCATATACACCTCGAGTATGCCATCGAATGATGTCCGCTACAATGTTCGCAATGTCCACATTAGTCATGCCCAATGTACTATGCTCTTTTTAAGTCGTCAAGCTAAGCCCCCTTTCTGAGAGACATGTCGCAAATCTTATTCCCCCACCTATGAGAATATGTCCTACTTGGCGCAAGTACGAGGCTATGTCTCATATGTCCTGTCGACACGGTCAAGCCGAGTCACTAATCGGAGTTTGCGGAAAATCCCGCGGCTCGTATAGTGCCGATCGGGGCTAATCTGACTCAGACACGATCTGAACCCAGACTAATTAAGTAACAATATTCTCGAGCATGTCTTGCTGTCTAGCCAGTCGTTGCTCGCTACGGCCATCGTGGTGGGTTCAATAGTAGATTACGGGTGGCTTGCCTGACAGCGGCGATCTTTCCATGGCACCCGGTCCTATGACATCAATGCATCAGACCTGTAGATGCCTATTTTTGGCATACCCGATTGGGAAACCTCGAGTACATCTAGAGAGGGAGTCAATCTATGGAATTAAGCGGTGTGACAGTGCATCGAACGAGCAAGAGCGACTCAGAACATATAAATTCCCCCTTCTCTCCCTATCACTCGAGAAGAAATCACATCCTTCTAACCAGCATCTTCTCATCATCACATTGACAAGAAGCCTCTCAAAAAACATCTCATACCAAATCATTGAAATCATTTCATCAAAATGAAGACCACCTTTATCACTGCGGCCTGCTCTACCTTTGCTGCTCTGGCCAGCGCTGCTCCCACCGATAACTCAGCCTTCGAAGTCGCCATCACCTTCTGGGGTGCCGACGGTTCCTCATTCTCTCAAAACTTCCCAGCTGACGACAGCACCCATGCAATCAGTATGTCTTTAATCTACATAATCGTATTTGCTTGATTTGAATGAGGGTCACTAACATCCTTATTAACAGCCAACCAACTGTCAATTACCAAGATTTCCTCAGTCGGAGGCGGATTCTGCACTTTCCAGGGAATTGATGGCAGCAGCACTGTGGTAGTTGGTGAGGTGACTGTTCCTGTCAGTCCCCCACAGACACAGGTGTCTGGAACCTGCGACATTCTGTAAATGCTGAGGAAGGATTCCCTATCGCGACACGGAAATGCTTACGACGATGACGTGTGCCTGTCGGTCTGGGGTCTGTTACGACCAGAGGACACGAATGAATCAATGACTCTATGTGATTAGCTCGACATTATATGTTGGTTCTGCATTGGCTTGAAGTTTTGTTCGTATTGGATGTGACTAGCAATGCAATTGACGACCTGAAACTCCTCCAGCGCCCACGTGAACTAGACACTTGGGATTCTGTACGCTGTAGACCTATTTGGTGCTTACGTCTCTCCTCGCCTTCTCGTCTTAACTTCGATCTAGTATTGCCATGCTAGCTCACGTAATGGAGGGGGACAGCAACGCTACTGTGCATCGCGGAAAGACAATACTATTATAAACTGATCGTCTCCCTAGATCCACCTTGACATAGCTCAACCGCTGCAGTAAGCCTAATCGATAGCACCCGCTTGGCTCATGCATAATGGATGAGTCTATGGGATTGTGGCTTCGGGTTTACTGACTTATGTCCTATACCCGAGGAATGACATCACGGAACAGCGTAAGCCGTTGTCTGATATAAATTGAATGTCCTACTATATATGCCTTAACGACACAAGGTCAATTGATTTAACAACTCATGACTGACTATTTCATAAAACCTCCTTCCTCCCCTCGTAAAACATGGATTCCTCTACGTCCGAATTTACCCTCCCACTTCACAATAAGCTCGCCATTGTCACGGGCGCATCCCGCGGCATCGGAGCCAGCATCGCATGGGAACTTGCACGTCGCGGCGCAAATGTAAGCCATTATATATACTTCGCAATCTCATCTTTTCCAAGAAATTGCTAAAGCATCCTAGGTCTGCATGACCTACGTCTCTCCCACCAGCGCCCAAGCCATAACCGACCTCCGCACAAAAATCACCCAACTTCCCCACGCTCCTAGAACATGGACCATCCAAGCCGACCTCTCCACACCCACCGGCGCCTCGGATCTAATCTCCCAACTCAAAACCCAAACCACCCCAACTCCCCTCAAAATCGACATTCTAGTCAACAACGCTGGCATCGAAATCGTCAACCACCTTACTGAAACCACCATAGAAGACTACGACAAAGTCTTCAACCTCAACGTCCGTGGTACCATGCTCATGACGCAGGCCGTGCTGCCGTATCTCCCACCTGAGGGTCATGGCCGGATAATCAATTTGAGTTCGGTTGGTGCGCGGTACGGTTTCAAGGGGATAAGTCTGTATATTGCGTCCAAGGCGGCGATTGAGGGATTCACGCGCGCTTGGGCGGCGGAGTTGGGTGGAAATGGGACAACGGTTAACGCTGTGGCGCCGGGGCCGGTGCCGAGTGACCTGCTGGATAGGATTCCGAAGGAGATTGTGGAGGCGCAGAAGGCTACCACGCCGGTGGAGCAGAGGTTGGGGTCCGTGGGGGAAATTGGTAGTGTTGTGGCTTGGTTGGCGGGGAGGGATGCTTCGTGGGTTACTGGGCAGGTTATTTGTGCAAGTGGGGGGTGGGCGATGTATTAATTTGTGGTGTGCAGAGGGAGTTGTTGGTCAGGCTAAGTTTCATTGAATTGTTGATGGTAGAGAAAGCTGTGATATATTGCTGGTAGTCACATTTGCCATCAAAATACTTATTTCGCGCCTGTCATATTTGGCTATGTTCAAGGCAGGTGACTTGCGGGACAAACTATACTACAAGTTCCTTGCTGTCGCTTCCTCCTCACAACCATCCTACTTCACAATATCTTCTGCATTACGCTAGATAATCCGTCACTCTACACGAAGTAGAGGTGAACAAGCAGAGAAACTAAAAGGGCCTCGGCCCGATAACCTGCATAACGAATATCCTATTTCTACAGAGTGATATTGTACCTCCATTTCCATATTATGCTAACGCCTCTTCTGATCATCAGACAGATTCAATACCGAAAACCACACACCCTTCTCGTGATCCAGCGAGATTGATCGAAGGCACCTTCAGAAGCCCCATGGCGACTTATGGGCTGACTTGACTATTGACTCCGCATTTCCCTTGAGCAATTTTTCAACTGGACGATCCTATGTGAGACTAGCTGATGATTCTTGAATAAGACGAGACCGACGCACTTGTGTTGCAGCCAAGAGCCTGATGTCGGAAATGGCGTCACAACTTACTCTGTATTGCCGATAACGTTGAAATGGTAAGTATTGCAGTGCAAGGAATGGGGTGGGGAGTATATAACAATCGCCACTCAGGGGATTGTGGACCTACTATGGAGTAGATCGCTTACGATTGAACCGCCATACAAATTCATGGACTGTGACCAGCTACCCGCTACTTCTATTGGCTCCTTCACTCCTATTCGCTCATAATCCGATGAGACATTTGTTGAGGTGCTGCCGAAACATCTAGTCGCTCTGATTGGTGCTATAGAAGATTCAGCGCCGATCTCGTTCGGCTGACAGCTTAGTTCATTGAGTGGTGGGACCCTCGTGCGCTAAATCACTCAGCCTCGCCTACCCCTCGATACGATCAACAATGGATCTATTCTGCTTCCCTGCATCTATTGTCAATGATCCCCACACATTACTCCCTTGCAGACGAAAGAATATTGATAAAACCTTCTATACAGCAACTCATCTAACATCTTCCCCATGCAGAGGATATGACTGTGGTGACCCGTCCTCCTCGCGACCGTCATGGCTTCAGGATCGCCATTATTTGTGCTCTTCCCCGGGAAGCAGATGCAGTGATCGCGCTTTTTGACCATCACTGGGAGGATACCGAGGAAGTGTACAGCAAAGCTTCAGGAGATCCCAATGCGTACACTACTGGTGTTATCGGCGCGCACAATGTTGTGGTCGCGCATATGCCGCATATGGGCAAGGTTAGCGCGGCTGGGGTAGCTATGGGTCTGCGCACCAGCTTTCCAAGCATTGAACTTGCCTTGGTCGTAGGAATCTGCGGTGGGATCCCAATGGATCCCCATAGACAGCGGGATATCTTTCTTGGGGACGTGGTCCTCAGCCAAGCAGTGGTGGAGTACGATTTTGGACGACAGTATCCAAGTGGCTTCGAGCCAAAGCACGCCCAGACTGAGGGGGCTGGAGGCGGTGTACCTCCCTTATCTATCCAATCTATTCTGCGAAAGCTGGAAACCGACCACCATCATCAACGCCTCGAGGAAGAAGCGAGCACCTGGCTTCAGACGCTGCAGCACCGGCCTAAGTACCAGTATCCTGGTGGTGAGTCGGACCGGCTCTTCCAACCATCATATCTTCACCGTCACCGTGATCCATCCACCTGTAGCGAGTGCTCTGACAAAAATGTATGCGCCGATGCGATCAGAGCTTCCTGCAGTGAGCTCGGGTGTGACGAGCATAATCTGGCGCGTAGGGAAAGGACTGTTACATGTTCGGAAACCCCGGAAGGCTCAGACCGAGCCAAAACAGGGCCTTCGCTAGCTATTCACCTGGGTCGGATGGGCTCTGGCAGTACCGTCATGAAGTCTGGTAAGCACCGTGACGAACTCGCCCAGCGCGAAGGAATCATTGGTCTGGAAATGGAAGGCGCCGGTGTCTGCAGCTTCTTCCCCAGCCTCGTCATCAAAGGCGTCTGCGACTACGCAGATTCGCACAAGAACAAGCTTTGGCAGGATTACGCAGCAGCCACAGCGGCTTCGTGCACAAAAGCGTTTTTACAGCATTGGGCAACAGACGCCATGAGTACGACTGTCAATACAGCTGCTGGCAGCTGCAGGAGCTCTACGGCCGTGTTCATGATGGACATTCGTAGAGATGACAGATTTGTTGGTCGAAATGAGGTGATGGAAACAATGCGAGTCAAATTGAGCACAGAAAGTCGCTTCGCGCTTGTGGGCCTTGGGGGTATGGGGTAAGCTAACATTTAAATCGGGGATCATGCTGCAATAAGACTAATGAAGCGGAACAGAAAAACCCGAATTGCCGTCGAGTATGCCCTTCACTTCCAGAACTCAGACGTTTCGGTGTTCTGGATACACGCGTCGACAAAGGCGCGATTTCTGCAAGCGTACGATAAAATCGCCCAAAAGGTCTCTATTGTCGGGTACAAAGCCAGCGATCGAGACAGTGCATACATGGTCACCGAGTGGTTTGAAAGCGATGCGAGCAGGCGGTGGCTCATTGTACTTGACAATGCCGACGACCACAGCGTGTGGTATGGATCAGATCGCCTAGCGGACCTGCTGCCACGCTCTGGCAACGGGTCCATACTGCTAACGACGCGTGACAAACGTGTTGGACTCGACTTTGCCGGATCGCCATCCAGATTAGTATTGTTGGACGGTCTGGATACTCCTCATGGTCAAGAGCTTCTGGCCAGCAAGTTGGAAAGCCAGCAAGACCCGGACGCTGCGAAAGACTTAGTTGAGGAGCTTTCAGGTGTCCCTCTCGCCATTGTTCAGGCCGCGGCATTTATGCAGCATAATGGTATTGATGCAAATGAGTATCTGCACATGTATCGTGAAAGTCCACAGTGGAAGATGGACCTGCTGAGCGAGGAGTTCGAGGATGGTATCCGGGATAAGGGTAGTAACAAGAATCCAATCGCGACGACATGGTTCATCTCCTTTGAATACATCGACCGCACATTCCCTATTGCCGGTGAATTACTCAGAAGAATGTCCCTTCTTGAGTCACAGGCGATTCCCATATTTCTCGTTGTCGAGTCAGATAAGCTCTCGCCAGACCTCGTTAAGGCTTTGGGAACATTGCAGGCTTTTTCATTGATTACCCCCAGAGCGTCCAAGGCGGGAACGACCAAAGCCGACGCCAAATATGACATGCACCGATTAGTGCGGCTAGCCATGCATAAATGGCTGGGTCAAAATGACCAACTGGGGCAATGGACAGCGACGACGCTCAAGATTGTGAGTAAGAAATTCCCAAGCTTTGACGAACTGGGATGGCGAGTCGCGGATAGCTGTGTTGCCTGCATGCCACACGCAGTTGCACTTCTGCAGTCCGATATAATACAGTGCACTGGTGGGGAAGATATCCCACCGCCATTTATTTCCCAAAAGGAACTTAAAGACCATGCACCTAAGACCATCCCATGTGGTGATTGCGCTGCAGCTCTGATGCAGAAGCTGATGAGGACTTGCTCCACATCCCAGCGCCTCCATGACGCGGTCAGATGGTCGATGCAGGCCTTCGTATTAAGAGAGTGGATTTTTGGCATGCAGCAGGAATGCACTATCCAAGCTATGATAGAGGCTGCAGCGGCTTTGTATGCGAAGAATGAAACAAAGGAAGCAAAAGAGCTGGGAAGTAAGGCACTGGAATATCTTGACGAGATTCATCCCAGTCCGGCCCTGCAGGCGTATAAATATGAAGTCCTTGGCTTCCTTCGAATAGAAACCGGGACGCTAGTTGGGGTTCATGATTATTTCCTTCAGGCACTGCAAACCCGTCTTGAGATATACCCTTCTGACCATCCTCTTGTGCTCGCGTCCAAATCCCTTCTTGCCATGTCCTACATTTGGGAGGGTCTATATACAGAAGCAGAAGCAGTCCTGAAGGAGACGCTTTCCAGATACGAACAGGCTTATGGGCCAATGAGCTCACCTGCACTAACTGACAAGCTTAACTTGTCCTGGGTATACCGAGTATCAGGGAGAGTGGAGGAAGCCTTGGAATTGAATGCAGAGATCTCGAAAGCGCATCCCGGCGGCGGTGAACACCAGGAGAATGGTGAAATTATGACCATGGTTCACTCTGGGGGCCTCCTACAGGATCTAGGCAGGCCAGCTGCTGCTGTTGATGTGTTTCACAAAGCTCTGGCACTGATGCAAGATTCACAGACAGCAGGTTCTCCCTTACAAATCGACACGATCACGGGATTGACTCAAGCATTGGTCACCCTAAAACGATATGCGGAAGCTGAGCCTCTCTTGGTTCAGCTACTGAAGTCTTACATCCGACAGGCGGGTGATCAGGAGCTGACCGTTGTCATGATGAGGAAACTGGCTGAGTTTTATGAGGAATGGGATATGTGCCTAGCGGCGCAGCCCCTTAGGACAAAGGTCGCACAAATTAACCAGCGTCGTCTAGGCCGTGAGAGTGTACCCGCTTGTCTGAGTCAGTACGAGCTCGGATTGAATCTCGTCAAGCAAGGACGGCATGCTGAGGCAATGCCAAACCTGTATACTAAGCTTGAGTACCCTTTTGAGGCTGAGGATGTGAACCACAGGGACAACCTTGACCGCATGATAAACATCGCAGATGGATTTGCGGACTGCGGGATTGACCGGTGCGAATATCTTCGCGTGGCAGAGCGTATGGCACGCGATGCTGTGCGGCTGGTCAGACCACGAGCTAAGACCCTGCCATATGTAGCCCAGTCGGGCTTCCGGACGCTTGGCTTTGTCTATAGAGTGCTTGGAAAGGTTGCCGAAGCAGAAGAACAGTATCAGGAAGCGCTGAACATACTTCGTGGGCGCAGCCAGATGAAATGGCTGGAATCGGTTGTAATGGTCCGGTGCTCATCAGTTTCCCTTCAGCAAGGGCGATACTCTGCCGCCTTAAGCATGGCTAATGAGGCGGCGGGGAAGCTGCAGAGGCAAGCAGAGCCTCGTGAAGATATCTTGGCACGCTGCCGCACGAACCTTGCTTTGGCCTATATGGAAATGGGGCGATATCGCTCGGCGGGCTCGCTTGTGGTTGACATTTTGAGCAAGGAGTACGAAGATGCCTGGGACATCGAGAAGGCCACTGTGTCCTCTCTCCTCAGGACAGTATCTATTATTGAAGATGTTGCCATGGTATTGAGCAGAGCAGGATGCTGGCAACAATCACAGCATATTTACGAGAAGACGAAATCTATCTTAGCTCAGTTGCTAGGGACGATGGACATGCGTACACTGTGGACCTCTTTGCGTCTCCGAGATACGCTTAATTTACAGGGCAACTTTATGGATGCGTTGGTCCTTAGTCTTGAGTGCAAAGACCGCTACTTGCAACGAGTGCGACAGGATACCGTGCCCGAGCGGATGATGATAGCTCAACTGGATATTGGGCTTGCTCGGGCATACGAGGGATTAGGAGATCACACGACGGCAGAAGCACTTTCACGCCAGGCGTTGAAGACGATTACCGATAGTACTGACGAGAATAGTCCAGAGTCAGTTCGTGCCTCGGCTATTCTGGCTAGTATTCTTATATCGCAGGGCGGCCCTAAATTGATGAAGGGTAGTGCTATGCAACGTCGTGCTGTGGAGACGTGGACTATGTTGACGGAGGAGAATTCTTTACCAGCTCTCGAGGCCATAGAAGCGGTCGCTCGGACATGTGAAATTCAGGGCGATAAGGATCAGCTTAATGTTTGGAGGGAAAAGGCTTCGTCGGTAAAAGAAAGTTTTGAAGATAGTTTGAGTGAAGAGGAAGAGGACAGGATTGAGTATTTGGTGGGACAGGTATTTGAGAAATGGGCTGAGAATGGCGAGGGGGTTATCAAGGAGATCGATCGGCGGAGAACGAAGGTGTTTACGATGATGTTGCCATAGATTCAAGTTAAGTATCGGTTAGCTTAGTTGTCTGGATTGGCTCAGATGGACGGTGCCATTTCATAGTGTAGTTATCATAAAATTTATCTGATAGGGCCCTTTAACCTGCGAGAACTTGCACCATGAAGTATTCAAAATGGTTGGCTTGTTTTCATCAGAGAATCAAAGATAATAGATACTAGCAGTTCTATATTTAATTCTAATCTTCAACTTATATCTTTGCACGTGCCACTCCAAGAGAATCAGTAGTCCCCACATCTTGCATGACTAAATGGCCAAGGTCCTGCGTATTAACAAAGACCCGGTTTGTCTGCGAAAGATCCGTGATCCCAACCAACCTCATGGCCATCTCGAGCTCAGCTTGTAGAACTTCAAATTAAATCCAAAGTCAACACTATCCATGTAACCTACGGAGTATGAAATCGACTCACTGTCAATCAAATGCTTAGGCCCATTCTACCCGTAAGCAAGATAGTAAAGAAAAGACCGCCCACTAGCACTGCCTTCGCTCCTAAGCAGAGTGCTTTCAGTATATAAGTGCCACGATGGACTCCCCCATCAACGTACACTTTTACCTAATTGAAGATTGACGGTAGATGGAATCGCAACTCGAGTAATGTAAGCAGCCCTGGAGGAGAAGTGTCGTGGTTTCGGCCTCCATGACTGCTTTAAGTCTAAGATCACTTCTGTATCCAATTAGAATAAAGATAGTGGCCAATTAACCTCAATACAATCCCACTCACACCGAGAGAGATATGAGGAAGAGGGCTTTTGCGTTTTCTTCATGAAGATGAACCACTTATTCACATGCTGTTCATTCAAAGCTGAAGCCTACCAGTAAAATCTCGCATTCTGTTGTGTTTTCGATATTCATTGTTATCCACCACCGCATAACTGTATTGTAAGAAATTACTAGAGGCAGGCGATCAGCGTCCAGCGATCTAGCGTCATGCATAACGGCCGAGCCCTCCGAGTCTGGTAGCCGATCTAATCGCCACATACAGATCAAAAAGCAATTCTCTTTACTGGAAAGCAGTGCGTGACCAGCGATGATCGTCATTTGAGATGCATGTTGCCACTTTGTTGCATATGCAAAGGGGTCATTTCGGGCTTCTCACCTTTTTCTGGTTGATTTACCGTCGGTAACCGATGATCGTTTTCAGCTCGGCCTGTGGATGTATTTGCTTTTGAATATGTTTTAGTGGAGAGTATTCGATGAATACTTTCATGCTCTTGGCAGGCATCAGAACGGACTATATATTGCTGATGCTGAGGGGTTTTGTAATCCGGTATTACCTTTAGTTATTAGCTCTTATTCAGCTGGGCTTATTTGTATCACAAATCATAGGAATAAGATCATGATGTTTTAGTTAGGATCTTATCATGTACCACTCTTATTTTAAATATCATAGCATAAAGTTATTCAGGTCAGCTTCATGTTTATGATGATACATTATCTACATAAAATATGCACTACTTATTTCAATGTTGGTCTCTGATGGAATAGGTGATTAAAAGGTTCTCTTTGTAGATTCCTTATTTAAAGTATCTCTTATGTAACTCTCATTTCAACTTTGTGTATAGCATTACAGCCTTGCTGCCACGGCATCATGCTCACTTGCTGGCACGATTGCCTCAAAATATATATCCAAAGCCGTAGCACTCTCTCCTCCATCAGTGAGCTCCAGGATACATCCAACGTACCCGTCGGGCCGAACGACGACTATACCACCCTTTTTTACATCGAAGCCCATCTTGACGTGAGCGTTCTCCTCTGCAGCTTCGCCTCTCTGAGACAACTCACGATCATCTGCGTAAACTTGGTACCTATAGCAGGCGAAATAGTCCGGAAGGCAGTCCTGAATTTCAATCTTTGACCGAGGTGCATGAAAAACAAGCGAAAAGGTGAAAAACGGGGAGTGGGGGTTGTGTCTTCCTTCGTACGAGGTATCAAGATCCTTTCGCTGATATCGGCGAAAGATGCTACCCTTGGACTGCAAATGTTCAGCGAGAGCGAATATGGCCTTCAAGGTGAGTACAGGCTTTCCTGCGAAGATATAAATCCGGTAGCTGCCGTTGAAGGGAATTTCCTGTTCCAAGTAGACAGGATTGGCATCGATGACTCTCGTTACGGTTGCGGTAGGCAAACTGTGACCAAGACGCAGAGCTGTTGTGTTGTTGGTTGAAGAAGTTGTTGAAGGCCAAGTCAAGCTGTTCGCTGGATACTCAACGCCGTAGCCACTTGTCAAGAGTGAGTTCTGCTTGAATACCTGGACGAACTTAGAGCTCGGAGCAACGTTGTTCTCGCCAGCGGGTCGTGAAGAGCTGAATAAGTTCGCGTATGTCGCATCAAACTCAATCAACTTTGCTGCTGCACGCTTCCGTTCCTCCTCATAAGTTTTCAAAATGGAGTGGCGGAGAAAGCCAGCTTCGACCAGGTGCAGTTTCCACGCAAGATTGTGTGCATCTAGGAAACCGTAGTTCATCCCCTGACCAGCTTTGGGCTACAGGGAGGAGTGCTGTTAATTTAAACATTGCAGCTATCATCTGGATGTTTGTAAGTGCTTACACTGTGCGTATGGCATGCGTCCCCTCCGATAAAAACTCGCTCATCGAGAGAGTATCTTGAGGCAAACCCTTGTCCGATTCGGTATGCGGAGTGCCAATCCACTGCCTCCCATTCCACTTTATACGGAGCAAGAATATCATTTGCCGCCTGCTGGATTTTTGGCACTGTCGCAAATGCGACAGGTTCTTGTCCATTCTTGGGAAAGACCTGGACATAAATACGAACTCGGTTATTTCCTTGAGGAATTATCATAGCGGAGCCTTTGGATGAGCGGACTGTCGTTTTCATCTAGTAAGTTTCATTGTTAGTTGGTGGTTTCAACGAGCCAAAATGCGTGTATCCACATTGCAAGAAGGATGAATATGTACCTGAATGTCCAGAAAGTCGCTCTTGACCACCCCGTCAATAACACTCCACACATGCATCGTTGGATCTTTCGACAACATCGGCACCCGAAGAAGATCTCTCACCCGGCTTCGCGCTCCATCTGCACCGAATAAGTATTTTGTTCTTACAGTCGAACTTTCTCTCCCGTCCACACTGACGAGGTCCACGACCAGTGGGTGATCGGATTGCTCTCCGCAAGTGTCTTTCCGAAACCCTGCAATAGTCCAGGACCTCTCGATCTCGAGTCCCCACTCCTTCAAATCATCCAAGAATATCTTCTCAATCCGGCCTTGATGTAAGATGGTAGAAAATGGATATCGTGTGTCAATGTACTCGGGATAACTCTTCGAAGTTCCCGTGCGTTGAATACCGGTCCCATCCTTGGAAGCATCCCAGAATGCAACCTCGTAGATTCGGCCTGGATTATAAGACATGATGGCTCGTTTCAGTCCCAGATTCTGCAACACATCGAGAGTCCGTGCCTGAATTCCATCGGCGCGCCCAATCTCTGTCGGCCCGGGCCGCTGGTCAATGTGCTTGATCTTGTAAGGCCCTAAGCGCAAGAGGCATGCTGAGAGCATGAGCCCTACAGGGCCGGCGCCTACAATAACGATATCGTAGCACTCGGTCATGACTTGTTGTTTCTTTGCGGTTGTTATCGGCCTTTCAACGTCTTGGTAGATGAATGGCTTCCGTATGAGAGAGAGCCCAAGGACATTGAGAGTAACTGGAACCGGAATCGGTTCTTTGGCTTGCTCTGATGTGGAGAGACACCGAAAAAGCAACGAACTGCTACAGGCCATCAGATAAAATAGTGCGAGGACTTTTGCTTGCCACTGGCTTCCAGAATATGTGGGCCACGTGCTGCAAGGAAACCTCCGGTTGAAGCAGTATCACCACACATGATTAATCGAACGCACATGCTTCTCGCCTCCCAAACCCCGGCTCTTCAGGATTGTGACTCGAGGTGCAGCGCTAACACGTCGATGACGTGTCAACACGTTCAGCTACGATCGATGATCTACGGCCCGAGGAGGGCCACGCCACTAGCTTTAACCTACTGTAATCGATGCCGTGTGCGGGTGATGCGGTACGACACTGCTTATCATTTACAAGCTAGCATATCGATCGGGGTAAAGGAAGTCTACAATGGCACGGCTACACCTGACACCTTCATCTGACCGTGTCAATTGACCGGTGCCGTATCAAGTAAAGTGTGGAACTCAAAGATGATGTTCTACCTTTCCGAGCTAGCCTCTCATCTAAAGAGACCTGAATCATTATTCCTCACCCTTGCTGACGCGAGGGGAGAGCGCTCCGAGGATCTTCGAGAAGAGGCTTCAGTGGCTTCAAGAGCAAGAAGGCGGTCACTCATACAGTTGGTGTCGTGTTTCAGCACGAAATTCGGCCCGGGTTCACCGGTACCTTGTGCTCTCCTTCATTCTTATCTTTCAAGTACAATACTAATGCATCGATACTCAAACAAATACAATAGCCAGATCAAGATGGGAAGTCTTGCGAGCGCCGCTTTCATGCAACTAAAATTGGTGGCAAATTGACGAGCGTCATATCATTAGTATACTAACTTGCAATTACACAATGCCAAGGAAGTTTCAGTGTTTGCTTTTTTTCAGCCCTTCTTCCCTTCCCCACAAGCATGCATGATGCATGATGCATCAGCTGAGATGTAAGATGGCAAATCTCTCCAATCTACACTGTATTCCGAAAGATAGCCCGCAATACATTTCCAAGGATGGCTTATAAATTTAGTCCGGGAACAGTATGCCAGGCCAGTAGCCCAAGGCATCGTGGAGCTTCAGTATTCCTGTCAGATTGCTTCATCATCTTTAGTATCTCCTCCGTCATTATTCTTAGATCTCACAATTTGCACAGCATGCGTCCCACCGCTGTCAACGGCGAACCATCTAAAGTTCCGCCCAACTTAGCTATGATTAAAAGCATCAATCCAAACTACACAGGGTTCGACTATATCTCCTGGTATCTTGGCAATGCCCGTCAAGCAGCCACCTACTTCGTCGCGCACTTTGGCTTCCGGGTATTTGCATACAGCGGACCAGAAACCGGATCGCACCTGACGACTTCCTATGTTGTTGCTAACGGGAACGCTCGCTTTATGCTGACTGCCCCAATAACTGGGCCACACATCCCCTCCGACAAGTATGTGTCCGAAAAGGACCGCAGTCTGTTGAGTGAGATTCAAGCGCACTTGATCAAGCACGGCGACGGAGTCAAGGATATTGCCTTTCAGGTTGACGATGTCAGAGGCGTGTGGGAGCATGCAGTCCAGAATGGGGCAGTTTCTATTCAGAAACCAACTTTACTCACTGATGAAGAGGACGGGGAAGTTCTCTGTGCGACAATCAAGACTTATGGCGATACAGCTCACACTCTGATCAATCGGTCAAATTACCGAGGAGTTTTCCTTCCCGGATTTAGACCTATAAATGATATGAATGCTCTGAATGAGCTACTTCCCAAGGTGGATCTGATTGAAATTGATCACTGCGTTGGGAACCAACCTTGGGATGGTCTTGACGGGATTGTCAAATAGTAGGCAGTTTCATTCTACCCTTTTCTCTTTTCTGTTATTTCGACGCGTCCACAGCCCTTGCTCATCACCGTGTTAGTTACGAAGGTGCTTTAAACTTCCACCGGTATTGGTCTGTGGACGACAAAGATATGTGTTCGGACTATTCGGCCATGCGATCAGTCGTTGTAGCATCTCCTGACAGTGTGATCAAAATGCCGATGAACGAGCCAGCCACCGGTTTGAAGAAATCTCAAATTGAAGAGTGAGTCGCAACATCCCCGGACAGTATCAATCATACGATATAATTAGTGCTCATACATTTTCTAGATTTGTGGACTACTACGGAGGAGCAGGCTGTCAGCATATCGCTTTCCGAACCAACAACATCATTGAAGCCGTTGAAAGCCTTACACAACGCGGTGTAAGCTTTCTTTCAGTCCCTAGCAACTATTACGTCAACATGCGTGAGCGACTAGCTATGAAAAACGTCAAAATTGCCGAAGACATCACCCTTCTGCAGAAATATAATATTCTTATCGACTTCGATGAAGGAGGATATCTTTTGCAGATCTTTACGAAGCACGTGGGTGACTGTCCTACTGTCTTCATGGAAATTATTCAGAGAGAGAATTTTGATGGGTTTGGAGCTGGAAACTTTAAGAGTCTGTTCGAAGCTTTTGAGAGGGAACAGGCATTGCGCGGAAATCTGTGATTACATCTGTTACTTGCTGTGCTGAGCTCCAGCATTGCTGCTGGCGCGAGAAGTGAATAAAATTAGGCTAGCCGGGGTATGCTGATGGAAGAGTAGAAAGCAAGGGTAATGACACATCTGACCAACATTCAGGCATTAACTCGTAATTGATGGAATGGGAAATCCACATGTCTCGCAAGGATAACAGCAACCTGTTGCATTCTCAATCCAGCCCATCGCGGACCCACCATCGGCATCTTCCGACACCGGCCCGACTGATAATCTGATAATCACTGCCGATGCCATTTTCAGGAACGATTTTTATCATCTACTCATTCAGCACTATAATCACCTATCTGAACCAAATACTTACTATCATAACTCACTATCTACCACACCAATGCTAGACTCCTTCCCTAGCATCACCACCACCTTTCAATATGGTCTAATATCCCCCCAAACCACCCTCCTCTCCATCATCCTTCCCATCCTCCTCTTCCTTATTCTCCTTCTCCCCTACCTCAACCCCACACCTCCGCCCCCAAAAGGCTGCCGCAGACTGGGTCTCTCTCCTTCCCAGCGCTCCAACCTGCACGATGAATACTCACCCAAATACGCCCACGGCGTTCCCAGCACCGCCACAGACCCCGACACCGGGCTCTCAGCATGGCGCATCAAAGCACTCTTCACGTACCCGATTAAGAGCTGCGGGGGAGTGGAGCTCGAGGCAGCAGATGTTATAGAGACGGGGTTGAAATATGATCGGTTGTTCTGTTTTGCGGAGTTTTTCCCTTCACCACAACCTACTACCACCAATACATCAACCTCAACCAACAACCGAGAAGAGAATAATGGAACCTGGACAGCCCGCACCCTCCGAGACCGTGACTTCCGACAGCTGGCCCTCCTCCGTCCAGAGATCTGGATTCCAGATCAATCCTCACCTACATATTCTCCTACAAACCCAGAAACACTCTCCAACGGTGTTTTACTTGTCTACTACCCCCTCCCACCATCTCGCAACCCCTTAGTTACCTTGTTAAGAACCCTACACATCCTCCCATCCCAATCATCCTTCACCATCCCCCTCGATCCCCCACCACATTCTTTAACTGATTTCCCCCTAACCCCTGTCAAAATCTGGAAAGACATCCCCCTCGCACACAACTACTCCCACCTCCTCCCACAATCCCTAAAGGATCTCCTAACATACGATACTACCCTCCCACCCCACCAACGGAGACAACTCTCCCTCTTCCGCGCAAGCCACATCCACAGACGAGAAATCTACCGCAACGCTCCTCGTAAAGAAAAGATAGGCTTCCAGCCCGTGACTGGCTTCGCAGACGCGTATCCAATCCATTTACTCAACATGGCGAGCGTGAGGGATGTTGCGGCCAACTGTGCCGATGAGATCCCCGAGTTGAGTGTGAGAAGGTTCAGGGCGAATGTGATTGTTCAGGGGCCGGGGAAGTTCGTGGAGGATGAGTGGAAGAGGATAGTTGTTGGTGGTTCCTCTGAGGATGCGGATGGGGTGGAAATCTACACAGCATGCCGCACTATACGGTGTAAACTGCCCAATGTAGATCCTGATACTGGGGTGCGACATTCCAGGGAGCCGGATCGCACGTTAAAGAGATACCGACGGATTGATGCGGGAGATTTGACGAATGCGTGTTTGGGGATGCAGTGTGTTCCTGCTGTTAGAGGTATTATCATCTTCTTTGTCGCTTTATTTTGGGATTTTGGATGAAGCTAACTGTTTGGGATAGAATTCACGCTGCGGGTTAATGATCCTATTACGGTATTGGAGACGGGTGAGCATTGTTATATCAAGATGCTGGCGCCGGGGGAGAAGGTTGAGGGAGTGTGATTAATCATTGTACTATTTGTTCAGCTGTTGATAATATTGTATCACTATTGTATTAGTAGAGTATTTTGCTTGACATGTTTATATCTATTATTGCGAATATTCATGTTGTAACAATGGGAGATACAATGTGAGACCTGTGTTGTAATCAGTACTCCATCCCTAATACTTAGGGCCATTCTAGATGCAATAACGCTTTTCTACTATGAAATCCCTCTGTACGGCGTACTTCTTCAACATTCATCTTATTCCTGCTCCCCCCATAACATCATCGAATCTCTTACCTTTCAAAAATCATAGACCGGCATAGAATCAATGAGTCTCCACAATTAACCCTCTACATTCATTCCAAGATCATCCCCCCGCGAGTAATTACTTCCCTAGCAACAAAAATCTGGGCTTCTCGGAGCTCCATCGCACCCGACTTGAAGGAGTATCTCGAACTCTTGCCGCGTCTGCGGAGGTACGTTTGTCAATGGACCCCAAATCAAAGAACTCGTCCCGTATGCAAAAGCAGGGGCAAAGGGGTCTTTGTAACGTCTTCAAAAGTCATCATAACATCTATAAGACAAATAAAAAGGGAAAAAGAAAAATACATACAACAGAAGGGATTCGCTGGTGGTCACCCACCCAACTACTAACCTCCCGGCGTGTGGCTTGAGTACGGCTGAGCGGACGGGAAGCCCTATTTTCCACACCCTGTGGTCGTATGTGCTAGATCAAAATAGGAGATGAAATATAACGGCAAGGGCTAATAATACGTAATGCTGGCGGACGGTGAAGAAGTACTGAACCAGCTTCAGCACGCCGAGCTGGTGCACTTCGCCTGCCATGGATTCTCGGATCCGCATGGCCCTTTGAAATGTCACCTGCTCCTGTAAAAGGATACCGCTGGGTCCGGGGAAGTGGATGAGTAGACTCACGGTGATTCCCTTGGAGCTTACGGGTCGATGCGCAGTACAAACTAAATGTTCGTCGAAGAGCAATCTGTCAACTCCACCAGCTCACCCTTCAACCACTGGATTGGTAGAGTCAAGCTGTAGACTTTCACTTTTCGTAGAGATGTTGATAACATTGTACTACTATTGCATTAGTAGAGTTCTTTGTGTGGCATTTCTCTTTATGTGCTCCTATATGTACTTGTCCTTCTATAATGGCCGTGGCTTTTCTCTGCTGGACGCCGCCGCTTTAATGAGGGTACTCAGGGCCTGATCAGTGAGAAGTCATCTGTTCTCTGAGCTACTCACTCGCCCTTATTTTTGCAGCCTTGCGAGATAATTTCACGTGATGTCCATGTATGGACTTGTTTATCTGGCAGACGGAGCAAAATCCACAGTCTCGTGCCCCTCCGCTGGCTCATACATCAAATCCCATCTTCGATGCTGCATAGTAGGCCGCCCCCTGCCGTGGAATAGTGCCTCAAGCAGCCTTGTTCTGATTTGCATGCTCACGTGCACTCAGTATGGTTGATCCGATCGGCCTTGTAGGCTCTGTCATGGGCATCGTCCAGGTATGTGGTAAGTTGATATCTGTGTGCTATGATTACCGCATGGGCGTCCGGGATGCGCCCAGAGATATCTCTCGGATTCTGGACGAGGTCGTCAGTGTTGGGAGCATCGCACAGCAACTGGTGAAGGTCATTGAGTCCGACGGTGCCCCGTCTTTACCGTCTTTACAGGCGATGGGTGGGCATGATGGCACTCTCCGCAGGTGCTTGGTCGAATTGCAGGACCTGAATGCAACTTTGAAACTGGGGAAAGCCTCCAGTTTGGGGCGTGCTCTGGCGTGGCCGTTGCCACGTGCAGACGCGGAAAAAGGTTTGCAAGTCCTTGCGGCTATCAAGAGCACGCTGCAATTAGCACTGGCTGCTGATAATACGTGAGTGGTTTGTTACCGACTACCCTTGACTTTTCTGACAGTTCGTCCAGCCAAAACATGATGGAAGTATCAAACCTCACCCGGTTGTTGCCGAGTGTTGAGAAGAAGATTACTAGACTCTCAGAGTGTGTGGCTCAATCTGACAAGGGTAAGATGAGATTCACAGAGTTGATAAGACCGCTATTAACAGTCTTAGATCTACTCGCTGAGCTTCTCAACCAGCTGGGTGGACGCAGCCAATCAGCCAAGCAAAAGCAAGAGTACCGAAAATGTGCACCGGCTACTGGTGACTGGCTATTGAACACAGCGCAATACATGAAATGGAAGACCAATCCCAACAATCTCTTGTGGATCAAGGGAGCTGGTAAATGACGCCCTCAGTTCTGAGCTTCATCGACCACTGATCACCCTGCTCTAGCTGGCTGTGGTAAGACTGTCCTATGGTACGTAAACTCCCTATCGAATCAAGTCTACGAGTGTCTCTGTGCACATGTTGAATTGATGCGCTGACAACTAGCAGTTCGAGGATCATTAAGGATCTTCAGGACCACTGTGGTGGAGAGCAAAGTAGCAGCCTCTGTTATTTCTTCATGGATGCATCGGAAGAAAGAGGGGTCGACATCAACCGCGTGTATGGATCCTTCATCAGGCAGCTGATGCATCAAGGGGCAACAATTCCTCGCTATCTTCCGAGAAGGAGGATGATGTATGGCAGTCTATGCGGCGAACAGCAGTCAGTTTCATTGAAAGAGCTAGTGGGAGTCCTCTTATTGCAATTTGAGCATAATTACATTGTTCTCGATGGTCTCGACGAATGCGAAGAATACCTCCAGGACGGATTTCCTGGGATTACGGATTTCATCAAGAAGATGATGAAGCAGACAAAAGGACAACGGCACTTGATTGTGTTTGGCCGAAACTTGGAGCAGCTTCGAAATACTTTCGAAAGCCTTAAAATCTCCACCGTTACGATTGATGGCTTGACAGTGAATCTTGATATGCAGACAGCACTGCGACACCAGTTTTCGCATCAGGCCAAATTTTCCCGGTGGCCAATATCAATGAAGAAGAAGGTTGAGCAGTCTCTCTTGGCCCAAGCCAATGGATCGTGCGTAATCAGCTTTGAACAATAGTACTGCTGAATGGCTGACTCCTTTTCAGATTCCGTTGGACGGACTGCCAGCTGCAGACACTGCGACGCTGCGCGACACCACAGGCGGTACAAAAAGCTCTCAAGGATCTACCAAAGTCACTGGAGGAACACTACACCATGGCAATTAGCAAATTAGATGAGAGCAATCGCATGTCCGTGAAGAACCTCTTACGCTGGGTAGCCTTTGCTCTTCGGCCGGTGAGTGGTCATCACATTAGGAAGTCAAAAATCATTAAAATCATTCCCACTCTGACGCATCTGCAGCTATCTCTCGATGAGATCACAAGCGCCATAGCTATTAATGCCGATCGTGAGCATACTCCTTTCATTGACGAGGATTTAGAACTTCTCGACCCAGAAAGCTTCATTGATTCCTGCTCCAGTCTTGTCTCGACGTACTGCGGTGGGGACGAAACGAAAGGCACCCAGGATGTGTATATCAAACTAGCCCATTTCACCGTTCGGGAGTTCCTCACTTCTAGAGCAATCTTGGGAGGCACATGCTTCGACTTTTCCATGGATATCAGATTGTCTCACGCCTTCCTAGCTAGCTGTAGCCTTGCGTACTTTCACCATGCGGTTCAGTCTGCTGCCGGCAACCTCTGGATGTATCATCCGCTGGCACGCTATGCAGGGCACTTTTGGTATGAGCATAAGGAACTTTCTCAAGGCGCTTGGCAATCCTTTGAATTAGAGTCTATCTTACTCGATCTGTTTGACGAAGATGGGCCTTATTTCAGGCTGTGGAGCAAAGTGGCAAATGTTGACCGACCATGGCTGCCGGATGAATTGAGCAACACCAATGACTGTACAGCACTATATTACTCTTCCTACTGTGGCTTGACACGGGTGGTGAAAGCACTTCTCGACAAAGGTGCGTCGCCAAATGTCTCTGGCGGCTTGTACTACCGTCCATTACAAGCAGGCGCATGCATGGGCCACCTGGAAATAGTGCACTTACTGATAGAGGCAACTGCTGAAGTCAATGCAAAAGGCGGTGCTCTGAGTACGGCGCTTGGTGCAGCAGCTGCCCAAGGTCATTTAGATGTTGCTGTCACGTTGCTAGAAGCTGGTGCCAATGTCAACTACCCGAATCCAAGGGTTTTCAGTGGCCAAAGGTCGGATCCTTTATTTCTCGCTGTTGCGAGAGGCCATCTACCTGTCTGTGAGGTTCTACTCAATTACGGAGCGGAGGACTACCACCACTTCAAAGGAGACCCTCCATCAGCCCTAGTGGTTGCAGTTTGTAGTGGTCGTCTTGATATCGTGAAAACATTGCTGGGGTGTGAGCGCATCACAACCGCAAGGAGCATGAAGCACCGGAAACCAGCAGTCATTAGGTCCGTCCAGAGTGGCATCACTGCCGCACAGTATCAGGCCGCGGCTGGCGGCCACGTTGAGATATTGCGCGAGTTACTAGCCTATGAAATTACACCAGACGAAGCATTAAGATACGCAGCTCGGGCAGGTGACGAGAAGCTCGTGCGACAATGTCTAGACGAGGGTCTCAGCGTCGACAGCCACGCGCAAGTCTCGGATCACCCCATAGCTCTTCAGTCGGCGATAATAGGCGGTCATACTGCGATTGTGCATGAGCTGCTATCTCGCGGAGCAGATCCCAACTTAGAGTCAAGCTTTTCGACGCCTTTGCGAGCTGCGGTAGAAGCAGGGAATTTCGAACTCGCCCAAGTCTTGATCAATGCAGGCGCAAGAGTGGATTCCCATCGGTCTCTACGAAGCGCCCTATCTCAAAGAAGGAAAGATCTCGTTGATCTCCTCCTGCAAAACGGAGCAGATACACACCGGAGCTTACGAGATGCTGTTCATAATGCCGATCTTTGGGCCTTCCAGTTGCTCATGGACAGAGGAGCAGATATTCATCGCCAAGAGCCAGATGATGAAACCTCCCTATTGGGAGCGGCCGCATGGGGTGGTTCAGTCTTTATCGTAACACATTTGCTCGACAATGGATTGCAGGATCAGCTCAACCCTGGACCTGAAGACACGGCGCCTCTGCTTGATGCTGTTGCCGCCACTCGGCCACTCATTGTGGAGCTGCTGATCCAGCGCGGAGCTGATGTTAATACCTGCCCCCAGGTAGCCGACGAGCGTCGTCTCACAGGATCCCGCACTTCACCAGATGGTCTTCGCTGGTGGCCACCTGACCTAATATGCGAAACGGCACTGACACTGGCAGTCAAGGCCAACGATCGAGATATAGCCGAACTCTTGATGCGACATGGCGCAATGGTCACACCGAGTTCGCCCGACACAGTCGGCACACCTCTTTTGTACGCGGTAAGAGATCAAAATTCTGACCTTATCAGTGAACTACTGGACAGAGGTGCCGATCCCAATCAGAGAGGCACAATCGTGGAGGAGGGAAACCCATCGTTTCCCCTCCTCATTGCAGCGGAGAATGGTAACCCCGAAATTATCGACTTGCTCTTGGAAGGGGGTTCAATACTAGAAGATCAGGACACTGAAGGCTTCACTGCTTTGCACGTTGCGGCGGCCTGTCGCACATCGGACGGGCTCAAGTCACTCCTCCATAAACACGGTGCGAACATGAATACAAGGCTCTTGAACGGCAGTTTGCCAATCCACTCGGCTGCATCAATGGGCACCCCGGAAAATCTTGGGATATTACTCGATGCTGGCGCGGACATCAACGCTCTAAATGACAATGGTCGCACGCCCTTGCATTGCGCAGCAGACAATGGCAACTGGGAGATGATCGAAGCTGTCCTGGAACGAGGAGCTCTGGCGAATGTGAAGTCTCAAGATGACGGAGCCAATATAGCGGTGGACATGGCTTATTTGGCAAAGCGCGAATCAGTCTGGGCTTCTAGGACCTTCTCGGCTGACTGGGACGACGAGGGGATAGAGAGGCTGTTGCAGAGACTGAAAGAAGCGTCAGATTGAGTGATGACTCGAATATCCGGTGAGATGTGGCAGTAATCATGAACCTCAGATACATTCTACAATCTGGTATGTGCAATTGCTTGTAGACCACACTTTTAACTTAACTAGTCCGCCATATTAGATCCCTCTAGAAAACTTATATGTCTCCAAAAACCTCTAGAGAATAAAAGTTTTGTATTACAACTTTTCTATCGCTTCAATCAATTCAATCCTGATAATCTGATCGAGTCCGCTAAGTCAGATACCAGCTATACAGGTACTTCACCGTTTAAAGCAAAATAATACGGCCCGGAACGCCTCAGATCCCTCAACCCTCGCAGTAACAGTAATCACCTTAGAATCACTCAGCAACACCTGCTATGACATAGGAAGGTCTTCGCCGTAGCTAACACAACTAAAAGACAGCAACTAGCAACGCAAAGCAAAGCGAAGCGCTGTCACACAGAACAAAATGTAAACGAGTGCCGCAGCTGTCGAAACAGCTGCCGCAAACCACCATCCTCTCTGTTCGTTCATGATCTGTACCTTCTGTTTTGTGTGCCTTCCCTATTGACTCATACAGGGCGTGTGCAATTCCTTCTAACTACCCAGCGTCTTCAGCATCTATCTCCACGGCCTCGAGGCCTTTTTATATCAGTTGATTGTTGTTCCGTTGCTGTTATTGTAAAATTGCGCAGAAGATGGTAGGAATCTTTTACTGATCCCTCTGTTCAGTTCCTGCTCAGTGATCAGCTCAGGATGCTCAGGATATGTTCAGATTTACTCAACAAGCGCTGAAACGAAAAGAGAACGTCTCTGAGCTGTCTAGAAAATGAAGTACGTATGTTGTTCTAATTGTGTATAATATAACACCAACAATACAGTCTGAGACGAGTGATCTAAGTAGTACACCCCACCCAAATACTCGGGCACGTCTCAATCAACAAAATATAAAAGTCACCCCCGCCACCCCCATGCAGGCAGCACCTAGAGTACATACTATTAGAGCCGCACAAATGGAACATGATTCGTGCCATGACCTACCGAGAACGATATTCATATAAAAGTATCCCACCTTCTCAAACAGCCATCCAATAACAAATGGGCCCAGCATCAGACCGATATTGAACGAGATAGACACCAACGCAAAGCACCTCGCACGCCCACCATTGGGACCAAACATGGTGGGAGCATCTTTTTCAACTTCCTCCAGGAGGACTATTCACTGTTAGTATTTAACCTGTAAATCGCTTTTCCCTCGTGAAAAAAAAAAAGAAAAAAAAGAAAATAAAGAAAGAAATCGTAGTACTGTAACTTACAGCGCATGTGAAATGATCCGGCACCCTGAACCGATGGCATCACTAAGCCTATACCACATATGCACGCAATAAAGGCGACCTCTTCACCTGTCCGGCTCCCACTAGCCTGAGGGACCTCTCTGCCAGGTATGCCCAAGTAGCACATCAGAGGGCAGAGAAGAGCCCAACCGACCGCCGTTGGGTATCGTGTACCGACACGATCTCGGAGGTGGCCAACAAGGGGGGAGAAAAAGATTATAGGGACTTGGAGGGCAAAGAAAATCGCCCCGGCTGACGATGGGCCCCAATTAAAGGTATCCCGAAGATACACGGGCAAGGTAGCATTGAATGCTGCCCGTAGTGCAGCTTGGGACATCGTATTCAGAACGCCTGCCCACATTCCAGCATCTTGGAGCATTACTGTGTAGTAATTGCGATATTTCGTAGCTGCAGCGTTGTCAGACTTCTCCTCTGCTGCGGTATCTGAGCCAAATGAAGGCGATTGTGGCAGGAAGGGGGACGTTTCAGTCACAGTTTCCTCCATTTCATGACATAGCTTGCTGCGCTCGGCATGTCTGATTAAAGACGGTGAATCCAGTAAATGATGGTCGGGCTGGATGACAACAAAACGCGCAATCATGTCGAGAATCAGTAGAACCATTGGTAGAGACCAAGCTGGCCAGTATCCGAACCAGCCCAACAGAACGCCTCCAAGCATTGGTCCGCTGACCGTTCCCAAGGTTGCACAAGACATGCTCAGTCCCAACATTGCCCCAGCTCCAGCACTACCTGCGAGCTCGGTGAGCATGGTCGTACACGCGAGCCACGCAGCCGAGCCAGCAACAGCCTGCAGAATCCTTCCCAGGTATAGCACCCATGCTGGGCCATAAACACAATCAGCATTCGTAGCAGCAAGAAAGTGCGGCTAGGGGTGACGAATACATGTGGTGGTGATTGCAAACAGCGCAGTCCCAGCCAGGCAAAGCACAAGTGCCAGATAAAGCGGGATTTTCTGGTTTGGGATAGTGTCGAACAAAGCCGCGCAAGAAGGGGCAGCGATTATTGACGCCAGGCCGTGTAGACTGAGCAGGCTGTTGGTAGTAGCAGTGGTTTGGGAGGGGTCGTTGTGAAGGCGCTCTTCCAGCATATACGGGAGCATCGGCACGGGGAAACCGGCTAAAAGCGACTCTGTTCATTGGTATAATTAGAGGATGGGACAAGTTGTCAGCGGCAGTAAGCAGGTGTGTCTTCGTACCAGTAAACATGGCCAGGCACGCGGTCCCGATGATGAACTGGCTGGAAGATCTCCATCCCTTGGTGGTCGAGCGCTCTGCGGAGGCTGTCATGTTGCTCTGCAGATGTCGACAGGCAGCTGCCACGTCAAGACATCCCGTCCCTTTCTAAAAGACGGACGATACGTGGGCGTCGTCTCGCTCGAGATAGCTCCGGGTGGCTGCGCGTCATAATCCACGCAAAGGAATGTAAGGCACCTACTGTTGAAGTGCCCTGCAATGATCGGCAGGCCGCAGGAACACCCATCGGGTCAGATTGACCGAAGGCAGGAGGAGGTTCTGGGACATCGGAGTGTCTATGTGTATACCGCCTGGCCTACTCAATTGCAGTGGTCCGGGTCGACGGGTGGAGGAGACAGTTTGCAAGTCACTGAGCTATTGCTCTCGTTGGGGTTTGCGGTCATGTCAGCTGGGTCACCGGCATGCGGGCTGCAACAAAAGGACCAATTATGCGGGTGGCAATGCTGTGCTGCAATACACATGGACACTCGAGAAAGCCCGCTCGGACGAAGTAGAGTCTCGGGACTCATGAATTACCTCAGATAGATGGAGGAAGTATTCTTTACTACTCGACCCTTCGCTACGGGTTTACTATGAAAATGCTTCGAAATTCAATGTATTGTATTAATTCATGTGACCATCTAGGCCAGGGTATCCAAATATAATCGCATCGCCAAATCAAATCAAACAGAATAGAAAACAGATTAAACACTCGAGGGCTCGCCCTTCGTATACTGCGTGCTCTCCCTCGATGTCATCACCTCCTCGCTTCGTCGGTAAACACCCCGTGCCTCCAGGATAGCCGCTTCCTCCTCTGGGTCCTCCGGAAGGATCAGGTTGAGGATTAGCCCGATTAGAGCGGTAATGGCGAACCCGTTCTCCATCACGAGATCAATAGCATCGAGCAATCCTGTCAAGCCACGGTTGTTGCCGCTGTAGGTAAAGACGTAGTCGAACCAGTCGGATACCAAGGTGGCTCCCATGCCGACTGCAAACGAAGCAGTCAGGATGAATCGGTTGCGACGCGTGAATGGCACATTGGTGATAATGCGGACACCAGAAATAGCCACCGATGAGAAAAGGAACGTTGTCATACCACCAAGAACACTACTGGGAATGGCAACCAGTGCAGCGGCAAACTTGGCGAAAATCCCCATGATGATGAGGAAGAAGCAGCAGCAGTAACCAGCCGTGCGGTTGGCGCACTTGGTCAGCGCGATGACACCGTTGTTCTGGGCAAATACCGACATCGGCGTCATGGTCATGAGGCCAGCCAGTACACTAGTGAGACCGTTGCCCAGAACACCGCCCTGAATGCGCGAGTCGAAAGTGGGCCCTTCAACTTCGACCTGAGATACATCGCACGTGGCGGTAATGTCACCGATCGATTCCATCATGACCACAATGTACACTGCCAGCAGTGGAAGGATCATGGGCGGGTAGATGGTCAACGGGAAAGTCTTCACCCAGATAAAGGAGGCCACCGGCGCAGCGTCAATTCCCGATCGATCAAAGTATCCGCAGGCAGCCGCCACAATACATCCTATCAACAATCCCACCACGACCGAGCATGATCGCATGATAGGCGCTCCAAACCGCTCACAGAGAATGATCGAGACATACACCAGAAATCCGAGACCGATAAACTCCGCACTTCCCCAAGGCAGAGCATGCGGTGCGTCCGCGCTAGGGCACAAAGCACCGTTGCCAGGATTCTCAGAGCAGGTTCCCGAACCGCCTGCCCAGTCCTGGAAAGCGGACTCGATAAGACTGGCTCCGATCAAGAGAACAGTAGGACCAGTGACGAGTGGGGGGAAGACGCGTCTCAGGATTTTAGGGCTCATGAAGGAAAGTCCAATCTCGAGCAGCGCACACAAACACGAAGTCCCCAGCAGGGCGCCATAGCCCTTGGGGCAGGGCAGCTTGGTTCCATCCTCGGCGGTCGGGCAGTATCCACTAGAGTACATTTGTTCGAAGCCACCAGTAGCGACAGTGATTGTGGCGAAGGAAATTCCCACGACTGAAGTCAAGCCGGTACCAATGTAGTATTTCGTTCCGTAGATGTGGAAGCGGAACATCTGAATGGCGGACAAGATACCGGAAGCGATGAGAGATGTTGAGACGAGGTATTGGTAGTCTTCTGTCCCGAAGTTGGCACCAGATGTGCCTCCGATCAGGATAGGAGGTGAAATAACTGACGGGTCAGCGCTAGTCAGGTTTCAGAGAGGACTGAACTTACTTCCACCCAGCATCGCCAATGCATGTTGCAGTCCAAGCAGCAGAGCTAATACAATGGGTACCTTGTCTTCGAGCCCGAAGAATGGTGCAGAACTTCGTTTCTTTGTGATGAAGGGGATGTTCGGAGTGAACAAATAGGCATAATCATAGTCTCCAATGAGACCCTCTCTACGAAGTATTAGCACATCGACTGGTGTAACGAGCTTCCATGACCAACCTTGTGGTGAAGGTTTTGACAAAGCGGCGACCTACGTCACCCCAAGTCCGCTTAGGCCGGTAGTCCGGGCCTATCTGGTCAGGACCGTCCATTATGTGAGGCAGTCTTAGGTGTAAAGGATGTTGATGTAGAAGTATAGATGACACTCGATGAGTTGCGGACAGATGGAAGATATCTCGATGATGAAAGTCGGGCCCAGATGAAGTAGTCCGAGTGGAGTGAGGGGTCGGTTCCTAGCAATGACTAGTTGGATCTGGGGAATAGACTAGAACCATTCCAAACATCGACGGACAAGGTGTCTATATACACGCAGCATCCTCCGTGAGCTCGAAGATGAATCGGGATGAATGAAGCTCGGACCGGCGTGGATGATACAGCTATCAGTGGCGAAGATGATGGATGAATCAATCGAATAATGGTAGGCAGCGGTTATCTCTCGCGACGGCGTGGCAGACACGCGAGCTAATTTCCAAGCGAGCTGCAACCTGCTGCAGACCGGGGCAGCGCTAGCGATGACTGGTTCGTCTGGCGATTACGCTGCTCTCATTCAGGCTTCCACTGTGGGCCCTCCGATAAGAACGGACGGCTGACACGGTGCCCTCATGTAACGTCCCCGGCCGCTTATCAGTCCCCAGATCGGGTTCCGCCGAAATCCATCTCTTGCATTCCCCCCCTGATAGCCGGTGGCCGATGGGTCTTGCACTGACGAACCCGATGAGACCGGAGTAGAACTCATCCAGTTCGTGGGAGGACGCGGGGGGGAAGTGATCGAACTGATATAAGCTAAAGCCAGACATGCATAAGGGGAGAATCGAAGGGCCGAAGGCCCGACGATGCTTCTTTCGCCGGGTTGCAGTCCGGGGAAACACCAGCCCCAATGCGGCAATCCATTAGTCATAGAATCAATCAGGCCCAACTTTATCGTAACCTTTGACTGCTGCCCGTGACTAACAGCGTAGCAGCAGTCAATATTGCCCATGTACTCCGTAGTTCTGTGAAAAGCATCACCTACTATACAGGTAGAGCTGAGTTGAAGTATGAGCTTGAGTTCTCTGATTCACGGTCATGAGGCGGTATGAAAGTCAACAGCCTTCCGATCTGTCTCCCTGGTAAAAGTTAGGAGTGAGAATTGTAGGATCCGTGTTCGCTTTCAAGAGCATATGAAATTGAATCTTTCACTTCACTTTAGGTCCTGCGTGATCCCATAATAAATATCTTTCTATGTGTGCAACTCTACTATCGCTGTCAAGATGTACTGATTTGTTTTGACTAATAGCTCTTAGTCGTAGTATGTGACGCTGACTGCGATGATTGTAGCTAATGACTATATATGAAGGCTTCCAACCGTCTCCTAGACTCTTCTAGGACAAGCCACGATGCACTGAATGTACGCTATAGAACTAGCTTGATAGTCCATAGTAGCTAGGATAATGGCATTCTTTGACACATTAGACTCCACTATCGGTCGAGCAAGTCCATGCCCGTTGCTATAAATTAATCTGACGCTTTCGCTCAAGGCTGTCAAATGTCACATCCCTTATTCCTTTTGAAAGTTCTGGTGTCATGTTACTGAACAGTTTGTAGCGGCTTAGTTTTACCCCAGGCTTTGTCGATATACTATAGTGTATATATATATATATATATATATATTTGAAGTTATTGTGATCTTCCCCTGGTTCTACCTTTGAACAATGTTTCCTTCATTTTATTTTCCCCTCCTTCCTCGAAGCGATTGATTGCTTTGATAACCCTACCCATACAATTTGCCACATTGAATATATACCATACAAAGATTTTAAATCTATTGAGTTACCTCACTATATCAACCCAATGTTATCCTGGATATCTCTTCTGAATGTTGACGGTCAACAAGATTATCTCGATTCGTCTTTGTAAGCCATACGTAGATGCGAAATAAACTAGCGGTCGATAAATGATGTCTACAGATCTGGTGCTATCACAGTGAAATGACAGGGCATTCAAAGAATTGAACGAGTTTGAACGGTTATGCCTTTTCCACAAATGTCATTCTCCCACCCGCTAAGGCAGTGTTCATGATATAGATGTAGATGAACGTCGTGCATATGTATTATCTGAATCTTCAATCGCATATCTCTAGAATATATATAAATGGAAGTATATGATTGACACAAATCCCCAAGACATGAGCCACAACAGACAGTCTTACCCATACACTTTTCCAGGTGCCGAACAGGAAATTGAATTCAACCTGCTACAGCTTACTCTCCAGCAGGGACAGAGACCAGAGACTTATAGCCCATCCACCAGACATAATCCTCGATGTCTAGTCACACCCCCCAGGCATAAAAACAAAACTATAAACAATGCTCTCCTACATGAATCACATCTGAACATAACCCCGAGGTGTACGGAAATACCCACACTCCGCAACTATCGCGCGCAACCTTAAATAGCCTATTTTCAGTGACAAATACCTCCACTAACACCCTTACTATAACCCGGAATCACTATTCTCCGTTTCTCGGAACCTTACTCTCCGACACGATCCTCGATCGGCACGAGGCTGAGCACTGTCTAGCCGTGGGGAAAAGGCAAGGGCTAGAGCTACTAGTGGAGC